TAAATAACAGGCGTCACTGATGCTCCCGCGAACGAGGATATGCCACGGCTTACTCTAAGACCTTATTGTCGCAAATGGAAATAAGGGCGCTTTTAAATCATTTCTCCATTCCTTTTTTAATTTTATTTTCAATCCTGCTGTACTACAAAAACAAATCAAAATGCACTAGAAATAAATATCAGAACGTTGCATTTTCACCACCAAGGGGTGTCCTTGGCAGTGGTACTCTTTTTGTCAAGTCGTATTTATAGAGGTTTGCCACACCCAGGGTCGTCCCAGGGGGCAGTACTATCCTAGACCCAGGCCAAAACGTGTCTTGCAGGACCCAATTTCCGTAACTGCAAGTAGAGAGAGCGTTATTACGACATATTGAAGCCTAAGAAACAGAATTCTGTGGCATATTTACCTCACGTCCTAAATTTGCACCAGAGACAAAGTAATCTCGAGCATCAGCTCCAATGGCCTCAACGAGTTTTGCGAGCATGAGTTCCAAAGTGACAACTTTCAAAGCAACAGCATGGCCAGATATTCTTCTTTTCCATATAGCGTCGACGACCTACATGTCAGTACAGACGACACATGTCAGTGAAGCCTGACTTTTGTGCCAGCAACACACAATAACAACTTACAGTGTATTCAAACACTTGGCCAACAAGCCCAGGCTTTGCCACGACACCGATACAATTATAAAAAAGGGCCCCGACGTCGCGACACCATCTAAGTAGCAAAGAAATGTGTGAGTACCCAAAATAAAAGGTACACAAACTTGTTTTGTTAGTTTCGAATGCCTCAACGGGAGCTACCAACGATGGATCTCTACGTTCCAATGGTTCTACTGGTGCTACAGGCGACGATGTTTCAGCTTCTAGCATCACTAATGGAGCGACTATCTCCTTAGATTCTTCGACCACCGGCAATTTACTAGATTCTTCAGATACTGCTGTTGCAGCTGGAGATTTATCGTCTACGAGACTCACTGATGGAGCAACCGTTGACGCTTCTACAGATGCGTCAACACCAGGCAGACTACTAGGTACTTCAGCTTCAACTACCACCGGTAACCACTTTGATTCTTCGACAACCTCTATAGGAGCAACTGGTTATGACTTTTCATATTCTACAGTAACTGATGGAGTGACAGTTGGTAATTCTTTAGATGCCGTGAGGGCTGATGCATCAGTATCTTCTACATTCGATATAACGACCGGCGTTGCAGCATCTATCGGGTTTTCAGCTACTACTGGTTCTATTACGGGCAGCGATTCAAATTATAGTTTCGATTATAGATACGTCCTCAATGGGAGAGTAGGTGATGTATATACTTTTTGGAGCCCACGCCTAATGTTCAGCTATCGGGCTATGATATATGGAAGAGTGGGTGCCGCGAATGCGGCAAATGAAGTTATGGTTCGCGAAGGAATTTCTTTTATGGCTAGCAGGCTGAGGTGTTTCAACGAGCTGTTCAGTTGGTACCATTACTGGTGTTGTTGGTTCGTCTTTGGCGAGAACAAGTTCTCCTAGGTGTTCTATGGGCATCAATTACTGGCTGGCACTAGTATGGCTTGGTGCAGAGGCGAATTCGGCAAAAGCAAACTCTGAAAGTCCCGTGTTGGTGGTGGCTCCACCGTTTCTGCTGCACCGAGCTTCTTGACGGAGAAATTTCAATAGTGTCAATTGACTCTATCGGTTTCTGTTTGAGTGCTTCTGCCTTGGGGTTGACCTCACTCTTTGAATGCCGTTGGGTGCTCGTTCTGGGACACAATTTTGTCCACAGTTTCGACCGGTCGCTCCATGAAAGTGCTGGCTTTGGATGAGCTCATATGTCGTGCATCAATAAGAAGGTTAGGATTTACTACCTCGGATGCCTTTATCGGGGTTGACTGGCACAATCATGTTCCTTGGCCACTGGCGTATCTGTCGCAACTTTTAAGCTTTCTGCAGATGAAGCGATTACAGTGGCAACTTCATCTACAGTAGCAGTACTAGCGATAGCAGCAACTTGCGTGATGGCTGCATCCATCGTCATCCACGCCACAAACTATCATCTACACTCAATCATCCGCTGTCTTGGCAGGCAAGGATCCTCAACGCACTAATACTGGTAAAAGGTCTGTGGATCCTCCATCTGTCACAGTCATTACGGAAGCCTCCCAGAGTTCATGGTGTAGCAGGTCATGTATCAAATCATCAAACTGTCATTGAAGATTTCAGACCAGATCTTACTTCGGCTGGGGTGTCCTGTAAAATTGTAAAACTTTAGGATCAAGTTTCTTGCATAAAGCTGAATTTATTTTGTACTCTTCCGTTGTTGAAGAGCTCATTCCAAGTTAATATTGTTTAACTATATGATACTACCTACTATTACTCTCCAAAAATCCATAAGCAAGAACACCATCATAGATGTTGCCAACGATTCCACGCACGTCTCGTATAAGGAGTAGATCCTCATCTCATCCAGTGCAGAGTACATAGGAAAGGCAACCAAAAAAACCAACATGTAAAATACCGATCCTATCGAATACATCTTGTCTCGATCCTCAAATCTATAGTGAGGAAAACCACTAATAGTCCATGTTTCCATGAAAGCAGTAAAGTAGCCGAGAGTCAGTACCGTTAGACTGAGTAGGATATACTCGAGGGTCTGGCTGACGTTCCAGATAAATCGACAATTATAACGCAGCCTTCGTAGTAGGATGCCGACCGTTACAAAGTATCCCACAAACCAGACGTGGGCCAGTAGGTACATCGAAAATGGCACTATGTGAAGAAGAGTGGTATGTCAGGGGGGGAGGGGGGTGTTTAAAGCGTGTCATCCGAGATATGACGATAGTATCAAGCAGTCTCAGAATGTTCATTCGAAATACGAGTCTTGTAGTATCATTCTCACAGTTGCGTCGGTCTGAAACTCAATCCATAAACCAAACACACCCTCGTTGAGTTCAAAGACATCGTCAAAGGTATATGAAGCACCCAATAGATCGTAAAAGTAATGAGTCCAAAACCACGATCCAATAAAAGCAAGAATCCCGATCCACAGATTAGCCTTCAGATAGTGCTGTTGGTACCAGGGCAGCTTGTCTTTCGGTGATGGGAACAGAGCTGGTATGTACCATGACGGTGTTGCTAGCAATATGCCGATACCAGTATATCCCATAGGACCCCATTTCTATAGATAGATTAAACGTCAGTTCTTACGGAGCCAAAGAAAAGACGACGAAACCTCAAAGTCGTGATGCATCAAGTGTTTTGACAAAGGTGTGGTTTGTCTCAAAGGTTCCATGTCTGGATGGTGTTCCGACTGCCTCCGAGGCTCACCTCGTACAATTCAAAGTATACAACGAATGCTACGATGGTCATCCACACTGGCATGTAACATAGCATCTGAATCTCGAAATGTCTTTTCGATTCGTTCTTGGCCAACCACGAAACAGCCTTTGAGAATTTACGTGTCCTCGTATCCTGTACATTACTTCCGTATGACCGTTTCATCACGTCCGTATACCTATTTGCGTCGATTTGAATTAATGGTTTGCAAGTTCCTGACAGAGAACACAAAAGCTCCCATAGAAGAGTACTCTTTTCAAGCAACAAATAGAAAGACGATTATACCTGCAGCTGGACTAGAAATACATCCGTCCCAGCTCTCCTCCTTCGTCACCCTTCTCTCAATCAAAAGCGTTGGCTACTTTGTTGCTTGCATCCAAAAAGTCTGCAGCAACTCTTATGGGAATTCACAGGACGAGGGCCTTTGATGGTGCCGAATATTTGTGAATTCCGATGATGCTTACTCTTATACCTCCCATCTTCAAACACTTGAGAAACCAACACTGTTGACGATGATTGAGCAATGTGTGAATGTATATGATAATAAGATATAATACTTAATACAACAGCTACTAGATACAAAGACTTTGAATTGAAAACGAAGCGAGACTTGATGCTACCCAGTTTTTTTGGCTGTAGTTGAAGAGACAAAACCCTTCCAAACACAACCTCCCGTCCAGGCCCAACGGGCTTCACGTTTCCTACCTCTCAGTTGATCAACAGACTCCTCACCGGACCGCATCTGTTGACGCCCGACCTGAGAAGATCATCGGAGCACCCACGCCGAGGGTGTCTTGATGTATGGTGGGAGGGAAATGGACAATCCACTCAGGCTAAAGAGGTGCCTAATTGTAAAGGAGAATTGAGTCTGTTAGTCAGTGGATGGAATATATGAGCTTGATTGTTATGACCCATCATCCATCGTCATCGTCATTGAATGTGTGGCGTCTTTGATGAAAACCAATTGAAAACAAGCAAAAGGAAGGAAGCATATAAGAGAAACATACCATAGTGCCCATCATACTACAGCTAGCTTGTTGTTCTATACTAGGACTCTGCCACTTCCAACATTTTCGTGTTGGAATTCATTGCAGGAGTTAGCGAATGTCAAATAATAAAAAAAGTTGGAAATTCAAATTCCGCCTCGCAACAAACAGCAGACACAACAAGCATCAAAAAGACGCGATGTTAAGTGGTAAATCATTACTTTTAGTCTCAAAATCACTTGTAGAATCTTAAATTACGCGTCATAAACCAAAAGTCTGGTGAATTTTGAGTGTCGTTGCGTGCTCATACTTCAGAGATTGATCTATAATGACCTAAATGACCATGAGCTGCATGGTCTTCACGCGCTGTATAACGTTCAGTATTTTTGTCGTCAGTCTCGTCGTCACTACATGTTCGTCACTCGCCCTTCTATCCAAAAAGTCTGCAGAAGGTGCAGCTCAACCAATAACTCTTATGGGAATTGGGAATTCACAGTACGAGGGCCTTTTATGGTGCCGAATATTTGTTATGCGGTTCGAAACTAGTGAAAAGGCGTGGATTTCTAAACGCCTTTCCGGACCGGAGGATGGATTAGAATTCGAGTTTTCATCTACAAAACACAACTCCACCGTTTCAACAACCAAATACCTCTAAAGCACATACCAATACCACCTAAACTCGATACCGAAATGGACGGCTTCCCTACACCAGACTCTCTCTTCAAGAACGACGCCGCATTGGCAACAGTCGACAAGGCCAAATATTACGTGAAAGCTTCGGATGCATCAATTGCAAATGTTAAAGCCGCGTTGGAAAAGAAGGTACAGCAACGATTTTATTTGCATTGTCTCGTTTGTCTTTGCATTATTTCCCTTGAAAGTCACGTACTCATACACATTCAATCTCATTTATGCACGTAGACACACAAAGTTCATATTGTCGAAACTGGTGCCGACGCCCTTGCTAAAATCAAGGAACTCATTCCTGCAAAGGCTACCGTCATGACGTACGTGATATTTTGTCGCATCGTTGCGTTTGGATGTGAAGTCGATTGTGGTGATACACCTCTCACCATCGCTTGTACTATAGTGGTGGCTCTACAACCCTCGTTTCAATCGGATTTACTGGTTTCCTATCCAAGACCAAGAATGCCGACCTGCCATTTGTCAACCTTGGTAGGTGATCTTGGACGTTTGGTGTCATGAACTCAACACACTGATGTTTGCCAACCATTAAACTTGACATCTGCTTTTCCAGGTGAGGCTATCTTCGCCGAAAAGGATCAAGGAAAGGCGGCCAACATGCGCCGTTTGGCTCTTGGTGCTGATGTGTTTGTGTCCTCTGTCAGTGCTCTCTCAGAAGAAGGGGACATTGTGGCTTGTGACTTGACTGGTACTCGTGTTGGTGGTAAGTACTGTGGTTGCTGGTCTCGAGGAACTTTCTCTCTCTGTGTCTTTTGGAAACGTCCAGTGTACTCAACCAACTTGAACTTTTAATAGGTTTCCTTGCTTGCGGCACTTTGGTTATCGTTACCTCTTCCCAAAAGATTGTACCAACGTACGCAGACGCGATCAAGAGGACTGAGGAGTTTGCTCTGGCCGTTGAATCTGCTCGAGGTATAGTTTATATCGAACCGTGTTGAGAGTGTCCTTGCTCACATTCACCTTGTTACGCTTAGTACGTGTCGCATACAAGATTCCAGCATCAACTGCTGCCAACTGGTTGTCCATTCGAGCTGGAAACCCATTCGCCCCTGGCCGAATTCACGTCATCATCGTCAAGGATGAGATTTTGGGCTTTTAAAGCGAGGGGTCGCTTGACAAATAAAAAATCAATGAATCATTGTAACTGACATATGCCCAGTAAGAAAAGAAACATTATAAAATTATCATCAAAACGGAGAGGAGTGATTTTCGCGAGGCTGAACCGGTCAAGAACGAACCGTAACACAAGAAGCTGAAGAACTTGACTCTTACGCAACTCCAGTTTACTGCCATAAAGGACTAGTTCCATAGCATCAAATCGGCAGCCTTAACTCTCGTAACGCAGTTCACTTCTTCATTACTTTGGTTGCCATCCTCATTTTGCTCGCAGCATATCAGTTTGGACGTGACTAGTCAATATCGCGTGGCAACGAATAGGTATGTACGATCTGCAGAATATCCTTACATTTGCTACTATTTGATAGTGAATGTATGATACATGTTCAAGAACCAAACTTCTCATCATCATCTATATCACCAACATCAGAAATGAACGACCTCAAACAATCGCTCGGCCCTAAAGTGGTGCTCCCAGGTGATTCCGAATATGACAAGCTCCGATTAGATGTGTGGTATGAATATGTTTTCTTCAATTGGCCGTCATCTCAATTGTCGGCTTACACGCTCTCGCTCAACCCATAGGAACACAGATTTAGACGCCAAACCAAGCGCCATTGTCAGAGTCAGGAGCTCTGAGGATGTATCAACAGTCATTAAGATGGCTCGCAAACAGAACTGGAGTGTCACTGTAGCAGGTGGAAGGCATACTGCCAAGTGCTACAAGGACGGTGCTGTCGCTATTGATTTTCGCGACTGCCATAACGTGAAAGTTGATATAGAGAGCAAGACAGTTGTTTGTGAAGCCGGTGTCTTGAATGGAGAACTTGTAAGATCGTCAGCATTTACTTCGCAGGTTCTTGGCTTCATTAGTAAATTTGACTATTTCTTAGGAACATGCTTGTGCACGTAAGTTTGAATGCTGTAGCTTCGCAATCGAATTTCTCGTGATCTAAGCACGCTCTCGAATCCGCAGCCTTCAACATGGCTGTCCCAGGGGCTGGGTGAGTACACTCAATCCTGGCAACACTTCTCGTTGAATTGCAGTAAACTAGAACTCTGTGGTTTTTAAATAGTCACGACCCTTCAACTGGTATCGCCGGACTCACGCTGGGAGGAGGAAACGGCTTCTTATCAAGGATTGGCTCAATGGCCGTGGATCACTTGATCGGTCTGGAAGTAGTATTGGCAGATGGGACGATCGTTTCTCTGCCGAACGAAAAATACGACGATCTGTTTTGGGGCATGAAAGGAGCGGGATCTAATCTGGCTGTCGCGACTTGTACGTGATCCCATTTCTGGTGAAAGTGGATTTCTCGAGAAAAAAAAAACAAACTCAACTTCATTTATACAGCATTTACATACAAGCTCTCCCCCGTCCCTCCCGCCATAGTCGCTGGACCAGTCATATATCCAGCTTCCAACACCGAAGCAATACTAGGTGCTTTTGGTCGTCGTTTCAAAGACTGCTCTCAAAATATCGGCGATTCGAGCAAACTCTTTGTTCGCCGCACGAACCATTTCGAGCCTGAAGCTGGTGGTATCGTTGCTATGCTGTATGGTGTTTATCTTGGACAGACTTTGGAAGAGGGTCAAAAGAGTTTGGAATGGAGACATGAAGTGAAGGGGGCGCTGGTTGATGATGTTGGTGAAATGAGTTATCTTGATTTGCAACGTGAGTTCATTTTGGTGTTTCATATGCAGTTGTGGAAACTTATGTGGTACTGTATTATAGACAAGACTGCCGTTCCATCACAAGCCTCCTGTAAGCGTTGGGTCACATGCGTTGGGCGTTATAGAATCTGAACTCTCGTTACTTAGATGAACGAGGATTCTACTTGAGTGAATTCAATGACGAGGCTGCTCGTATCGTAATGGAAGAAATGGAAAAGGTGAGCTTATAACCAGCATTTCCTAAATAAATTGAACTCAATCCCTGAACAAAACAGTTCCCTGGTCCTACAATGGTCGGCTTGTAAGACGTTTCCCCATTTCCCACTTTTTGGCTTCATCAATAACTCCTCCACCTCCAAAGAAACCCAATGGGCGGCGCTATCTCCAACTACCCAACCACTTCCACCCCTTTCCCAATGCGCCGCAAAACAGCTATATGGGTCGTCGTACTTGCATCCACAAACGCACCAAACGTGACTCGCGAAGACGGTATCTCATGGGTTCGTCACGTTGCATCTCGTCTTGAGCCATGGACCATTTCGTCAGTTATTAATGAGGGTGCTCAAGATGTTGCGACGAGGTTGGAAATGTATTATGGGGAGAATGGTACGAGGGTTGGAGAGGTCAAGATGAAATATGATCCGGATAACTTTGTGCGTGTTGTTGGGTGTCAGACGCAAGTTACGTCCTATGGGATACTGGTTTAATTTTTTTTCTTCTCTTTTGCAGTTCAGGAATGGACGTGATATATCGTCTTCTCTCACGGCAGGGTCGGCTGCAGCTGCTAGTTGAAGATGTTTGATAATATATCCTTGCTTCTTTGTGAGTTTAGTTTCTCTTGTTTAAATATAATCGCGCACATATACTTTTTCAAACCCAAAAGTCAGAGTTTCTCGTTGTAAATATGTCAAATGCAATTATTTCTATTGTTCTGCGGCGATATTATATGTTATCAAGTTTTTAAACCAACCATCTACTGATTCTCCCAACGGAGAATAACTATGCATCTTTGGCAACAGGCCCCTTCTTAATCTTGGGATCCACAATCTGCGAGCACTGCATCTTATGCCGATCAGCCAAACTCAAAGCAGCGCCCAAGCACCATCCCGTCTCATACCCCGTAATCTTTTTCGCAATCTGTATCTTACGATCATCCTCAATCCCATACCCATCCTTCAACAGTCCATAAATATACGCCAAATCAAGACACAGATGCGCTTTATCCAAAGCAGCAGCATCGTCCCTAACTACAGCCTCCTTCTCAACCGAATCACATATCTGAATGCCATATTCTCTAATACTCTTGATATCGAATTCAGACGGCAGGCCAAGCCCCTGTGTCTTGTCGTAAAAGTACGAGAATGCATATATGTCCCGATCTGCGAAATGTTTATGGAGTGGTGGATGATGCACGCCTGCGAATGAGCAAGGTGGGAAGGGACACGCTATAGACTTGTCCATGGTAGCCTGACTTACGAATGAATGACATTCATCGAATTCTACGTCGTCCTGTCCCTTTATGATTGTCAATGCATTGTCAATCATGACTGAATCACTATGGTTTGGTCCTAGACATGGATGTATTGCGGGTATTTTGGCTGATGCTCTGCTTTTTGTTAATTTACGGGCTTCCATTAGTCCGTTTCCAAGATACGACCACTGATATAATATATACGTCACTCCGTTTAATGCGATATCAACACGATGAGGTTCTGGTGGTGGTACGGTTGGCTCAAATACTATTTGAGTCGATGCTCCTCCTAAATCCATGATAGCTACAGTCCCTTGCTTGCCCTTTGAAGGCGACGAAAAGCGTTTTAATAAATAATTTACAGTAATCCATGCAAAGACACCTTCATCAGCTCCATCCATGACTGCTACACTGGATTCCTGCGGTGGAACCAGGAATGGATAATCCGCGACCAGATGTTTCCGTACGGTAGCTAGAATCTTCTGCGATATCTCGGCTCCTAGTAATCGTAATCCTGCAGTGGCTTTAACTTCTATGGGAGTGCAGGAATGGTATATCTTTGGAATGACTTTTACAGCTTCGTCTAGTAGCACGTCCAAACTTGCAGCAGCAGATTCAGGACTCTTGGCATATGACGAGAGACCTGGTTTCGTCTCGTTAAAGACCTCACTGACTAGGAATGGTGAGGCCGCACCATGGCAGTTTGAGAATTCGTATACGTGAATTCGTGATCCAGTAGATCCAGCGTCTACCATGATGGCATACTGCGTTGGAGGACTTCCTTTATAGCCAACAGTGCATGGTGCTCCCACTAAATGAAGAGAATCGGTCAGATATACATTGCTTTCATCTCAAAAATGTGAACATGAAGAGATTCAAAGTCTTACGTGGAGCGACAGTCGTATCCTTTCTCAAGTATACAAATGCCGATATGCATAAGAGTATCCCAAGGATGTATGTGAACTTTTTGCCCAAAAAGAGGGGAAGCGAAATCCACCTCGGCGAGGTTCTAGGTTGATTTGGATATCTGAGGTTGATCTTATAAGGCGGGAGTCTATGCTTTGGAGATGGTGGCATCTCGATACAGTTCTTTGTCTGTCTAAACACTCACGCTATCTAGTAGTGGCAGTGAAGTGCAATGTTTGCTCAAAACAAAACATGAAGGAAGGAACAACATACATTTTATGATCATATGGAAATGTTAATGTGCAATTAAATATTTAAAAAATGCTGTAGGAACGCGTCTAGCACGTTCATTCAGTGATAATGTATGTCGATGCCTATGATCTCAACAAAGATCAGCGCACATTCATTCAAACCATAATACAGGATCAGATCTTACCGTTCTAAGCTGTGCAACAAGCCCACGTTCAACAAAATGCTTGTTGAACTGCTGCACCCAAGCATCATCAATCCGATACATGTCTTTCTGAACCTCCGAATAATAGCCAAGCATAAAGTCAGACTCGTAACTTCCTCTAATCAATAGCAATTTGCGTAGAGACTCGACTACATTACACAACTCCACTAGTATGCGATTTGACGAGTCTTCTGTTATCTGATCAACTTGTAATACCGTCAGACTTTTGCATTGTCTGAATGCGTGTATCAAATCGTCCTTTTCAGAAATGCTAGGTTGCTGCATGATTGCAGAAGACGATGATGAGGATGCCGAGGGTACTGTTGCTGGTTTCGGGTTTAGATGGAATAGAGACAATGATAGATGCTTGAGAAGAGTCAGGTTCATACATATTCCATTCAGTTCTTTTGGTGATAAAGAGACGCCTCTACAACCTGAGATATCTAATAGACGAAGCGAAGATGCTATTCCTGCAGTCAAATCATACAATCCTACAAAAACAGAAGTCAGTATGGGACGCAATTGCAGAAGATTGAAGAGCACATACCACGAGCGGTGATTCCCATACAGTTCTTGAAGCTGAGAATCTCAATCGGCAGATTACGTAGATTCCATATTCCGTTATCCGTGATTCTACCACATGAATCTAGTCGAAGTACTCTCAATTTACTCTCGTTTCGAGCAGAAAGTTGCTGCAAACCGACATCTGTGATAGAAGCTTCATCGAATATAAGTTCCTGCAAGACGGGTGACAAACTACAGAGCACTACATCGGTTCCAAGCGACGGCGACTGTGATGCATCAAGAGATAATAGTGATGGCAACAACCGTATCAACCGCTCGGCTGCAGATATAGATATCTGATTGACATTCTTGGCTTTAAGATGTGATAAACCGTGCTGTTTTGTCGTTACTCGTATTATCGATTCGTCAGACAAGAATGTCGCGTTCGACACGTCCAATTCTGCCAGATTTGAGCAATGCTTCAAGATCAGATCTAGCCAGTCTGGTCGGACCGATTCGTATAAGCTTTCGACAATGTGACTAACGTCGAGTCTCAGCACATTGATCAACGACGAGTTTGGAAATGATGCCAATAGCACCTCCAGAGTCCTCAGTGGAGACAATCGACGGCCTCCTAGTTTCGGATTCTTGTATAGATACAGTCTACAATAAATGAGGGACCAGTAAGTTAGACGCGGATCGTTGTTTCACAAGTGTTTGATGTTGAACTCGTTGTGCAAACTTACACTACAGAAGCATGATAATGGCGGTTAATCCTAGTCAGAATCTCTAGTTGTGAAGGCGTTGTATGCCAGACGAGACGAAATAATATCTGCGATGGTATATTTGACCAAGTGAATCGCTCTCCAATTATTGGCGATGCGTAATTCGGAGGCGGTGAGAGCCAGCTATTAGAAGTTCCGTCTGTATATTCTGGTAGATCGTCATCGTTCGTCTGAAGTGACAACGCGAAACTGTCTCCTTTGGACATTGCTGTGATGAAAAACAAAACTGCAACACACATCCAATTTTTTGAGATTTTGCGGCTTTTATTTATAAAATGCTACACTTATGCATAGCTCGGTGGCCACACTAACGTTATAGAAATAGCGTGAGCTTCATGTCAACTAGGTGAAAAAAAACTGCTGGCCGAAATTTACCTTAATGTGCGGCGTGACGACGAGTCTCTGCAATGACTCCAGATAATTCTTCTACCTTTCTCTTGGCACGGAGGAATGTACCCAACTAGATCAGGACGTGTAAGTGTCTTGAAGCCCTCCCAAAAACAGAAAACACGATGCCCATAACATACCCTTCGCTTTGCCAGACGACGAGCTCGCTTGTCCTTGGAGTTCTTCAACAATTCCATGACACGCTTCTCGTATGGAGCGAATCCGGTGACTTCACGAATCAGTTCACGAACAACCTTGGTTCGTTTGCCCAAGTGCTATGATGTGAAGAATGAGGTGTCAGCTTCTGGTAATTGAATTTGGGATCTCCATAGTGACTCCTAATAGTATTCCATATTCGTGCCATCTGCTCTGTTCACATAGTGCCAGCAGCATTTTTTGGCACTTTGCTAAATGTGACGTCTACTTTGCCTCAACAGCTATATAAAACTTCATCCATCCAGTAGCCCACATCATCCACAACGTGATAATTCGACATAATACAGGCTGCTCCACCACTACCTATCTCTCTGTCTACAAAAAGAAAAAACACAACTGATGGAAGCTCACCCCTTTTCTGTTTGATGGTTTTGGCTTCAAGTGAATACGAGTGGTGACATGACCACTGTTTTCACCGGCTGCTATGCCAGTCTTGACGGCTGGGGGCAGATTCTTCTTGCCCATTCTTGTTTGATGCGACTTGCCTACTTGCAAAAAACTTGGGTGTGAAAAACATGGTGTGGCTTGTGCTTGCTGACTGTTTGCTGACGTTATCAACGAATGTTATACGAGACACCAAGGAGACCAGAGACTTCATTGCGGCGGTTTGAACGCGTAAGACTCTGTATACTCGTATACTCTGCTGGATCTGGGGTGTGTCTTGCTGTAACGCCCGAACTTGCAAACCAAGCAGTGGAGGTCAAACCACACGTTATTAAACATATATACACAAACGATCATACATTCAGTTACTCAGGATTCATCTTTGACACCTCATTCAAAATCATCCTGCTGTAAATGGTGGACGTGGTTTCGCCCAAAACCTGCATCCTTCCAACAGTCTCTCTTGACACCTAGTCAACAGAGAACAGGACGAGGTCAAACATGCGCTCAAATTCAACTTGGCGCTTGTGCTTACACGAACAGATTTCATCCTCTTGCACGTTGTAAACACAAAAGCAGCAAATGGTATCGAAGACTGCCGTGTTGGAACATCAAATCGTTCTAGGATTCGAACCAAATCTGCGAGAAGATATGTGTCAGGCCTTCCTTGTGTGCAAGCGTAGAGCGAATACGACTCAAACCCGTACTTGTTATGATACTCTCATCGACTGCTTGCGTGACTTCTTGCAGTATAGGTATCACAGTCTCATTCCATCCTGGTCTAGCTTGATGAAAATGCTTGGATGATGCGTCTATCAGTTTGCTAAAATTGAGGAAGAGTAAAGTTGAGGTCACGTAGAGACAAAGTAGGGGCAAAAGGTTTACGTCAGGAGGACAGAATACAAATCCGATCGAATGTCTTCACGAAGTATCTTGGTCACTAAATCAGCCTGCGATTTGCCAAAGGAGGGCGATATCACTAAACTGACAATAACACCTTCCAAGATGGCAGTTGGTTTGGATGCACATGCTCTCGTTAATGCGGATGCGAGGACGAGAGATGGGGATGATCGTAGTTCAATGATCTAGCAATGTAGCAATGGTGTGAATATGAACCAGTGAGTCAATATATTACGATTTGAGAAGTGTTTTTTTTTGGTACCTTGTCAGCAAACAACAATCTCGCCACAAACACACTTGACGAGTACGACAAGTCGACGTCAAAGAAATGACGACATAAATGCGACGTGATTTCATCAGGTAATTGTCCAAACGGGAGTTCTTGTCCTTTCAACTAAAAGTGCGAATTGTACGTTAACACCCATTCAAGCTCAACGGTAAAATGCACTTCTTTCTACAGCATACCAGATTATCAGGAATCGTTAACAACCCAGATACAGCCTCCACCACCTTATCTAAACTCGTGTCGATCGATTTTTGTCGTAAGGTGGGCGATACAACTTGACTAGCAATAATATCACTTGGTCCAGCTGCAGCAACAGCAGCAGTCTTTTCTTCAGCAGCAGCGGCGGCACTAATTACATCCTGTAGTAACAGCCGAGTCTGCGCAATCATCGTTTCGTATTCTTGATCTGGACGGGAATTCGTTGCGGGGGATGACACTGATGATGTATCATCGTCATCGTCATCATAAGTGCTCGCTGTGAATCTTGGACGCTTCCTTGGACTCTATATCGATAGAAAACAGTCCAGTTTGAATGTTGAATGATTTGATGTTTAGCGATTGCGAAGCACGTTACTTCATATATAGCTTCTATCCCATCTGGTATATGCCATGGTAGCTCATATGCGGGTTCCTCTGTATCTGAAATATCAGATTCTGATGGAGCTTTCAGGTGATCGGTGTTAGTTTGATGAAAATGTTCACAACAATTACAAAGCTCGTACCAAGAGGCTCTATTGGCGCAGCAAAGAAGGCTATGCGATCAAGTCCTATACGTGCCTCTGGAGACAGTAGTTGATATATGCGGTTAAAGTGTTGCATCCTATTTAACGCCTTTCTTGGAGTCGGAGATTCAGCAAACCAGTAGAAGGACAATCACAAAACGCGAACGACCAAAGGTGATGACCTTTTTACTACTATTTCTGATTTTAATACATTTGTTTATATTTGACAATCTTTGTTATTTATTCTATGATTAACCACATTATTGACCACTAAGTGCCAGCCAACTCTCTAAATTCAGCTCTCGATTCCAGAGACAAATTGTCTCTAGAACCTCTATTCATTGTCTTCTTCCTCATCATCTCGTTCAGAGGCCACCATCTTGAAATTCGACATCAAAGCACTTTGGTATGTGCCTTCACTCATGATCCTTGATGCAGCAGCTTCAGACCATTCCTTGAAATCAAATTCTGCAGGATCATATTGTGCGAATGGATGTTGAAGTAGATCACTTGCAGTGGGCCTTTTTTCTGCATCACTAAAGGACAGCCAGAAGATTAGCTAGTTGACCAAAGGGGCTGGGATCATTGCCCTCGTACATCTCATCCGTTGTAGACTCACACTGTAAAACACAGACTAATGAAATCTCTCGCTTGATCAGTGACATCGTCTGGAATTTGAGGCGACTTGCCAGTCCCAATGAGATACAAGACGTGACCAGATATGTTGCGCCATGGCTGATGACCAGTCAGCATCTCCAAAAGTAGACAACCAATACCCCTATTGTGTGTCAGATGAGCTTGTTGAACATTCAACTCAAACAATGAGGATTGAGGCATTTTTTTGTTGCGACTCGTACCAGATATCCACTTTTGCACTATACGCTTGACTTCGAGCAACTTCTGGTGCCATCCAATATATGGAACCTTGAACTGACAAGCGACTGTCGGCCTGATAGACGAGATTATCTGGAATGATAACGGCTTAGAATGAAAAAATTGTGATATCACAATGATGAACGACGTACTGCATACCTTGTCGTTTAGATATTCCAAAATCCGATATCTTGGCAACTCCCAAATCATCCAACAAGATGTTGGCTGCCTTGATATCACGATGAATCACATTCAAATCGTGTAAATACTTGAGCCCACACAGGATTTGATACACAAGAGATCTCGCCAAGTCCTCTTCAAATTTGCCATATTTTGAAAGACAAGAGAGAACCGATCCACCGGGGATATCTTTCATAGTGGGAAATGTGTGATTTAGTACAATATCGTTGAAATTGTGCCAATATATTTTGAGTTTCTTACATTCCAAAAACACATTGAAGAAGCTATCAGTCACTTCATGACCTATGTGATTGGGATGTCAGTAACTAAAGTCGCGCTTGAAATGTCTCATCGATATCAGTATTACCGAAATATCGAACTATATTAGCATGATCCAAAGTCGAGAGAAGGCCCATTTCAGTAGTCAGGGCCTTCTCTCGACCCATCTTGATCTTCTCTTCATCGTCCCCATCAAGAGGCACTTGCTTGACAGCCATGATATCACCAGACTCCATATCAACTCCATAGTACACCTTACCGAAAGCACCTTGCCCAATAAGTGGACCTTTAACCCATTGTTTAGACTTGACCGCCAACTTGATTGGCTTGCCATTCGTGATTGCAGTATCATCTTTATGAGGAGATTCAGGCGGTGTGCTATGCGTTGTGGATGGGTTTGATTCTGTTGTCACAATCTTGGGCGATGGAGATCGTGCTTTTGCTTCTCGTGCTGTTTGGATGAGGCCAGGCGATGGTGACCTTGATTTGGGTTCTCGTTGTATTGGTTCTTCTTTCAACTCACCCAGACTCGTTGGAAGAGGTGCACGAAGTGTCTTGACAGCAACTGGTCTTGGAATGTCTTCATGACCACCCAGATCAGCATTAGACGATACAACAGATGGTGTCGGTTTGTATCCGCAATACGGAGATGGTCCCAAAACCGAGCGACGACCACTACTTGAAGTCAAAAACGAACGTCGTTCTAATTTTCGGACTAGAGCTTGCTGCACTCTTGGCTTGATTGAATCAGCTAGAGTTCGTGACACTCGTCTATCAGCATGACGAGATGGAGCTGCTGCTGAGGTTGATGCTGTTTCTGAAGGTAGTGGTGGAGATGAAGCAAACGATAGCGGTATATGAGTTGGGAACTGTGGTGAATATGGTTCAGCACTGGATGGTGTCATGAGGGTTTGCTCCTGCAACTGCGGGAAAAATGATTCTAAGTTTGCTGCGATTATATCATCAGAAGGCCTTTCACCGAAAGAGTGCGAGTGGAGATCTGGAGTAAATCGTCTTGGACTAACGACATTACTAAAGTTGTTTCGTGCTGGATACGGAGGTGGTGTTGACGTGTTGTTTAGGGGTGGCGTTACGATTGTATTGCCACCGTATGGGTTGGGGCTTGTCGGGCTTGTACAATTAGTACTACGTACGTTGTTGAAGGGCTTCTGTCGTGTTGGCGATGGAAGTTGGTTGTCGGACATGTTCCGTTGGTGTTTGGGACTCGTAATAGAGGTTGATCGAGGGAAGGTGGATACAAGCCGTTTCCCTTTATCAGTGTTTGGCGGCCTGTTCTGATCCTACGCTTGTCAAAATTGAGTCAGAGTTGTCTAAATCCATCGTCAAGGAATTGCCAACAAGTTTCTTACTTCTTCCAGAGGTACGCCATTTACGATTGAAGTGCGCTCTTGAACACGTAAAGTATTCCATGATCCAGCGTCATGGGTTCCTTCCGGTACCTTCACAATAGTGGGGCCCTCTCTGATCGAGAGATCAGTTCTGTTATTCGAAGCGACGATAGTAGGGCCCTACGTGAATCGTATCGAATAAATACGTGTCCGAAAACGTAACTCATGAAAACATCAAACCTGAAGCTGTGCAGACGCTCGTCGTTCTTGATCTGGAACAACGACAATCGTAGGACCCTATAAAACCAGCGATGTTGAGTGCAATGAGTCATCACAACGCTTTGAAAACTAAATCAGGTCCAAATCAGGCAGAAAGTCACAAACCAAAGATTCAGGTCTCTTCAGCGAGTCCCCACGCGACATCCCGCGAGCTGTTGGCCCATATGCATATGTTGCAAGTGGCGAATACAGTTCAGGGGCCGATTGAACGTGACGGAATAAATCAACGTCTGTATCAATCCCTTTAGGGAGATTTCTATTCAAAGTCTGCATTCGCAAGATTGTTGGTCTCGCCTCGTCTTGACTGAAATTCTTATTATGACGAGTCAGCGTATTGGTTCTAGAGAACGATGCGGGTTGGGATCTAGCAGTGTTGCTTCGACTCAGAGATTGTTGTTGAAGAGGTTGCGGTATAGAACGAGGGCTAGGAACCCTTTGCAATGGTGTTGTCACAAAGTCGGACTCGTCCTTTATCAAGGTCCTGATGGCTTGAAGGACACGAGCTCGAGTTCCCACAACTTGGACACCAACATTTCTCAGAGCATCATAGTCTAGTTCCAATAAGACACGTCCAGTTACGCCTCTAATGACGAATAGCGGAGCGATATCAGTAAAGCCAAGAGCATCAATCCAATCTGAGACATCGTCACTAGTCCTAACAAAGCGCAATACGAGAATCCTGTAAGTTAGATTGTTGAAATCCTCACAAGCACCACAATGATTCTATACGACAGCCCCATCTCCACAAAACACTCAAGTGATTAAGTTGCGATGTTTAATGAGATTTTGCAAATTTCAAGCTTTACCATGACATTACTGCGGATCTCAATACACAAAACTGATCAAAAGAGGGGCTTTCATATGTGGGTGAAGGTAAACTACTAGCTGGAGCCTCGTTGTTTGTCCGGTAAGTTGGCCTTGAGAGTGACTCTTGACGAGATGGCAGAGTTCTGAGAGCCCCTCCTTCCGAACGGGACCGCGAATGGCCTTGTCTGGCGCTGTTTTCATAGTCGTTCATTGCAATACTGTTCAAATATATGTGGTTTCTGTGAACAGTTTCAAACGTGATTTCAAAAATGTTGTGTGCGTCGAAGTGTGTCGTTCCTACTGGCACGACCCACCTGGGCGTTGCTGTGCACTACATTATCATTTATTTTTGATTTTGTGTAGCCTAACGCGTCGCATTATCGCCGATCGATATACGTTTCGTCAAGTTTTCAAAGAATTGAAAAACGTTTCACCATCAGGATGTTTCGAGCAGATATTTGAACACATTGTTTTATAAGCAGACACCGAGTTTGTTATTGTCAGGCGGTATATTCAGATCTTACATTTAAAATATGTTGTTTCTACAGTCACAATACTAGCCAAGTCGTATTTTATATTACTGAAGCTGGAGCTTCCTGGCCGTCAGATCCAATAAGAGACTTTAATTGAGTCAAAGCATCAGTCATTTGTCGAGACACGACACTCAAGACCGATTTCGTAATCATGACTTGTGGTTGAGGAGACTTCAATGGCTTGTTGATCTTCAGGACGGTAGCAGCTGCGGGATCCAAGGTGCTAATGGGACTGGGAGTCTTGTTGATTTTGATATTGGTAGAGACAGTCTTAAAGGTGGTCATTTGAGCTACAGAGACTCCAAGTTTGTGATCGGATGACGCAGCACCTCTGGCAGCACCTTGTCGTGCAACGGCAGAGGCAGATTTGCCATTGGCTAGAATTGGTTTGCCAAGAGATTGCTTGGAACGGACTACCTCCCAGCTGTTTGAGAATTTTACTAGACGGTTTGATGGAGCGGGACGTCCCAGAATCTGATTTGTTGCAAGTTGTGTTAGTTTCAAATATTTGAGGTCTAACTTCACATGCAACTCTTCTGAAAAGCAAATTGCCGTTTCATGGTCATCCGAGTTATATATCGTCGCGTTTGGTTATTGATAACACGAGCAGGTCCTTTCCAAAATACAACGGAGCAGCCACGTGTACATACCAATGAAAGGGCTAACGCAAACATTTTGTAAGCCATAGCAGGTCCTAGTAGAATAATTACAGCAGCAATTGCCGCGGTTTTACTATCCAACTTTTTTGTATCGAGGAGGACCATTTTGCCACTCTTGGTTGTCAAGGGGAGTAAGAAGGGGGATCCAACGGTCAATACGTCTGTAATAGTCATGGTTGCTTTAAAAGATGTCTTTGAAAATGTATAGATTGTTTAATGGCTTTTGTTTGTTTGTGAAAACGATCCTCGATCCTCAAGCTTTTCGTTGATTGGCGTGAACCCTTTGACGAGTGCAACAAGACGCCTCTATTTGAAACTTGAGCGGGATTTTCATGCCATAGATCCATTATGGAGACGTTTGTGCGCCATGCCTTGGAGCGTTTACCGTAAAGGTAAAGCTTGACTTGTCCACCGACAAATGTTGATCATTCCTGGACATCGTGAAGAAAGGTATCGAATTCATGCACAAATACACGTTAACTTCGTATCGAAGGCCTTGTTTTCTCATTCTGTTCGACTCTTGACTCTTTCTTCGTATTCCTGACGACATTTTGATGGAAGCTCCTGAAGCCGAGTTTCTTTACAGAGGACACGAAGCAGACGTTCGAGCTGTATCATTCTTGCCTCAAGGCCGAGGATTATTGTCAGCGTGAGTTATTCTTGTTTGCGTAATGTTGAGCTTTCACGAAAACAGCCAACGTCAAATGCAAACATTTTAGAGATGGCGCAGGAGTCTTGATTGTATGGACACTGGATACTCGTAGAGCAATACGGAAATGGCAAGCACATTCCAATGTCATCTATGCAGCTGATGCAATACCTTCTGATCCATGGTGCATCATCAGGTTTAGAGTCAATTTGTTGAACTGAAGCTTGACGAGTTAGGTTCACAAGACATTTCTTAACTAGTCAAGGACGCGATAATGTGTTGCGTGGTTGGAGTGGAAGCGAAATCCTAGATGAGGCTGTTGAGACACCAAAACCTGTCTTTGAATTGGCAATCAATGCACTGAACTTTTGTCGATTTTCGTGGTGTTTCAGCGGTATGATGCTCCTATTACGCTCTGCATGTAATTGCTCTAAATCTTACTAAATATATAGATGTTACCGACAAGGAGAATCTGCTCCTGGCCTTTTCAAACTTCAACAAACCTGAACTTGTTAGTATCCACGGATGCAACAGGGTTTTTTCCGCCTCATATTTCTAACAAGATCTAAATTATTGTAGATTGATGTATATGACCTACGCCGTCGTACATATATATCAAGGGCTCTTGACCCACAAGCGAAATCCGGAATGTGTTTATGTACGAAGCTCTTTCGACGGTCATCTACTCCAGACATCCTCATAATGGCAGCTGGATACGAAGATGGGTCTATACTTATTTGGGATGTCAAGATGAAAAGCATATTAGGCAGGATCGAGGTTTCCAAGGAACCAGGTTTGAGACATACATTCATTGCACGAACGTCCTGTTTTGTTGTTGCTGAAATCGCCTATAGTTTTCGCTCTAGACGTTCAAGCTGACGGTCTTGAAGGTGTAGCTGCACCAGCAGCTACGGAGATTGCCAGTTTCTCGACAGAGTTTGATCAGGTAAAATCAAGAACGCTGTTTCACTTCGCAACAATGTTTGTCAAACATGACTTTCGCTGACATCTCCTTGCTAATACTAGGAAGGACACGTAAAATGGATGAAGACCGCCTCGCTTCCAGCTGCAGGAGTATCAGAGATCGCTATCCGAGGCGATGGTCGTATACTAGCGACAGCAGGGTGGGATTCCAAGATTCGGATCTTTGCTTTGAAGAAACTGAAACCATTGGCGGTATTGACAGCTCATCGGGATGGTGTTCAGTGTGTAGCTTTTGCGTGGAGGGCTACTGATACGCAGCCAACAGAGGGATTGTCGTCCATGTTGGCAACAGGATCAAAAGATAAACGTGTAGCATTGTATAAAATATATTAAGAAAATGACAATTGAATCTTGAAAGTTTTGATCACTTTAGTTGAAAGCCTACTTAGCCAGACTTCACTGCGCATCAAACAAAGTAGCAGTTCCTTTACCGTTCTTGTCAATATCAAGAGGCCAGGTTCTCCACGGCAACTGCAGCTAGATATTTCCTTGTAAATCACCCCGTTTCAACCTACCATCCTTGTCAAATCACGGCTGTAGAATCACAACCTTCACGAAATGTTGGGCAACATGGACGAACCAGAACAAGCCAATACATTACAATCTCTAGCATTAAAAACACTCAATTCCGATCGAAAACATCCTGTTTACTACCACACGTTTAGTAGCGGAGTGGACGAACTTCAGGCATCATTGCTCAAACATTATGATGCAGAGCAACGAGTATTACCGTGGCGAGTGCCCAGTGGATCGAAGGCAGACCATAGATCGACGGATGAACAGTTTAATTCGCAACGTGCCTATGAAGGTATGTCATCTTGCTTTGTCTCGTCAACATTCACAATACCTGACGCATCACGCTCTTCCTAGTTTGGATCTCAGAGGTTTTTCGTCAACAACATCTTAACAATGAATCTTCATCGCTTACGCCTGTCTCAATCCAGATCATGCTTCAACAAACAAAAGTCGATACGGTGATTGCCTACTATGAGAAATGGATGGCTAAATGGCCAACGCTAGTTGATCTTGCCAAAGCGACACTAGAAGAAGTGAATCAAGTCTGGACTGGACTTGGTTATTACTCTAGAGCACGAAGAATTCTGGAAGCTGCTCAACTCGTCACTGAGAAATTCAATGGGGAATTGCCGAGAACGGCTGAAGAGCTAGAAAAAGAGATACCTGGCGTTGGGCCGTATACAGCTGGTATACGTTGGTCATTCGTCAAATCATAGCGCCCTTTATTTGCTCAATCCTCGTTTCTCTATGCCTTCGAACAGGTGCAATCGCGTCTATCGCATACAATCAACCTTCACCTCTCGTCGATGGAAATGTCATTCGAGTATTATCACGACTACGAGCCATCAGTGCAGATCCGAAATCCAAACCCGCTGTAGATCTTCATTGGTCGCTAGCTCGAACCATACTCAGTAAAAGTAGACCTGGACACTTCAATCAAGCTTTAATGGATTTAGGTGCAACTATATGTACGCCCACGAGTCCCAGTTGTACTGCTTGTCCCATCAGCGATCATTGTTTGGCACTTGCTGAGGTATGCCTTGCTGCTTTGCAGTTTCACAACAGAAGATTCAGGTCCATTTTGTTTCGTTTAGCTAAAGGCACACAAAGTCGCTGCTGCATCCAAGTTTTCTGGAAATGGCGCTGCAGAGACATGGGAGTTGGAGGCAGATGCAGCTTGTGAGATATGTCTCCCGTTTGAAGATATTGAGGATTTCAATCCTTCGAGATATCCGTTGAAAATTAAGAAGAAGGCTGCTAGACAAGAAGGTACAGTGATAGAGTCACGTTTATCCGATTTGTAGAGATTTCTTTTTCGCTTCTGTGCGTTCCCTTTGAGATGTTCACCGATTCTTTCCTGTCTAGAACGAGTCACATGCGTACTAGAACACAGACCTGCTGATGGCGGTGAGTCGAAGTATCTGGTAGTCCAAAATCCAAAGAAAGGTATTTTTCAGCATGAACTATTCGTATTTTTGCTCATTTCAAAATCCTCACTACCATCCCTCACTACCCACCAACCAGGAATGCTCGCAAACCTCTGGGACTTCCCATCACATCCCCTCCCAGAATCGTCACCCAAAGAGCAACATCCCGACACTATCACCGCACTACTCGCATCATACACAACATCAACCCCATACACATCACAGAAATCAATCGGACTTGTAATGCACAAGTTCAGTCATGTCCATTGGTCTATGAATGTATATCATTGGGTAATTGCCACTGACGAGATTCCAGAATTGGATACGTCAAAAAGCAATGTCGCATGGTGGACTAAGACGGAGGTGGCATCTGATGCATCGGCTGTGCCAAAGACGTTGAGGAAGGTGTGGGATGCGGTTTGTGGTGTCAAGAAGGGGAAACGTAAAGCTGATGACGAGGAGGAGGATTCAGATGATGGTGATGAGGGGGAAGATGCAGAGACAAAGACTCCTAAGAAGAAGGCTAAAAAGACTTCAGTTAAATCTAAAACGCCGTCAAACCAAAAGAGTATTACATCCTTCTTCAAGAAACCACCAGCTCAAGACGCAAAGTGAAAATACACCCCCACTGACCTTTTAAAGTCTTTATTTTTTCATGCTTCTTATAGTACAATTCTAATGCAAAGCGGGATTTCTATATATTTGTGCAAATTTTTATGTATAAAAAGAAACCTTTCCTCTCATCTCGCTCATCATCCTTTCAGCAACTTTTTCATCACCCTTTCATGTTTGTCTTTCTTTGCTTTAGCCTTACGTCTCTCTTCCCGCTCAACTCTGCGTTCTTCCTTCTGCTGCAACTAGACGAGACAAAGAAAGGGGGGTGAGAACATTTAAACAAAAAAAAGGGGTGACAAACTTTCTCGATGTGTATTGCTGTGACATTCACTGGTGTTTACCTTCTCACGTTGAGTTCGCGTCATGGTCTTCTTCCTGCCAGTCTTGGTAGTGACTTCAAATCCATCATTGGCACCAGGTACAACTTCATCTCGGGCATCATCGTCATTGGCCTCGACCAGTTTTGCCAGCATCAAGTTTTGAGCTTCTGGAGTAACATAGAGCAGAGAAGCTGCTTGGTCGGGAGGTATTTGCTTATATATATCGTCAATGATCTAAAATCATCCAAGAATATGGTCAGCACACATGGCATTTTTGCGAATGACAGAAACAGCCAAAGGCAACTTACAGTAAACTCAAACCCTTGATCAACAAGCCAAGTCCTTCGCTTCTGAGACCAATATACTTCATCAGTGTCTTTAGAGACCAGTGTGAAGAAGTGGGCTTTGAAACCAGGCTCGGTACGTCTCTTGGCTCGCAAGATACGACCCATACGTTGAGCTTCTTGACGACGAGATCCGAATTGAGAGTTGATTTGAATCAAACAGGTCGCTTCAGGCAAGTCTAGAGATGTGTCACCGACTTTGGACAGGAAGAGAGTCGGGAATCGAGTGTCTCCTGCCTTGAAGGCACGAATAAGCCCCATACGTTCACGGTGGTCAACACCACCATGAATGTAGGGCTTGTTGAGAGCTTTGGCATAGAACTGGTGGTAGAAAAAGGGGAGTGTGAGAAGCGGGTACGGACAAAAACTTAGAAACAAAGAAATAATTGGGATGAAGTAACTACCTCTAAGGCAAACACATTATCTGAGAACACTAGGATACGATCACCAAGCGACTCGCGCCATTTGATAAGCCATTGGCAGACATTGAATTTGCCAGGATGCAAGACTGAGATAAGTCGTCGTTTACTGCATGCAAGGATTTAGCACTAAGCTCTTTATTCTTCACGGTCAAAGCAACGACTTACTTGGCTGAGGCCTTCATATAAAGATCATAGAAAGCAGATGGCATAGGACACCAGACTTCTGTACACTAGTTGATGTCATTTGAATTGAAAAGTTTTTTTGCGTTCAAATGATTGCACAAAGTCACACTTACATCGACGCGAGCAATATGACCAGCATCCATCAACTCAAGCCAATCAGCTTCATACAGTTTCGGCCCGATCAAAAAGTTCAGGTCCTGAATCTTGTCATCTTCTCGCACCAATGTAGCCGTCAAACCCAATTTAGCATGTGCAGCCACAATCGTCAACACTCGCCTGAAGACTTTGGCAGGTATGACGTGTACTTCATCAAGAATCACCAACCCCCATTCTCGAGAATTGATGAATTCAAGTACTTCTTGTGTTGCTTTGGCACGTTCACCTTGATTCGACATCATGGTATAAGTGCTAATCAAAATACCAGCAGGCGTTTTGAATGCATCTTTTGATTGGGCAGTAAATGCAGCTATAGCTCCGTCAGGAACATTGGCCCATCGTTTGAATTCTGTTTCCCATTGGCTTACAGATAGTGCATTTGTGCATAATACCAGGACTGACTTTTTAATGGCAGATGCTGCTGCTATTCCTACTAGGGTTTTACCGGCACCGGTAGGTAGCACGACAATACCAGATCGAGCTCGATTCTGACCGCCAAGTAACTTGTACAAGGCTTTTGCTTGGTAGTCACGAGGAGCAGTAGTACCTTTCAGAGTCAAGTCGAGAGTGGGATTGGCTGTATCTTCTGTATATGCATATTCTTCTAGTAAGGGATAGTCGAGTTCTCGACATCGTCTTCTTACAGTTTCTACCATATTCTTACGAATCTCAAAGGATTCAGTCAAGTCGATCAGATTCTTCTTAGATGACGACAATATACCCAAGTCATCTGTAGCTTCTGCATCTTCATCATCAGATTCATCATCTCGATCGACGGTGATGACGGCACCAAACATATCGTCTATCTGAATACCAGCTGCCATAGCTTTGCGTTCTTCTGGAGCAGGTTGTGGTGCAACAGTATCGGATATTACACGAGCCCCAGCAATGACTTCATCCTTGAGCAGCATACTTAGAATCTCTGGATGAGCAGATTCCACGTGGTAGCGATTATTCTTCAATACCAATCTTACTTTACCATATGTATGAGTACATTCCTTGATGAATTTTATGATATTACGTGGCACGACTGTTTTACTAAACCTTTGTAGCGTTTTGATGATGACGTTGGTTTCTACTCCTACTGATACTGCGGCGTACAATGAGAAGGAGGTCAACTTGTACTCATGCATGCGAGCAGGTCGAGACGATGGTTCTGCGACAGTAGTCAAAAAGTCCTTTGCTGCCTTTGCTAACGTAGAATACCCTTCTAATATCATGGTACCGTCTGGAGTTATGATTAATGGACGTAGCGCATGGTCTGGCAGTAAGTCTAGATTCCTAAAGTCTGAATTCTCTGGAAAACGAGACGTCAAGAAGTCTGGTGGTGGCGGTGGTACATCCGAAGTAGATACAAGTGCCGCAGCACTGAGACCAGCCTTCTTTGGTATGAAAGACGTCGTATCAATGATCTTCATGTTTTGATAGTTGGGATCTGTGGTTATTGCCGCATCGAATTTCTTGTTTGCTTCGTCATCGTATACGTCTGATTTGCGACGTGGTATATCATCATCATCATCATCATCGTCGTCTGATGTTTGATAGTCCTCGATCTGCAATGGTTTTGAATCTGGGGGCATGCTTGATCTACTACCGACGCTGATTATATCATCTTCGACGTCTATATCCATACTACTACTAGGCACCTCAGCTTTGACTGATTCTGTTTTAATCATTGATTCTGTTTTGATCACTGGTTCCTTCTTCATTACAACGACAGCGTCAACATCGTCGTCAATCACCTCGATGACTTCCTGCTTGACTGCGACCATTGCAGGGTTTATGGAAGCAGATGGGTGCAGTGGATGTTGTGGTATTTTGACTACAGGGGAAGTTGATCGAGGTGGCGACATTGGCCCATTCACTGGCGTAGCTTCCTTCTTCACAACTCTTTGTTTTACATTACTGTTCTTGACCTCATCTGCTGGCAGTGGTTGTTGTGGTGGCCTAGCAGGAGGCTTGAGCTTCAATTTCAAAGAGGGCAAGGGAGCAGCAGGTTGTGATATAACAAAAGGAGGTTGCTCGTCGTCAAGAATGATTATTGGTTCTGATGTTGGTGAATTGGACATTGCTGGGTTGATTATAACAGGAAGATCGCTGACAGGAGTGACAGGGCCATTATTATGAGTGAGTCTTAGAGTGATCTTCTTTTGCTTTGGCAACAACTCGACAGGCAATGGCTCTAGATTAAACATTGAATAGTTTCGAGTTCAGGTTTTCAGTGTGGAATGCATTCAGACGAATAAGCAAGGTACCTGCGGGACGCTTAATAGTGATCTTGCCCGCCTTGGGAGGGCCTGAATCCATTTACGAGCTCGATATATCACAGAATTAGATGCCACTCGGTTGGAACTTTGTTGTTCAGTTCGAGTTGACCAACGTCTACTCTTGTAGGGAAGGGCCAACGGAAAAGAAAACTAAATTACACGGATTCGTATCTTACACCTAATCCATACTTGATACACTCTACTAAGCAGTAGCGAAAAGCTCAACATAACTAGTATTTGTCTGTTCAAAATGAAGGCGGTGATGGGGCTACCCTTTTAGTGCGTGAATTATAAGAATATAAACGCGCCAAACACGTGTAATTAACATCTTTACTAGCTACATGACCTGATTTCAAATGTCCATGCTAACTTTTTCATTTCAACACACCTTCCTTTGTCAATCTTTTTCTGATTCGAGCTACTCGTTACTTATATATGGACAACATGGCTGCAGCTGGCAGTAGCGGAGCACAACCCGACATTCCACTCGAGCCTGTTGTCGAGTCGAGTTGGGGCGAACGAGGTTTGAAGAGAACGAGGTCTGAGACAGAAATGGAACGAGGTGATGGTACCAATGACTTTAACAGTGGCACCATTGATACCAGCAATCAAGCACGATCCACCACTCCACCCGCAGTCTCCTCATCAACTGGAACCGTAAACCCAATGTCATTGTCGAGAAACGAATCCGTCATGGAAATAACAGACAGCCCCGTACAGCAACCGAATTGTATTATAATAGATCTCACAGACTCGCCCGATGTATCTGTCTCCTCTTCTTCCACAAACCATCGTCGCCAACGACCCAGACTCAACAACAATGATGATGACATACAGTTTATATCATATACTGCTGGGAATAGAACAGAGCCTCCTAGAAGAAGACTACCAGTCAATGATACTACCAGACGAAGGCCACCATCAACTGTCGATCTCGATGATGATGACGATGATGAAGAAGAAGAAGTACAGCTCATTAGTCCATCCAGGTCTAGAAGGAATAGAGCCACAACGGTGGATGATGATGTTACTGTAATGGATGAACGGCCAGCACCAGCTCAGCAACAACTACAACAACCAAATACACCCAGAGCAGCTACCCAACTAGATCGTACGTTACCGTCTCCTTGAATGCTACGCTAGCAGTGACTTCGCAGCTCAATCGCTTCTCTCTCCCTCGCTAGGTATGTTTGCCGCATTACGCCATTTCACTTATCCCTCTGCAACCCCTCCAGCTCGAAACATTGGATTCTTTGGCTTGCAATTCCAATTGGACGATAACGAAAACCAACAGCCAACTGCAGGTGCAATCAGGCCAGCACCAGCAACAACAAACGCATCAGCAGGAGGCAGTAGCACTGCTGGCGGTAGCAGTACAACAGGTTTAACAGGCATACACAGGAACGTGCTGTTGGACGCAGCTATGCTCGCACCGCCAGTCCCGGAAGCTTTGCCTGAAAGGGCGGCTGCGCTGAAATGCGCCATATGTTTGTCATACGCTGCTGAAGGTGAAGGGGTTGTTCATATGTCACATTTTTTCAGTTTTACTAATCTTTTTGTGAGTGTAGATACTCCATTGAGCTCTACGACATGTGGCCATATCTTTTGCGATGGTGAGTTACATCCTGGTCTTGTGTTTTTAGACCTCAATTTCACGTTCTACATTCATTGTATAGAATGTGTACGAGATGCCGTGAAGAGTACAGGAAAGTGTCCCATTTGCAGAAAGGGTCTCAAGGCCAAGAACTCTATACACAGGTACACGTCATTTGACTGTCTGGTACATCAGAGGCTCTCAATTAACGCATTTTTTGGTCAGGTTGTTCTTAACGTGATTTTCGTTGGATATTCAGCAATATGTAACAAACTTCAGAATGTACTTGTAAATAAATCCTCCATTCCCCATTGTTTCGCTAGATAACATTCCATGACGCGACCAGTCTTTGGACTAGTCAACGACTTTGACTCACTTTTGGAAGACGACTGAACTTGAAATTTTGTTGAGGACTGTTCTGCAACGGATCAGATAGATCAGCTCACTGTATCAAGTAGCATGGGAGGACACGCTCTAACAGAGATATCCACAGAGAGACTTCCTCGAAAGGAATACTTGGAACTGGAAGCCAAAGTCGTGAAACTGTGCAAACAAGTTTATGAATATGTGCAGGTTCCACGATACGTGGACGCCAAGGCCGATTTCGGCGATCTGGACCTCGTAGTGTATAATCCGATAGTTGAATCACCTATAACCGAACTTGCAGAACTGGTGAAATCAAAACAAGTGGTTAGATCAGGCAAGAACGCATCCATGGAATGTGATTCCTTTCAAGTTGACATTATAACGTGTGAGAGTCTAGAGCAGTTTGAATATCTTGTGAGGATGTTGTCGTTTGGTGATTTGGGCAAGGTGAGCGTCATGTCAATCCAGCTAGGTGCTTGTGTTTTGGTTGGATCGTCTTTGGATCAAAATGACATTGATTGCTATCAGAACATCATTTCTGACTAGCTTTTCTCCCATGTAGATATCCGGTATCATGAGCAGATGGATTGGTGACTTCAAATTCTCCAGTGATGGACTCTTTTACAACCTCGTCACCACATCGCATTCCGAATACGTGCCATTCACAGAAGGATCAGGAATACTCTCTCACGCTGACGCAATATCATTCTTGGGATTTGACGCTGAGAGATTCGGCGCCGGATTTGTCTCTGAGCAGGACGTGTTCGAGTATATCATCACATCAAAGTACCATAGTTTCAGCATGTGGAAGGGCCTAGATGAAGTAAAAAACGGATATGAACGTAAACAGATGCAGAAGAGGGGTATGTGGGCACGTTTCTTGGAGTATGTGGCCACCATAACAGACAATCTTGAGGACAACGAAGAGGCTGAACGTATTCGGCATGAATATCATCATCAATGTGCATTCCAGCAATATCCGAGTCTGGCTACTCGAGTAGATGCTATAACGAAACGAGTCGAGTTAGAGAGACGTGTCAAGGGGAAATTTAATGGGGGGAATGTTGGAGAGTGGACTGGTTTGACGGGGAAGGCTTTAGGTGAATTCATGAAACGGGTTAAGGAGGTTGTTGTGGATGGTGCTGGAGCAGGTACGTTCTTGACGAGAGTTGATGAGATGGATTTAGATGCGTTGAGGCAGCTTGTTGTGAGGATACATAAGAACTCGTAGAGTAGTGGTGTTGTAGACAGTAGTAAATTATATTCTATATATATATAATTACATTAGGCTCTATTTATGAGTGGCTCTCTACCGATCATCAGGCCAGAAGGGTCAGAATGACAATGTTGCACACCGTCAGACTTATGAATGCTAAAGCGTATTGAACCAGGATTACAGCGGCGATCTAGCAGGGAATAGCATGAATAATTGATGCAATAGTTGAAATCTCATGTTGATCTCACCTCATCAGCACTTCCATCAGGAGACTAAACAATTGCAAACTGATCAGAAGACCATTTTGAAGTGGTGTAATAACCGCAACATCTTACCCATATCTGAGTCAAGAAGACAGCACTACCAGCTGTTGGAACACAGCACTGAAACATTACTATTTTGAAATTGTTGCAAATAAAACTGGTTGTTAACTTTGAATCTATCGACCAAACATTGTGGACCAATCACATAAACACAAACAAAACTCACAAATGAATCGATATATCTTGTTGGAGGGATCAACCCATCCAAAATGATACGTCACTAACTGACACAGCGATATGGCTATTATTGGTAGTATGACCAGTCTTGATGCAGCAATAGACAAGAGGAGCCGTGCAGGTGGTAGTGATTGTACTTTAAGTCTTCCAATTGCTGCACCCATGTTGAGAAGACCCATTGGAACTGCTGCCGCACCAATATATGTGAATGTGTCTTGAATGACTAATGTTTGAAGGGAAGGATAGTTAGAAAATCAACAACAAAGCGCAGGTCCTAAAGCATGAAGTACCACGGAGCGGCGGCTCTTGATCTGGAGCGGGTGTAGCATATATATCCGACGGCACCAGCAAGTTCTTTATAGCTGGTATCTGACTGATAACCAACGCCATTATGATGCTGACATTAGCCATATTGGTCAACCCTGCAAAGAAATAAGTTACGAAACTCGGTGGATGTGCTATATGTTTCAGCATGGGTTTGTTTTCAGCATAAATGACAAACTTTTGCCATTCTTCTTCTATTTTGCCCTGTACTGCATATATAGGTCTAAACAACCAGAATGGCTGCTTTGTGGGTATAAGTGTTGGTTGTGTTTCGACAGATATCTTCTTCTTTACTGATGCAGCTCGTGATATTATAGCTCCTGTATTCGAGTTCTGTCTACTGCTTATCCCTAAATCACCGACCTCTTCCGGATCACTTGTGATGTGACTTGCATCCAATAAATTATGTTGCTCTTCGTTATTCTCCTCATCGTCATTACGATGCGTAGACGACGGTCTGGGAAGTGAAGGTGGCATGGGTGCAAACGAAATCGAAGCTGCCCGAGCTTCATGGAAGCTCCTTACACTAGCTGTACTCGGTCTACGATTCCTCAGACTTGGGTGTGGACTGGAGGCTTGAGTTACGTGTCCTTCGCCCATTGCCAGTAAACTGGTTGTTGAGGCCACCGTTGATAATATAGCCTCGGGCGTCTGTGTTGAGTCGTCTATGTCGGTACTGTGGTTGTTGGGTTCTACTTTGACGAGCACAGGTGGTTCTTCGGCTGGCTCGTTATCTGTAAAGTCACGGCCAATATACATGTAGCAGAATGAGAAAAAGATCAGGTTTACAATCACTTGGTAGGCGGACACCAGAGCTTGGCCGTAGACTGCGTCGTTGCCAAATGGAGGGTAGTTTCCCAATGATCCAACCACTAGCAACCACCTTTAGCAAACAGCCATCGTTGAATAAGGAGAGCAACACTTACCGGCAAGCGATATATCACCCCAATTCCCCATCATAGTAGCCATAACAGATCCATTCCTAAACTTTTGTGGCGGATTACAGAATGCTCGTACCAGCAACCCAAGACCTAGACCTAATGCGAATAGCACCAGTTCCCAGATAAACATGAACCCCAAAGCTTGGAGTGTAGAACTGTCGATTGCGGAAATGATCTTGCTCATGAATACACAGGGATAGAGGACAGTTACTAGCACCTGAGCAATCGTTTTAGATCCAGACGAGCTTAGTTTGCCTTTGGTGATGATGAAACGAGGTTAGGACAGCACGACTTGAATGTTTGAAGGTTTGCAATTTTCAACACCACACATCGGCTAAACACTTGGAAACATACCTACACGAGCCAGTATAAATCCAAATCCCATATTGATGACTATTAAGAAGTGTAGTTTTAGCGAGAGATTCGTCCAAATGTCAACCAACCAAAACACCAAAAAACTGACAGATCTTGACGAACGGTCTTGCCGAACTCCATATTAGCAGCCACGACAGCACCATCTTTCAGGACGCCTGGTTCAAGGCAAGGTAACGCTGCACTTCGTCCTCAACCAACTTGCAAAAAAATAATCGTCACGACGAATTTTCGAACGTACTGAACAAAGCCATTACATCTTATATCGGTCGCTCATTTTGCACGGTAAAACTCGAGTTATAGGAGATTTTATTTCGTTGCTGAAGGTTCCCTTACGCCTCTTCATTTGTGTCCCTTCCCTTGTCTTCTCTATTGACTTTTGGTTGATTTATCTGTGTACTGTGTTTTCGTTTTCCCAACTCTTTAAACTTAGTTGACTTTGGATGCAGTAGTCTTCTCATTCATGAGCTTGTTGCTCAGTTTAGCTAAAAGGTTGGATTGGTTGGCATCTTTCCGAGAAAAGAAACAGCACATCTCCAAATATGGCGGGATTCAAAATAGTACATACCAGCAGATTCCTGCCTGCAAGTTTCCATGTTTGGGCATCTGTGGGCTTCCACCTGAAAAAAATATGGTCAAGTTAGCTCCGTTTTAATAGTGGAAACGGACACGATAAACAACATACATGACGATGTTTCGAACAAAACTTGTCATTACAGTATCGACATAATCCAACAACGATACTCCTAAAATAGTTGAAAATATATCTTGGTTATTTCCGTCACCAAGTGAAAAGATAACATCCACACAAGACCCACCTTTTCTCAGTGCAGCCGTTTATAGGACACAAGTTCGCGGCTTTCTTCGATGGGGTAGCTGCAGCTGAAGTAGAGGAAACGGTAGTGGTAGTAGTGTTTGAGGCGTCCATTGCTTTATTTGGCGGGTTTGGTATGGATATTTAAAAGTTATCTGGATTTGCGTAACTAGACTACTACCGACTACTCGTTCGTTTGTTGTTGGTCAGATGATGTTGGAATGTGACGAGGGATGTGAAGACGTTAAAAAGGCTTCTTGATATATCTTGGGGTTTGTGGGATTTCAAATGTCTCATGACTGTGATCAGCGCAGTAGGAGGAACTTAGAAACCGGTCTAGAACCCTCGCGTTTATTTTCGCTGTAGCCTGCTGAAGGTTTGGAGTAGGACCCGTAGTAGAAAAGTCATTTATAAATTGTCTATGGTGGTATTGTGCTTGTTTTTTTCAAAGACTACATATTTTTTTACAGAGTTTAAGCATCTAGACAGAGCGAAAAAAAATCAGTACAGAAATATCATAGCAATCAATGAAGCACTAAACCTACATTGCAAATCCCATGAACTCATCCATTTACGAGTTCTCAAGACTTCTACAGACGGGAACCCTGTTCCGTACGTCAATGGCGAAAAGTAATAAAACCCACCAATATATAGGACTGTCAAGATAGTCAAGAATCCCCAATACACAGGTCCACCAGATCCTGTCAACCATTGAGCTATGGGCACTCTCATGGTCCAACTATTATATGGACCCCATCCACCGCCAACACCGCCAGGTATGACTTGTCCATGGTGGGTTTCCGCTACAGTCAATATAGTACCTTCATGTGTCACTCGACCAATAAAGTCAAAGACGATGGCGGTATTCAATACAGAGAATAGCAAGGCTGGTAAATAATGATGCAAGAATAGTTGGCGACCCATCAAAAAGAAGGGCGCCCAATGACAAATCCATGCAATCCACATAAACCCTCCAGCTCGATCCCACCATCTTCTAATTCCAACTCCTAAATCATCTAGTCCACGTCGTAGCAAGATTCGATCTAGGGTATACATGGCGGCATACATTAATACACCAATCACAGTTGTCCACCATACAAATGGATTGCCTAGTAGATATATTTGTCGCCATCCTTCCTTGTTCTCCCAAAAGGATATACCACGTAATACGAATGGCCATGTTATGGGAGTTGACGAGTATGGATGTGAGCCAGTCAATCCAGCATTATGTTGAATCATGAGAGATTGTAACTCAAAGACCTTTTCCAAGAATGACATGCGTGGTGCTTCGTCAACGGGGAACTTGGTTTCGACTTCATCAGGCATTTCCGTTCCTAAGTTCGGTGTTGTAATGAGTTCAAATGAGAATTGGTGTGCGTGCGAAAAATCGCCAACTGACAAAGTTGTACAACAAAGATTTGCTTACCATTTATGATTGTTTCATGAACTACTTCCTCGACATACCAAATGTTTTCCTTTTCAGGCAAATTCTTGTTACCATTCACTTCTTGCTGATTAAACGCCCAGTCAGGCAATTTGCTCTTATAAGTGTGGATAGCAACTTTATGTTCGTGATTCACGAGCCTAAAGAGCCGATTCCTACTTTTCAACTTGGCTCCAATCGGTAAGGCCGTTTCAATAAATTCCACCTTCCAAAGCGTTTCATTAAATCTATCTTTTAGTTCGTCAAGAGGCATGGTGGTCATTTCCATATGTGTGGGTGTTAATGGTGATGCAACGTCGTGGGTAATCAATAGGGTATCGGTCAAGACGTGTAATAGCTGTACTAGATCTCCGTTTCGTACATATCGGATTGGTTTCCCTTCATCATCATTGTTTATAACAGGAACTTTACCATTTGATTGCTCTGCATCAATTGGTAGCATATGCCATATGTTGTTGGTGTCTCGATGTGGATAACCTGTTACTTGCTGACCTTGAGAACTAATCCGGCCATCCTCATATCGTAGTGGATAGTGTTCTGCATGAGAATGAAGAAAACATCCAGTCTCTTTATGGTAGAAGGTTACATTGGATCCATATGGAACATCTTGATATACGGAGAAACGAAAGTCAGCAGTTTCTCGAGAACTAAGAGCAGCCTGAATGACAAACGCTTACTGAAACTACTGGTGGTGACCTCACTCCCACGCAAGTCTTGTTGGAATCGAGTAGTATGGAAGGCATCTCCAGGACCACTTTTGACAAGGATGGCAAAGTGAATCCAAAAGAAGGACAAGTAGATTATAATGGGCAGAACGATCAGACACAAAGCCCGTGCTGCAAAATGTCGGAAGAATTCACGCTATGCGAAAAAATAAATCAATGCCTACCCAGTTTGATTGAATGCATGAAATTCCATTGCCTGTAATCTTACCAGAGGAAGGGCTCGTTGAAAGTCCAACAACCGCCACAAGTCAATCAACGTGGCGATACCTACAACTGCCACCACAAATAATCCAACAAGCTTGATTCCCAATGCTGCAGCTAGTGCCACTCCAGTCATTGATAACCAAAACCACCAGTTCCTAGACCATGCACTACGAAAGTTGTCGAACTTAGATTCGTAAATCGTGGATGAAACGGATCTTTTCTGTCTCATACTTGTGTCGTTCTTTGAAGAAACGGACCCAGGTGTAGCAACACATCACACATGATAATAACAGCATACTATCCAGCAGAATCAGTCGAGATTGTGTAATGAGAGTGTTGTCTAAGCAAACAAAAATTCGTTGATCACAGCAAATGCTTTTCAACCTGATCTCAATTTCAAATCCAAAGCATTTCATACCAAAGACGAGCATCAGACCAGCAAACAGGGCAGCTGGCAAGGAGACATGCATTTCCTTGAGAATCAGAAACGACATGGGTATACATAGAGCTCCACAAGAAGCGGGAAACAGGCGTAATGCGACATAAGGGACATTATTTGCTACATAATCCTCTCCAATGTTTTCAAAGAGATAATGACCATCATAACCGACAAAGAAACCAGTGAGGGCCAACAAGAGTTTGCCCAACGGAGGATGGACATCAAAGAAGTATTGCCTTCGCAAGTAATAGGATGCGAATTTGCCGAAATGGACTTCATCAAACCTATAAGCGAGAAAGTGTTTGGGTGATGTTTTGCCAAGACGATAATGATCGCGACTGCCATGTCACGTACACGACTTGAGCAGGTTCAGATATCCTCCAAACTCGCGTAGCGAAAGCAAGTAAAGTCAGTACGAACGTAGCGACCTTCCATGGTAGTGCGAGTCTCTTTGCATGTTCCCTTCGTCGAGCCACCTCCGGGGCGTTGAAGAATTTCTACCAAAAATGTGATTATGAGTATCTGATCAAACGAGATTGATAAAAGAGAACAGAAAAGAAGATCCTTCACCGATGACACGAGTTCTGGAATTACTCTGAGCCTTTTCTTGATCCATCACATACCTTTGCAATGTCAGATTCTTTACTCTCGTCGTCGAGAAGTGGAGTTCCTGCTCTGTTGTCAGGCGAGCCAGGAGCAGTTCCTTTACGTTTCCTGACTTGGGCAATGTCAATTGGGGGCGGCATGGCAATGGAAACTGATTGCTCCAGCCTATTTGATGTGGACTTCGTTCACTCCTGAATTGTGGGTGTGAACATTGGTAGCATGCAGAGACTCACCGTCTTCTTTCATAGCCGAGGACAGCATCACTCTCGCCACCGCCACTTCTCTCCATATGTCTCTCTTGGAACTCATGTTGGAGCTTTGCTGATCGTGTGAAAACAACATCTCGTCTCATCATTGTGGAGACTAACACCAAACAGAGCAACTGGCAATTGTTAGATTTAATTTAGTCGCAGTAAACAAGTTCTTTTCGATGTGATCGTCTCAAGAACAAAGTCGAGTACAGAAGCACATCTTCAAGTCGAAAACAGAAGACACCGAGACAATCCAAATTGTAGCAAAGATTTGGTTTTATTTTACACCTGCAAAGTGATTTTTACGTTGCTTGCTTTATAATGTGTAGTCGTGGGATCAATCACCAATTGCCATATCGACCATAGTATCCGCGTCCGTATCCTCTACCATATCCACGACCATGGTATCCTCTACCATAATGCCCTCCACCATAGCCACGTCCCCAACCACCATAAGCAGCTTCAAGATCGTCTGCATCTGATTGTTCGTCAGCAGCAGCCGAGAAGTCTTGATCATCGAAAGATTCAGTTGCTGGTGGACCAGAAGCTTCCTTTGTTGGTTGAGGAGTAGGTGCCTCTTTGGTTGGAATAGGTACCACCTAAAGAAACAGAATTGGTCTTGCATGTGAGCGCCACAGCTTTGTTGGAGTGCGTTTCAAGTGGAGTACGAGTGCATTTTGATGTAGACCTTGTGTTGGATTTCAGCTGCAGAAACCTAGTTTAATGATTGCATGTGTTAGAAGCAGTAAAGTGTATGTCTTGATGCGGTCAAATGCACAAGAAATGAAACCTGACAAACTGACAATCCAAGAGCTTAAAACTTACCAAGGCCGCAAAAGCAGTAACCAACAGAGCAATCAAAGTGAAGACCTTCATGTTTCAATACGGAGTTGTTGTGATGGTTGATTTGAGAGTTTGTTTGTCTTTGGGTTTGGACTGTATGATATTGGGACTTTCTGTGGTGGGTGAGTGTGTTTTGTGAAAGAAGAAGTAGAGAAAAAGTTGGGTTTTAAATACACGCTGACCTGTCAAAAGTTGAGGTGATATACAGTTTTACACGTGTTAATCTTCAAAATGTTACTGATTCACTATACTCTCTCAATAGGAGACCCACTTGTCAGTAAACAAGATCGTGCCATGCTAACAAATACTGATCCGCAACCCTTTTGATGATTGAATTGAATGTGTGGCGAATACGAAGCTTGATGGACTCAGAATGCTCGTTGTATGTACTCATCGCAACAAATCGCAATGGGACTCTTGAACCCACCAGCATAGTTGTAAATTTTGCCTATCTTATTTTCAATGGAGAGTGGAAGATTGTTATGTGCTGTAATTCATGGTCACAGTGGTGTTGTGCCCAAATGTCAGGTCGCACTGACACCTCAAAAGCCAAACGAGGCAAGCAAGAACATCTTACTGGAGGCTACGAGAAATGAAGTTCCACAGAAAACTTTCTGAACTGAGTGCAACTCCCCTGAGTCCTTCCCGAGTCTTTACAAGTCCCTCCCTTTCATGTCTTTTCAATTGAACGATATCTCTATCCATATCGCTCAGAAAGACCAGATTGTCGATTTCCAACGTGATGAAATTCAAGCGGTCTCCATGATTGTAAAGTCTTTTCGTGACTGTAACGTCAAATCAAATAGAGTATTACACAAGAATCATCAGGTCGTAAGCCATTTGGTCCTATTGCACAAGGACGCGATTTGGTTTGAAAGACGAGCACAGAAACACTCGTGTTTATTTTGTAAGAGATCATGCAAACAAATTCCTACAATGTGAGCTTTACAACATACATTGTGAGCTTTACAACACCTATCATGGAATCAATACCATTTGCAATATCCACGGTAGTATCCTCCACCACTATGGTAGTATCCCGGCCATATCCACCTCGACCATATCCACCACCATATCTCCGGCCATAGCCAGCATATGCAGCTTCAAGATCGCCTGCATCTGATTGTCCGTCAGCAGCAGAGACGTCTTGATCATCGAAAGATACAGTAGCAGGTGGAGCAAACGTTTCCTTTGTTGGAGCAGGTGCTTTCTTGGTGGGAGTAGGTACCTTCTGAAGTAACAAATATGTTTGGATGTCAGTGACTAGACTTTGATGGAGTGCGTTTCAAGGAGAAAGAGTGCGTCTGGAAGCAAGACCTTGTGTTGGATTTCAGAAGCAGTAACCAACAAAGCAAGCATAGCAAAGACCTTCATGATGCTACATAGAGTTGTATCGATGGTTGTTTATGAGAGTTTGTTTGTCGTTTTGACGGTGTCTTGATGTTTTGTGTTTGCATTGTGTTGTGGAAGAAACTTTGTGGCGCAAAGTGCGTTTTAATGCACTCTCGCCTGTCAAACGATTGAGATGGCTCGTCGATTCACATTCAACCCACGTGGTCGTTGCGAAAACGCTTAACAGAGACACTGTGTTGAGGTACAGATTACTGATTGTTGTATTTAGATTACTGATTGGTGGTGTGCTATGTTATGAGAAACAGCTTAAGTAAAGTGCAAAAAAGTTCGTGTCCTAAGTGAGTCGTGTGTTGAGTAGTTATGGGTTTAGGATTCCTCCAAGTCCACCTGTAATTCTCATCGCCGGTGGGCGCGCCCGGTACCCAGCAATTATGTGTCTGGCTTCGGTCCATGAAGGATCATCAGAAGCGCACAAGTCTAGTGCCCAAAATAAATGAGAAGATAAAGCCTCAATACTGTTGTTGTGGTGAATACTGTGTGTTATGCATGTCTGGGCTTCACCCTCTCCAACAGTGTTGACCAAGACAAACAGTGCGGTAGTGGCGTATAGTATAGCGAATGGGCCTATGTCTCCCAATGGTCTTTGTGGATTGAAGGCAAGACAGTCCCTGATGATGGTGACCACTTGCACGATTCCATCACAGACTCTTCTAACAGCTGGTATATCCTTGTATCGTTGTGTCAGATCAGCAGCAGGTGTGTTTAAGGCAACAATGAAGGCCGGTCGGTGCAGCACAAACCTAAAAGTTCCAAATTCCAGGTCAGAAATGACCTTGGGACATCAGAAATCAAGTCAGGTACAAACCACAGAAGACAAAAATGCAAGTGGACGAGCACCAAGATCCATGGATTCCTATCTGTGTCTACAGGTGAAAATATTCTATATTGACTAATGTCTCGTACTAGAAGAAAAAGTTCACGCGAATTAGTAACATGCGAACTCACAACGACGCAAAACACCAATTCGTACTTGATGGGGGTAGTTGCTGCATAAACTCCACTAGACTGGCAGAAGTAGCTTCCAGCTATGGAGGTCAGTTGTCAGATAAAATTGCCAAAACTCAGGCGACTTACGAATGCTCACGTTTTGATGATAAGACGCCAGCGCTGCATCATGATCAAATTGAAACGTTTGATCTCTACCAATCCCCAGTATTGGCCCTACATTTTCAGAATAAGAATTTGAGAACAGTGTTGACTATTCCAGTACAAAACAAGGAGACGTACATTCTTCACGTGGAAACAACCAAGTATAAACAATCACACGATCCCCAATATGCCACAGGTCGAGCAACATGGTGTATGCATCGCTTGGGACTTGACCAGAAGCGTAATTCATTATCGGGGGCGGTGGAAGCATATCTTGAGTCGTAACAGACTCCCAGACCCAAAGTGGCGCTACAGAGCGAACTCTGCAAGCACTCAGTTCTCCTCCACCGCGAACAAGATAAAAGAATCTACGAGATGAATAACAGTGAGTGAATTTTTTTTGCGTTCATAAATAGTGTTTCATTGTTTACCGATCTCCCAGGTGGACTCCATGCCATACTCTTCTCCGTCTCTCTTTTTCTAGCCATGAAAGCTGCGAGGCCGTGCTTTCAGGTGCGTCTGGATCTACATCCATTCCCATTGATAATGCCTAGATTCAATAGTGTCAGTAATATGCCCTTCTAAATAGCTGTTCAGTGACTCGTTTCTGCTTTGAACCTCGTTGCTCTTAGCTCGCAAAGTTGATCTTCGTACTGTTTATCCTCACTTACCATGCGGAAAGCAATGTCATGATCTTCAGTGGCATTGGAGAAAGGATATTAGTCTAGGAAGATCAGTTTTAGAGCATAGATCATTCACAACTTACAATATATGGCCGGTTGAACTATAATAGACTGTTGTTAGAAACCCGGATCCATAAAAGCACATGCTCACAGACCAAACACCTACTTTCCCCAAAATAATAATATGTAGCCCAACATAACAAGTCTAACGCTTGCACGTTTTCTATAGTATCTATCAAGTTGCTTTGGGCGAGTGTTTTGGCGACATTCCACCAGTGTCTCCCTCGCTCTTTGGGGTTTGCATTCAACGCCGCAATTCTTGCGTGTTTGGAAAATGGAGCTCCATTACATAACAAGGCGGCTCGGAAGAAGGGGTGCCTTCTTGCTGTATACATGATTGTTGGCCTGTGCAGGTACATTCTCTGCATACTGTTGTTTTACGGGTCAGAAACACGCTTGCGTATTTGAGGCCAGGCATGTCACAACTTTTAGTTTACCTGAGACTTTGGGTGTGAATGAGAGATTCAATGACTTCCTCATCATCAAATGTACCATCTGCCAGGTCATTTGAAATGGAATTCAACGATGCCGTGGCAGTAGACTCGAGTGAATTCGATCCCATTACTAGATCAGGCACAGACGGGGTTCGACTTGAGGTTGCTCGGCTCAAATCTACGCGATGCATCAGTTAAAACTGATTATCATGATGCATTCAGCAGATGCGACTATCTGTCTTTACCTCCTTCGGACTTGGTTGGTCTCTCATCAACCAATACGCAAGGTATTCTCATGTCACGACAATATGAACATGATTCATTGGATCCCTCTTCACGGTCACATTTCCTTTTACGCCTAAAGTAAAGGAAATGCTTGTTTAGGATGCGCGTCGGTCATGAATTGGCAAAGAAAATCACGATTCAAGGAAAATGCTTTGCAGTTTCATTGTACAATGAAGAAATATCATTTTCTAAAGATCTTACATGCGGCAAGAATCACAGGCGGTCCTCCGGGGCCCAAAACGTCCGGGCCTATTCGGACTGCTACGAGGCATGCCTGCTATCTGCCCATCAAGGTGAACTTTTTGGACCATGGAATGATAATGCTTTGAACGTTTAACGGCTTTGCTGTAGGGCCTTCTGTGTTTCTGGTTACTTAATCATTTGTCCGCCAAAAGAGAAGGCTGGAGCCTCCAAAAAGTAGAATCATTTATTAGGAGGGAGGACTGCTCCTAGTAGCAAAAGTAGGGAATGGTCGAATTGCTTGCACGGACATTCGGACATTTTATCAATACCACAATTCCACGCCACTTGCCGCAATATACCCATTTTTTGTTTTCAAAACATCGACGGGAATGGAGAATCATGGTAAAGGGCAGAAGAAAATATTTCAGTTCGAGAATTCATTCTCACAACCAAAGTTTCATCATATCTAATCAGGCAGCCTTTCTTGGTGTGTTTTGGCTTTTGTTGTGTCAATGATGAGATCAGTCATAGTCCGAACTCCGGTCACAACACACCCCACATCTCGCAACATAGAATCTTCTATCGGATGAGCGATTTGCATCATGTTGCATATATGTTGGTGGATTCCGGAAGAGCACAACGAGACACCACTTGAAAGGGAGATAATGTATCGTTTCCAGTCCACATTACTTCTGAGGTCGGTCATACATCGATCGGCTGTGGGCTAAATATTTGCTAGCTAAGCAAGATGGTGCTTACACGATATCGGTGTCCTATTGACGAGGGAGAGAGGGGATACTCATTCAGTCAAAATTGGATGAATAAATCTCAAGTTTCGACATGTGGAAGGCATATCTCAATTCTTTGACGGATGTTCGTGTATTTAAAGCGCACCTCTTCTCCCAACAAACGCTCGTTTTTCACACTACTACCACAAACCACAACCTCCACACAATCACCAGCCTGAAAACAAGACAACCCCATTATCAACACAACAAATAAAACAACATTGTATTCAGACATGACGGCCTTCTCTTTGATTGCCTTGCTGATACTGCCGCTACTGTTGCTAAGTTTAGATTCGAATTGGGTCCGTTGACAGTTTCATTGCTTTTGCCTCACATGGGATATAAACCGAAGCATCTAACGCCTATTATCACTAAAGTAGAGTCCTGCAGCTGAAATTCAACAGAATGTCCTCCATTCAAAACGAACTCTTCTTGAAACGCCCTCCATCACAATGTTGTTTCTGACATTGGTCAAAATTACTTGCTTTAGGAGGCACCTGCTCTTCCACCACGTATGAAGGAACCCTCTCCTCCACCACCAGCTACTGAATCCTTCGACGACTAACATGTTTCTGCTGCTGATAAACAATCAGTTGCGGATGACCTTGACAGCTGCATATGGTGGTTGGGGACATGAATACGGATATGGTCCCTATGGTCGAGGATATGGTCGTAAATGGTATTGATTCCAAGATACATGTTGTAAAGCACACAATGTAAGAAATTCTTTGCAAGCTCTTTTGTGAGATACACTCAGATCTTCTGCTCCTGAATTGATTTGTCTTCGTGTGTTGTATTGAATTTTGAAATGACTTTCGTGTCCTGTCGCGTCCTTTCGTGCAAATGTCAATGATTGCTTGGATTCAAGTCGAATACGCTTCGTTGGCTATTAATGTCATTTCATCATTCCGTGAAAGTTGTTCGGGCTGGCTCCACGTTTTTTGTGATCCCTTGCATGAACTCACTTCCAAACTCCTTCGACATACAAAAGCTCATAACCAAAACCAAAAACATACAACTACAAACAATACAAACCAAAACAAACTATCAAAACACACCAAAATGAAGCTCTCAGGAATACTCTCCTTATTCTTGATGGTCTTGATTGCATCCGTATACGCTGAAGAGGTATGTTGGGTTCTTCGCAACAACTTGAATTTGGCTTCACGACTGCATTAAACATGATTTACTGATTCCAATCCATTTATTTGCATAGTCTCAAGCCAATTCTGCAGCCAAGGTACCTTGAACGCGCACTTCTCTTAGACCGATCGCTCATTCACAACAAGGGATCACTTAACGCAACATTCTTCAACAAAACGTAAACCTATCTCTTCAATCATCACTAGGATGCCGCAATGACTGCTGATTCCAATCAAAATGAAGCTGATGCATTGGCAGCAGATGATGATGAAACTGCTCAAGGAGGCAGAGGAGGCAGATACGGAGGAGGTTATGGAGGAGGCAGATACGGCGGCGGCAGATACGGAGGAGGTTATGGAGGAGGCAGATACGGAGGCGGCAGATACGGAGGAGGTTATGGAGGAGGGCGCTATGGTGGAGGGTATGGTCGCGGCAGAATGTGAAAACTGGTCTCCTTTTTGGTCAATCCTTTGCAAAAACTGTGTATTGTGGTAGGTGGTGTAGCATATAGTCACAAATATATAGCTTGAAAAAGGGATGATTGGTTTGCTCAAGAGTTTAAGTAAATGATTTGAGCAGCAAGTAGAGAGGGGAATGAGAGTTTTGACTACATAATGATCGGAATGGTATTGGGAAGAGATAATGCTCACTTTCTCATATTCCTGTGAATGACCTTGTCAAATGAGTAAGAATAGAACACGAGTCACAAATAAACTGTGCCAAATCAGACTATATTATTTGGTTCGCAGAGAGTATACTACAATAAGACGAGTCCATAAGATGCTTTTTACCAGCCACCAACACCACCTATTCAATAGTGCAGCAATTAGGTCTAAGAAGTCAAGTCAACAGACAAAGTCACAAAGTGAGAAAGTTACCCTTGCCAAAGTCGTCAAAACCTGAAAAGTACAGCGATGACAATTCATGATGAGCAAACTGAAATGGTGTAGTGACGAGGCAAGCTTACCTCCGAAGTCTTTCTTATAATAACCACCATAACCTCCGTAGCCGTTCTTGCCACCATAACCACCGTAGCCGCCAGAACCACCATAACCACCTCCATATTTCTTGAATCCACCGCCATAGCCTCCGTCGCCGGCACCATAGCCTCCAAAACCTTTGAAAATGAGTGTTATGAGACAGAGCGTTGACTCGAGAACGACCATGCAAGTGATATCAAATGAAAGCAAAGAGATACCTCCAGCTGCTGCATTAAGATCATCCATTTCAGCAGCGCTCATCCATTGTCCTTCAGAAGGTGGAGCTGGTTGCTCTTGGTGTTCTTGAGTACCAGGTTGACCACGAGGTTGGCCTTCTTGACCGACTGAAGATTGACCCAGTGTGAAAGCGACCAAGCCCATGAAGACGAAGAAGAAGAAAGTCTTGGGAGAAGTCATATCTTGAATGGTATTAGAGTAGTACAGTTGAAGTAAAGAGAGCCAAGTTTGGAGTAAAACCAAAGTCAGTTGATTTGTAGAAGCCAACAAAACTATTAAACAGTGCACTTGAACGATAATGTCCAATTTCGTACCCCAATTTCGTACCTTTTTGTTGAAGAGGTGAGCTTGAATCAGTTCGAGATCAGAGCGTGAGGGATTGTTGTGATTGAAAGAAGGAACCAAAGTCGCCTTTTATGCTTTGAATCGAGTCAAAAATGGTGGGGTATATGACAGGGGTGAGAATGACACGAGGTTTGATGAAGCTTCACATGTGTCAAAACAAACACTCGAATCTGGCGACACATAGACAATTCAGATAATGATGAAGCATCCCGTTTAGGAGGCACAAAGATTCCATTCGGTAGTCGATTTAAAAAAATTCAAACGGAGAAGCAACGTTGAACATGACAGAACATCACGTCGTCTTTTTCATAAGGTTTTTACTCAAGGATGACTTGTTGACCAGGGTCCACGAAAATCAATCCAAACAATCCAAATATGAAAATTTTGCAAGCTCAGCAATAATGTTAGGCCCTTCTGTGTTGGGACTCCAACGTGAGTCATGAATGCATTTTGCTCCAAATGTTGGCAAATTCTCCCCTCCCGCAGACGACGGACGTGTTTCGATTGAAAGCATCGATATGAACCCATGCAATACACGTCTGCCATGTACGGTCCAAGTAAGAAGAATTCTATCTTTCTCCAAGCTCAAGATTTCAAGATCCAAGATAACAGCGACTGGCCTTGCCTCGTGACACCTGTAACAATTGAAAGACAATCTTGGTAAGTTTGAGGAAATGATTATACGTGAATTTTGCAACTGGGCACTACTTGCTTGCGCCTTCTTCAAAGTACTTCGTGCTAACGTCCACACATCATCTTTGAAACTAGACCTTGATGTTGAAAAAGATTCGTCATTTATCGACTCTTGCAGCAATATCACGTACATCTCTGGCAGCAACATCACGTACATCACCATCTTCATCCTACATACACTCTGTAACATCAAGGAATCAACCAACCATGCAGCAGGGAAACGGCTCGCCCTTGCGAAGTCCCAACACTGGATCTGGATATACGTTCGCTCGAAGATCATCATCCAATACACTGTCTCCTTTCAACACACCGGCTCCAACAATGGCAAAGTTGACTACTGACGAACGAACCAAACTGTTGCCATCTTTGTTGGTCCCCCCTCACGGGAACGGATCTTGGTCGATGCTGGCCGATAGGGATGCACTGCATAGGTCTCTCAGGTTTACCAACTTTAATGCTGCGTTTGGATTTATGACTCGAGTTGCGCTGCTTGCTGAAAAGATGGAACATCACCCAGAGGCATGTTTTGGAATCTGTAGTGCTTGAGTTTATGTCATACATGAAAGCTTACCATCCTGTTCACTTTCTAGTGGTCGAATGTATATAATCGTGTTGAAGTGGTGTTGACCAGTCATGATGTCGACGGTATCTCGATGCGAGACATTCAGATGTGTCACTTTATAGATGAGGTGGTGACTCAATGTGGAGGGCACTAGTGCTCTCCATTATACATAAATGTAGTAAAAATCAAATTGCATCGTCAAATGAAGAGGTACTCAAGACAACCAAGCGAGTTTCGTGATGTGGAATGTAGATGTTTATGCCAGGAAAGAAATATGCCAAAAATATTAAAAACAAGTGTGTCCCCTACTTAATACGCATCATGCAGATCTGTATCAACAGTCGAAAATCCTGCTTCATGCAACATTTTCTGTTTCGTATGTTCATTCTTCTTGTTTGCTTCTGTCTCTGCCTTTATGTTCTCCATGACCTCCCTAAATGATATATGCCGTAGCCCAGCAGTAGTGGCATCTTCTCTACTCAGATCCTACCAAAAAACGGGGTTTGAGGAGATACAGCAAAAACCGATATTGATGCCAAAGTCTGCATGTTTACCACTTCTCCCAGCAATACGACGTTTTCACCTCTTATAACATATACTCCTCTTGCTTCATCTCCATAAGCATCAGCAGTGTATGCTCTTTCCACAGTATCCTGCAGCACCAGATTGGCTTTTTAATTTACATGGTTAACATGTCGTCAAAGTTCTGTATCCAACAAGGTAGCACCACAACGTAAAGAGTTGCATACCAAATTGATCGTATGCTCGTAATATTCCATATAATTTTCTACCGTCTCGTAACATGACAAACAGCTTCTCTACACCCAAAAACCAAAAGCAATGTTAGAATTACTGCAATGACGACCAAGACAAAGATGTAAACCGATTTACTGTCAACGCAATCAACCAGACTTGCGGATCCAGGCAAGAAGTTATCCATTCCAAGCTAAAGTACTATGCAAACTGTGCTTTTTCTCCTTGACGACCAAATCGGAACTCTGAATTTGTGAAGAGGAAACAACCACACTCAAAGACAACGCAACAAATTCATTTAACTGGCAATTTATATTACTTGGGACGTATTCAGTTCACACCAGGTAAGATGACACGTTTCCGGCTCGACATCATGCACCTTTTCACTGGCGACCTAGACCTTAGTGTGCTAACTTCAATTTGATATCCACTACAGGCAAAAAATGGCTCCCAAATCCACATCCTCTGCCGTATGCACCAAATCAATCAAGAAAATCGTGTCTTTCCTGCTACTAGCCATCGTCGTAGCCCAGATCATCGTGTTTGGTGGTGGAATCACGTACCTTCCACCATGGAAGACCTTCTATTTCGCTAAAACAGACACTATAACGTATGGTTTATCTGCGTGGTGTCCTGTCGATGGAACTGCACCTGGATTTGCTTCCTTGGATCCCACATACAAGCAACTGCAAGGCACTTGCGTCTCCGTCTTTGGTGGTCCCAGCCATTACGATTATGCTAACGTGGATGCTAGTTCTGGAGGTATGGAAACCCATGTACTGTTGTTTTATGTTTAAGTCTCAAAACTCATTACGAACCCACCTCCTTTGCTTTTTTTAGTCACATTCATCGAGTCAACCACCCTCTTTGTAATACAGCTAGCCTCATTCGCAAGCACCGTAATCAGCACCGCCCACTTCTTCTTAATGGCTCATAAACCAGCGCCACGATCTGTGTGGTTTACCTTTACTGGTCTAGTGCTCCAAACAGCTGCAACTGCAGCATCAGCATTCAACCTCCACAACATCGTACTAGTCCAATCTGGTGTATGGGGTCCGGGAATGTACTTACAAGCTGCTTGTGTCGGTGGCATGCTTTTGGTCGTAGTGTTGACTTATATTGCCAGCATCGCAGCTAGTGATGAATGTCCTCCTTACTCTCGCGGTGGTCGATTCTCGTTTGGAAGACCTACGTTACGAACGGTCTCTGTCAGAGACTCTACAAACACTGTCGTCTAGAAAACACAGATTGCATCCATTTTAAACCCTGTCTTGCATTTTTCATGTCTTAACTGAATCAAATATATTTAATCTCATGCTCAAAAGACAGGCTGGGCTCATACGCATCATTTTAAACAAATGCACACACATACACACACACATGTCAAGCTTGCATGAATACAAGAGGAATCCTTAAATTGTCTATACACACAAATGCAACTATAGTCCTCACTCACTCCAAATTAAAAGTTTCGTATCTTAATACATGATGTCATATGTTCGTGCCAACTTTCTTCAACCACTCCTCGTTATCGTCAGTATTTTCCCAGCGCTGAACATTAGTCCTCAATGTGGTCATCACCTCATCACAAGGTGCAATAGCATGGAAGGCCTCAAACAATGGTGCTACTATGTACTGACAAAATGACAATTGACATCCTTTTACATCAGGGTGATCACGATCCATGTATGCAGATACAGGGAGTCCATGTGCTCGTTCGCGATCTCCTTGGGAAGTGAATTCAGCTGTTATGCGATCTAGCCAGACCATGTATAGTTCGTGTGATTTGGTTGGGTTTGCCACATCTGCGCATTTGATCATACTAGAAAAAAACCAGAGTGTTGAGTGAAATCGATTGTGGTTTCATGTTGTGCAATATTCAGAAGCACCAAGATAACCAAACTATAGCATTTTCATATCTCTTATGAAGTGATGCCTTCATCGTCTCAAAAAAAAAAAGATACGACACGACTCAAAACCATGCTTAACCTACGTCTGAAAAAGTATAATCTTATGTTCCGCCACATTCTTTGGATCAAACTGATCCAGCGATAACGTCTGCACCTTCCATTTACTCAGCAATTCAGAATGTTTGGCTAAATCAGTAGCCAATACCATCTCTACAATCAGACTCTTGGTAGACTCTCGTCTTCTCGGATCCATTGTAGCTAGGAAATCACATTCGGGTATAGCTAAAACTTCCATGCCTGATGCGGCGTGATGAGATTCCAGGATTGACTGATTATTATACCGGATTGCTAGAGGGTGGTTTATAGATGATAGGTACTTGTTTGTCACGCCTGGATGATCGTAGTCGTGTATGGCTGCTGCTACATATATCGACAATAGGTCTAGGTCTGAGAGATGCCGTATTACTTGAGGAAGCATCGTGAGATATTGGATTGTATGTAACACGTCGGCTGCATGTACAGAGTTGTGGACTATGAATTTCGTTGAAAAGAGTTTGGTTAGAAAAGAACAGATTAAGAACAGATTTTGGACACCAGAAAACCAACAGACGCAAAGGGGACGAATGGCGCACTCGCATCCCTACAAAGGGCGTCATGCGTTCTTCTAAACAATTGGAACTACACAGCTGATGTACTTACATGGATGTTCTGCATGGTATCCTTCTTCAATTCTCTTAGCAAAAACCACTGTTGGAGAAAGAAGATGATTGCAGAGTGAGCACAAAAAAGGCGACTCGAGGGTGTTGTAATGCACTTACTGAATACACTAGCATCTAGTCCTAGTCTAACCAGTAGTCCAGACTCGACACAAAGATAATGCAGTAACATTAGCAAGGCATGTCCCTGCGTAAGTTCATTAAACTCAAACATTGGGAAATTATAATCAGACAATCTAGACAGACAAGCCAGTACTTGCGGTGTATACAATTCAGACACTGTTTGTGCCCCTGGTGATGATTTAGTTGGTATATATGGTGTAACTGGTAATGCTATGGTGTTGGGTATGTTTCGAGGCTGTGATAACGGAGACAGGACTTCCAATTTCTTTCGCTGTATATGTATTAGAGATGCTGGTGCTGATCCTCTTCTTAGCGCAGCCTGTGATGATGAAAAGTTTGCTTCGTTCACTACACTTCTTAAAGATCCGGATTCTGCTATTGAGACTAGATCGTCTGTTTCGAAGACAAGCTTGCTGGAGGCACCAACAACTTCGGCCAGCCATTTACGTTGTTCGGCATCATTCTGTTTTGACGCTGCATTCCAATCGGGTAATAACAAGTTGGGCGCATTCAGCCAGCCGAGGATTAATGACAGTGTTCTTATATGCTCCAGCGGTACACTCGGTGCAGCCGATAGAGTGCGAATGGCGTTAATGGCTTTTTCGAGAGGCGAGTCGAATTCGTTCGACTTCAGGGTCATTTGGTTCTGTACATAGCGGAGTTGGGTATCAAGCTTCACAATCTGTCTGTACAGCCTGTTTTCAGATTGGAATCTTTGTCTCGACGACCGCTGCGGGAGAACGTGTCAGCCAAGAGAACAGAAACATTAAGCAATTCAAAACTTGGGAATAAAAACGAAAAACGAATGTGACCTTGAGCTCACCTCCAATTCGTATGACATGAAGAGACACACTATACACGACAGAGCGAGTGCAACGGCGTTAACTATATACAATTGTTGCTATAGGATAGAGATATAGTGTTAGTTTCCAGGTACATGGCTTCATGGCACTAGTTCACCCAGGCGTTTCTTTGCCAAAACTTACCAAGATGGCAGACTGAGAACTATAGTCAATGCCAAACACCGTCCACCACACAACCGAGCAAACGAATACTACAACGGCTGCGACTTGGAAGCGAACCTTCAGGAAGAAAACTGCTCAAATTGGAATTAGTAGATATTCGTGGTAAACGATTGAAATTAGTGGAATCTCTACCTGTTGCGCCAAGCATGACGACGTACATGGCACCAAATCCACCCGCCGTGTACTGATCCATATCCGTCCTATTTAGATGCATCGACAGAGCAATGACGGGCTCAAGACAAATAATATACAGAGCCGAGATATAATGAATAACGACTGCCAGAACACTCTTTGACAATATAAACGTGGATATAATGGCAATCGTGATAGGCAATACGGCTCCAAGAAGTACCGTCAGCAGCTCACTCCTCACGTCATCGTTAGCAGGCGCTAGTGGGAACGCTAGTTCTGTGCATCCCCACACTAGAATCTGACACAGGAGCCCGATAATGGCGTATATCCGCCATGTAGTTAAATTCCTGTCTATAAAGTATCGTTGGTATTTACGTTCCATGTCTGGATCTTCGAACGAGAGGGTTTTGTGAGAGAATGCTCGTGGATCTTGGGCTATTAGGTGGGTGTGATCCACGACTGATCCCGTCATTGGGTCTCGAACGTTGAAGTTGTCATCACTAGTTATAGCAAGAAGCAGAGATTTGAGTAAACAAATGAATAAAATATTCAAATGCGAACGAGCCCTTGTCTTACATGACTTTGCCCTTTCTCTTTGCCAGAGAATGTGAAGTTGGTGATGTATCGAATGTGGTTGGAATATGTCTCCGGGTAATATTGGTTTCGTATGAAGTAGGTTCGGCAAACAGCTTATTTCGTATACTAGTATCGATCAGCGCCTCGTCACTGGCACTGTTGTGATGTTGGTGCCCGTAGATCTTCCTCTTGTGTGAGTTGACGTTGGGAGAGGATGTTGCTGTAGAGCAAGAAGGAGAGCTTGAGTTATCAAGTAGATCTGATCCCAGCTCGACATCTTTATTGCCGTCTGCGGCAAAGGAAACAGTGCGAGAAGCCATTGTAAAGATATTGTCAAATTCTCCTGGTATTTTGGCTCTTGTTGATTTCTGGAGTTGTGAAGCCGGCTAGAGAGAGTAGCTGACTATATCGGGCTGATCATACGTCTATGCAAACAACAAGAAATTGAGAAATCAGAGGTTGGCTAGGAAATCTCTTTGCGTTTCAATGTTTGTTGGTGCTATTGTGTTGTACGGAGAAGTGTACCCAATTCAACTGAAACAAGTGATATCGCACTTACTGATAGCGGACGTCATCTTTGACAGGCGAGTGAAGAACAGCAATAATAGAGGGATGTGCTAACAGCTGTATGATTTCTGCTACTAAATCAAATTTGTTGGAAGTTTCCTAGTTCAAAGCCGGTCACGCTGTGTGTTTTTGGCGAGCCGGTTCTTTCGCTTTCCGAGCTGATGTGACAAAAAGTTTAGATACCATCATAGGGGACCGTTCTTGCCGCAGCATATCAATGCATCGCATTCACAACCAAGTAGACACCACTTCTGACCAACAAAAAAAAAGCACCCATTACTGCTACAGACTAATTTATACTACAACAGGACAGATTATAAAAAAAAAGATGTGAAATCTTTTAAGTTGTGAACTCCAAATAAGTAAACTGGCTCCCTCTTCACTCTATTGCTCCAAAAAGGTTTGATCTGGATCTCAGCCCTGATCATACTCTGACCTTTGTTGACGATTTTTTCGGTGGAGACGGCAACCCAATACCCATAATCTCTCGTTTCAGTTCTTGTTCTACTAGCAGCTGCCCGTTACAGAACCTCCTTTTCAGTTCCGCTTGCCTATCTGCTGACACGTCACCACCCAAACACAGGTCGATAATTTTGAGCATCGCAGAGCATAGCTGCATCCTTTGATAATCAAAAGTCATAAATAGCTCCCACTAATAGATTACACGTGTTGAGAAACTCGTTAGAATCAGAATGAACTCCGAGCGTCCTTTTTCTGACCCTCAACGAGACAACCCCACAAGCATACCTCAAACTCAAACTCCTTCTCCACAGGAGATCGTTCTCGCCTTATATGCCGTAACTGCACGGCTTTCACTGTATCACGATCCTTGGCATCATCCCATCTCGGCCCCATAACAAACTGTATCATGACCCTCCATCCGTTCTCAGTTCTAATATCCAGACCTCGTAAATCAGGCAGCAGTACATTCTGATACAAATACCACGATGCAGCTAGCACGACTCCTTGATTAATGCCTCGTATCAGTTTCGTTGTTCTCATGTCACTGGATAGCAAGCCAGTTTCAATTAGTGTTCTCAGCATATTACTCTCTATTTCTCCATGCGAGAGAGGCGGTATAGGTTGCTTCGTTGGGCTACTGTTGGCGCTGCTACTACTATTAGCGTTTGCTCCACTACTATGACTGCTACGTTTACTGTTGCTGTTGCTGCTGTGCTGAGCGAATTCCGGACGAGACATGAGATACGACACCATACAGTCCACCATAAGCTCATACTTTGCTCGATCCAACTGATATGTCAACGCAGCCAACACTTCACCTGTAGGATTCCCTACTTCACCAGCGCGTGGATGTATCATCGCAGTCGCCGGCTCAATAGTAACTCGACGAGCCAACCGAGCAAAGTCCTTTATAATCAGTATAAACTCTTCCTGCTGCAGTATATCCCGTAATTCACGCTCCAGGGCCGTGTCTGGTATATCATAGAACGTCGGGGGATATGTCTTTGATCGTAGTGGAGATGTGGGGCCATCTCGCGGCGTGAATGGAGACAGTTGTACGTTGGAAGCATTTCCAAAGGTCAAGAGTCGACCTACTGGTGAGTGACTTCGTCTGCGTGCGTGATGAGGGATTTGCGGAGGGTGCAAGGAAGTAGATTCCGGTTGGATTTCATGTGCAGCGAGCATTGTGGAGAGATACGAGTCCTTGGCATATGTACTTTCCTACTCGGTTCGCAATGTTGTTAGTTTGCTTGATTCCAAATAATGCTTTGCAGGGGTCTCATTAGGAGGCTCGCTCCTAAGCAAGCATGTAGTAAGCATATTCTACCTTGTAATAGTGATCACTTTCGAATGATCTAGACACGATATGACTATATTACAATGATTACCAGCAATAAGTGTGATGAGTGTAAGTTTCTTGTTATAAGTGTGATGAGTGTAAGTTTCTTGTTTGTGCTTTGCACGAAATGAGTATGGAAATCTTGGCTGGCTGAGAAGAAGCTGCTATGCGAAGAATTAATTACAGTTCAGAGCCTCTATATCGTGCGATAGATACAGGTTGTATTGGTTTTATAAGATGTTGAGTCTAGTGTCTAGTTGTTCACCCGCCGCGCCGCGTCCTTAATATACCAGTTCTTACGAAAACACTGACCATTTGCTGACCTGCTTAAAAAGTGTTGAAGAGATGCAACCTATATTGATGAGACCTTTCCCTCTACATTCTTTTTTACAAGCTGATTTTTCTACACATAATCCTCTTTACCCTTCCTCCACCTATACACACATTCTTATTATTGTCACAACCAAACGATTTTCTCTTTTGGATCACGATTGTGTAAAAGACGAGCAAGGTTACTCGCAGTTTCAATTGTACTATCACCAACCCACCTTTTGAAAAGTCCTTCATCTCCTTCAGTAGCCATACGCATGATTGTATCCAATAATACATCAAGTGCACATCGTGTGAGATCATTAATGACAGTTTGATGATGTGATACATCAACTGCCACATCATGAACTCTGGGAACTTCAGTACTGACAGCGACAGACGCCGTTTCTATAGAAGTAGAGACACGAGGGACCATGCCAGCCAATACAGTTGATGATTCAGTGTGTACGATGCTTTGTGGAGTGGATGTCCGAGTTAGCTCAGCAGTAGGCGACTTTTCCGACAAGGATATTTCCACAATCTGGTACCCATCTTCACTTGATCGGATATCATCTGACGATGGTACTGATGACGTGCGAGCGATGACTGAGGTGGTGGTTGTTGTTGCTTCTATAGTCTTACGTGGTGTTTCTACAGTTTTGTTGGCCCACTCCTTTGCAGCTGGGTCAAGTCCTTCGAATTCCGTATTTGAGACAGCAGAGACAGCAGTTGAGTTTTCGGGCCTATTCTTATTACTATCTACCATGGAGTCTTCCGTTGAAGTTGTTGATGACGATGATGTACGCTCAATCGAAAATTCTGGAGCCGATGGTGAGAATTTGAAGGAACGATCGTTTGTCTTGACACCAGCAGCTGATGTGTTAGGCTGTGCTTTATTATCAGATCCATTTCCACGTGCTGGTGGAGCTGAGATCTTCACAGCTTTACCAAGTGGAGGACGTATTGTTGGGACTACGGAAGTCTTCTCGATAGTAGTCGGAACTCTATTGGTAGCGGTATATGAAGGGACTATTGTCGAGTGTACGACTGGTTGTATACATCCATTTGGTTGCAATATTCCAATATTTGTGGGAACGTATGGAGCGGCATATAGATTCAGAGGTTGCTGATATGTCTGCTCCCACAAGTGTTGAGGTACGACTACCGTGTGAAGAAGCAATTGGAAATTCAATTCAAACTGCAATTTCTATCAAACCGCATTCGGTATAAACATACCTGAGGCTTGGACAGGACGACACGATGGTGCGAAGATGCTGGGCACCGTCTTTGCAGCAGTGACAGGTGTGCTAGGTTTAGGTTTGGACACCTTTACACTGTTGAACTGTTGATATATGCTTGATTGGATCCTAGAACCTGTATTACATCCCAATGTAGGGCACACCTCAGTAGTATGCAAACATACGATAGAAGTCTTTTCGTGGAATGCGTTTGCTGTTAATTCAGCAGATTCACGAGCATTCACATCCAGGAATCGTCTCCCATCGTGAGAGCAGATCCTGGGGCCCTTGATGGATGGTACAAACTGCAGGGCCAGTGAGAGTATGGCTGGAGCTGGTATGAATTTGGGACATACAAGTTCGAGGAGTCCCGTTGCTACACCAGTCGAGGATTTGAATTGGCTGGGGTTGGCTTGCGATGGTAAAGTCTCGTTCGAGACATATGCAGTGTATGAGAGTTTGTATGTATTTATATAATCGGTGGCAGATCGAGCATATTGACTTCCCAGAAAAAGCGCCCTTATAGTTGTAGCGGTATCTGTTTTCAATAAAGACAAAAGATGAGTCTTAGGACGTTCAATGCAGCGCAAAGTCCCAAAAATGTTCACAAACACGATGTCGGTCCAAAGCTTACCAAAGTGAGCGCGAACAAAGCCAGGGAGGGCAGCCAACGTATTATATGATTGAGATGTATTCTCAGCGATAGCTCCTTCCATGACAACCACAGAATCTGTAGTGGGAACTTGGCTCGACATTGTTTTACTTCAGTCGTCGTAAGCTTGTCCAATGGAGACTACTGGAGGGCGGGTATCCTTTAGAATCTATAGATATTGAACATATGGATGATGGGAGATGTCCGTCCCTTCCTCTGGAAGTTTTGGTCAAATGCTAGCTCTCGTCAAATGTTTTGTAGTGGTGTGATAGAGTGAATGTGGCAGCAATATTCATTCCAGTCGGTTCGCTTGCGAGAAAACGCGACCAATTGAACGCGACATGATTTGACTCTTTCATAATATTTATACGCTGAAATCATATATATTCATTTACACATATATTCATGTACACCCAACGTTTAAATAAGAAACAGAATTAGTTGCAATTATGGGGTCTAATTATATATACGGATCTGTGCAAATACTAGGTACATCTTTCTTACAGCGCTGTTCCAAGAACTATGGGGTCGTCATCTATTGATGCTTCGTTTGGGCGCCATGACCCACTTGGTATTCTGGCTTTTGTAGGTCGCATGAGGCGCAGCTTTGTTTTTTCGAGGAGATCTTCCATGCTACACTCTTCAGGGACAATTTTGTCAAGCAGTGGTGGTAGTTGAGCTGCAACTGGTCGAGGACGTCGTTGAGCGTCTACAGCCTAAAAACAATATTATCGTTGAGATCATCGTTCTGTTTGGTAATACTACTTTTAGAAAGTTCAATGGCTACCTCTTTGGCTTGCTGTCGTTTCTCAGTAGCAGCCCTCTCTTCAGCCTTCCTTCGAAGCTCTTTGGTCTCTCGCTAACGGTGAATTACATATTGTTAGTGTTGGTGCTCCATTTAGAAGCTGCAATTGTATAGGAAACACACCTCGAACGTGGCTACAAAATCTGAGAATATCTTAAAGAACTCCTCGGGCTTCAACTTGGGTTCTCCAAACAATTGTATGACTTCCTTATAGAGAGCATCACAGCCAGAGTCCAGTTTCTCCAGTTCGACCACTTTTGTAGTGGCCACTCTGGTGAATTCATCGTACGTTGTGAGGAAAGCGTCGTTGCTATCACGAGGGGTTTTGAGTAGTGCTTGATATTGTAATTCTTGCTGCACTCCTTTCAGAGCTCCCTTGAGGTTGGCCAAGTTACCCTTCAGAGTTGAGAACGAAACTAACCAATGCCAAAGTGTTAGAAAACGACAGGAGACTTTAGCAAGGCTTCATGAAATGAGAAACGTGATACAATCATACCTGATGAGGTGCCTTTAACTGCTGATATTTCTTCTATGAAGCCTTTGATTTCAGGGAAACCGGCATCCACTGCATTGACAATGAACTGCAATAGAGTGGTGCCATCATTGGCTTTTGTATCTGCAAGCTTATTCAATGACGCAATTTTGAAGCCATGAGCGCCAGCTTTTGGACCACCAGCGTTCATAAAATTTCCCATGTTCAGAATGAGCTCCAGGAGGTTGAAAAGAGATGATGAGGTATATAGTTGTGACAAGGCTACTTTGATTGTCTCCATGCCCTACGGGTCAGAGGACGAGTGTGAGAATTCATTGTCATCCATGATGTTGTGATTTAACGCTCTCACCTTTGCAACATCACTGGCTTTGGAGGCGAAATCTATGCGAAAAGCATGTGCATCGAGCCTTTCCTTGTAACGACCAACTCTCAGCATCTAGTGGAACGATCTTAAGTGAATATCTTCACCTCAATCATGTTGCTGATCGTCTCAGCTCTTACCTCGTACAAGAACAAATCAGCTTCTCGAACCTTCGACGTATCGCCGTTGAAAGCAAGGATGGTGCGACATTCGTCTTCAGTGGGCAACATCGATGACAATCGTAACTGGTTTAACGAATCTTCTGGAATATCTTCTCGGAGCATTGCTCTTTTAAGAGCAGCGACCTGAGTCACAGTATTCGAAGAAGAAGAAGAAGGCATCTTGATATGTTTTTTGATGCTTCGTAGTACCAGAGCTAGAATGTTTGTGTGTTTGGAGTGAGAATCGTCACCTTAAGCATAAACAAACCGAATGCCTGGAAATCACCGATGTTTTGAGACTTTTTGTCGTTAATCAGAGTCACCTCCGAAGGTGCAGGTAATGATCTGACACTCTCTGTATCAACTTTTGACACTTTTGGCATTGGATCAAAGAAGGTCTCCATCTTCGTAAACAGACCAAGCTTCTCCATCCGCTTTTGGCAATCGTCAGATTGCTCTTGTAGACTACGCACATCTGTACATAAGGATATCTTGGAGGCCCAGACTGTTTTTTGTGCGTCGGAATATGGCATCACATCTAATTGCATTCTTCGCAATGTTTTGGCTGGCTTTAATAAAGTTGGACGCTTGGGTGCCAACACTACACATGTATACGTGTTAGATGTTTGATATCTCACACAAACAACATCATGCTACAATCGAAGTTCTTACCAATCGAACCAGGAGGTGGAGGAGGTGGCGGTGGTCCTGTGCCATCGCTCGGGAGAGTCATTCCTGGTGGAGGAGGCGGTGGTGGAGGTACATTATCGTCTGAACTAGACAACATGGCTGGGCCACTTAGGAGAACGACCTCGACCTGAGGTGGTTTTATATCTGACATGTCGGCATCACCTTGGACTATAGTCGTTATGGATGACGATGATGCTCCGAGTAGCAGAGGTGGGATTGGAGATGGGATCCTATATTTCAGATCAGACACGGCTGAATCTTGCGAGTCTTCGGGAGACTGCGAGTTCGATGGAGCAAAAAGTTGGTTTTGAACATAAGCAGTGCTTGGCACAAGCTTTTGACCCCTCAATTCAAGTAATAAGGAGTCTAATTCCTCCTCCTGTTTACGATATGCCGTTTCCATCTCCACTTGAAGGGTTTGCAGATCACTAGTGAGGCGTTGTAGCTTGCCATCACGTTCACTGATCATGGCCTCCATGCGAGCTTTTTCGGCAGCATTGAAAGTGGCAGCTTTCAACTGCTCAGCAGCAAGCTCGGATTGCACTCGAATTGTTCTCTCTTTGGAATGTTTTAACTCGGCATTTATGGTTTCTATGCGATTTTCGAGTTCAGGTAATCTATCTAGGTCAGCGGACCTGGCAATGAGGCTATTCATATCGAGTGCTGCTGAGCCATCACCATCTGAAAACATGTGGCGACCAGCTGAGGCCTTCAACAAGAGTTCTTCAGCCAGTGCAAGATACTTGAGTCTAATTTCATTATTCGTCAGTTGGAGTCAATGCATGAGAACAAATTTAAAATATATTGCTAACTGACCTATGAGTTGGCAAGTCCATAGATCCCAGAGTACCCAACAATGTCCTGAGAATGGCAGCGAGATTGACTTGAGCACCCGCTATCGACGTGTTACCAACAACACTCAACAATCTTTGGGTAAGCAGAGCAGGATCCTGCAACTCTGAGCTTGTCATGCTTGGAGCCCACTGGTTACTCTTGATGAAGGAAGACATCTCATCTTCTCCTTGCCGTTGAAAATTGTCGATTTGAGCTTTCAGATCATCATAGTCGCTAGACCAGCCCATAACAATATCGATTACATCAGGCCAGCCAGCACATATAAGTTTCTGCCTCAACGAGATGCGATAAGAAATGGAAAGGGAGGTGTTTGCAACGAGGTCTTGTATAAAGGTCACAAACGATGTCTAAAATAACAAAAGTTTGTAACAGCACATTTCACATTAAAGGCAAAGGACTTTTAATACGTACTGTGCATTGAATGAGACTTTGCTTATCATCTGCCTCCTGCCTTATAATACTTTTTGGATCAGGGTTCAAGGTGATTTTGCCTAGTTTCACTTGAGTGACTGCTCTGGCACCAACGTCTGTACCGAATGTACCTCTACATGATACTATTTCCTTCAAACTGGTCATCACAGGGCTAAATGCATGATCGTGACCATTATCACGTTGATACGCAGAGAAAGCCCTCATAATAGCATCATGACCTTTATGTATCCCATCTATTCCACCATTGTCGAATCCCAAGACAGTGACTAAAAAATCCATGGCAGCACATCTGATAGACACTGATTCGGCATCAAGTAAGTTGATAAAGACTTTCAGAGTGCTGTCCAATGACCCGCTCTCTAGGAACAGTTGGACTGCATGCTACACAAATGTTGAAAAATGTCATTTAACGAACGTGGAATATCAGATATCTAGGCCTGATGACTTACACGACCGCCCATGACAACCCTTAAGGTATCACAAACATCTTCAAGCAGATCAATATGCTTCGACTTTCGTCCAGCCTTCCCATGCACAATATCCAAAATCCCACAAATCAGCTCAATTCCTTTCAATTTGTAAAAGGACTCGTACCAGCTAAGGAGAGTAAATGAAGGTGGAGATGAGATCCATGTGTCATCAAAAGGTTTGTGCCAAACTTACGCAGCTGCGATTCCCCGCTCAGCCTTGGATTTGACATCTCTCCTGAACGTGGCAAGAGCATCCTTGGGAGATTGGGTTTGCGGGATGTTGTTGACCTTGAACAATCGTCCAAAAGCATTTTCTTGTATCCCCGCCAATATCGTATTCAACTTGTCGATATCGTCTTTGGCAATTGGTGGAGCAGACCAGGTCTGGACCTTTCCGTTCTAATAATCAGGAATGAATTGGTTCATATTCTTATAGAGCAGAGCAGCAATTATGTCGAACTTACTTTGATGCGATGGTAGATTTTAATCAGTTTCTGATGCCTCTCAGCCTTGAACATTTTCTCTGCCTCTGGACCGAGCTATAATGGGAATGAACATAATCAGCTTCGTATTACACTACCTAGGTACTCGATCATGAAAAGAAGCACCGGCACAGTGGCACAGTATACAACCTACTTCTACGAAAGCGCACTGGACCAGTTGATTGATTTGTTCCTCAGTCAACAAGTTTATATCATCCAGCTTGTCAACGAGACCACTCTTGATAGCAAAGTCTCGTAACTCGCCACAAGCTCTAGCATCTAGTACTTGAGCTCCTTTTCGCACTGTTCCATGAGGACTGGCACCCCCACTGGAGATAGAATCGTTGTCATCTTGACGACTAGGACTTGATAGACCTTTGTAGGTCATGTTGCGGTGCGTATTATTATAATCGGGTAGTGATGCTGTTGATGGAGCTCGTGACAATGTGGATCGAATTGTAGATGGACTAGGTGGTATAGGTGGTTGAGATGGTGCAATATAACTATTCACTGGCTTCCTCTTCAGACGACCTGCGTCCTCCGAGTTGCGACGTTCTGCCATCATCCCTCCATTCTGTGCCGATTGATGATGCTCTGGAGATGAAGGCATAGGAGACATTGGGGGTGCGAGATCATTGGAATTGTATGGATTATGATCAGCCTGAGGACTGCTATATATCGAGCTCATGGTTCCTGTTCTCCGATGGCCATCGTCTGCTTGCAAAAGCGATGGAGGAAGAGCAAAGGCAGATGAGCGTTGACCATTATTGCTAGTGAAGCTACTGGATCGAGACAGAGTCATGGCGGGCTAGCAGATCTCTGCTTTCCCTCTTCTGCAACAACGACCTATCGTAACAAACGTTTCGTTGGATACTGCTTGCGAAAACGACTCAGAAAAGCACCCACAAAACATTCAACGGTTGTACTGGCTACTAAGACGTCTGGGCGCGAAAAAAGCCTCAAATATCGCACATGCCGTAGATTACCAAGTCTGATGCGTCGCTTCGCGGTTGAAGGCGCAAATTTCTCTTCGAATATTTGAATGGTTGATAGCATTGATGTATTGATAGATGATAGATCTACCTTTGAAAATACGTAACATGCTAGTTCGTGTGTATGAATAAGAGAAAACCCGTAGTTTTGCAGTAGTTCATTTTTCGCACACCCGGTGAAGAGCCAAAATCTAAATCTTCATTATTGCTTTGCCTCGGAGCTTTTTCGACAGACTCAACAGTGCATATAAACAGCTTCGAGACAGAGGCAGAGACTAAAATACGACTATAGATCCCTCTTTGAGTGACTTTCTGGAACTCGTGGTCCGTAGCACCCACATCTAAGGTAGCCAGCCTTGAATTCCCCAGTTTTTTGATGAATTTTTCGAGCGCTCGCTAAGGCAAGGTACTCATAGGTCATGCTGCCTCCTCTTAAGACGACTCCTGTCTCAGTAACAGCTTCATATAACGATAATGTGGTCAAGACTAGGCAAAGATCTGACCCGGTCGAAAACTCCCCTCCTCCACCAGTCGATGTCCTCACACCGACCACCGCAGTGCCTGGAGCTGATAACATACCTCTAACCGCTAATGCAGCCTCACCTTCCTTTGCACTCACTGCCGAGAACTTGGGAGCCGTCGTCAACTTTGATAATCGTAACGATGAAGCACTGTTAAACACGCTAGTCACCAATGGAGGCGTCGAAGGCATCTCTGAAAAGCTGAATGTAAATCTAGAAAAGGGTCTCCAGATCCAGGCTAACGTGCAACATGTTGGACATGGCAAAGTAGCTCCAGAAAACAAGGCGGGTACTCTAATCAACACTACTGTAGTCGATGCCGATGAACGGCGCAAGGTCTATGGTGCAAACGTCATTCCACCACCACGGTCAGAAACTATTCTCGAACTCGTATGGGGTACTATAGTCGAAGATCCAATCATTAAAATTTTAATATTTGGTGCCATCGTGGTTATATCTCTTGGCTCTGCTATTGATCCAACAAAGGGTTGGATTGATGGTATTGCCATCCTCATTGCTGTAGTATTGGTCCTCTCTGTCACTGCTGGTAACGACTACTCCAAGGATAAAAAATTCAAGAAATTACTATTGATGCAATCAGACAAACGAACACGTGTCATGCGTGCGGGTATTACAGATCAAGTCTCTTCATGGGATGTGTTGGTTGGCGACTTGGTAGTCCTCGAAACTGGAGATGAAGTTCCAGCTGATGGTCTATTTGTACGAGGAAACCGTCTTGTATTGGATGAATCCCCTCTCACTGGTGAATCTCTACCCGTTAAAAAGAACCCATCTTCGCCATTTATGTTTTCTGGATGTCAAGTCGCTGAGGGATCTGGAATCATGCTTGTTACTGCTGTCGGCCCTCGCTCATCTGGTGGTCAAATTCAAGAGCTGCTAAACCAGGCTCAGACTGAAGAAACCGTATTGCAACAAAAATTAGGAATAGTAGCCATGATGATTGGAAAAGTCGGTGTCGCTGCTGGTCTGTTTACCTTTGTCGGTCTCGCTATACAATGGGGCGTTCAATTCGCTCAAGGTCAAGCTGATAACGAAATCACTCAATGCATGGCAGATAAGAGTGAAGTGCTTTGCCGAGTAAAGGAACTTGCCCAATTCTTTGTCGTTGGTATCACTATTGTTGTGGTTGCTGTACCAGAAGGATTACCACTCGCCGTCACCATCTCCTTGGCCTTCTCTATGTTCAAAATGATCAAAGAAAAGTGTTTCGTAAGACATTTGGATGCTTCTGAGACTATGGGAGAAGCCACCTGTATCTGTACCGACAAGACTGGTACTCTCACTGAAAACCGAATGGCTGTCGTCAAGGCCTTTGTTGGTGACAAGGCATACAACGGAGAAGGATCTGCAGAACCAGATGCTAGTCCTTATAGTATGCTTACATTCGATGGCCGTATTCGTGAGCTTCTCGCTGAAGGCATCGCTGTGAACTCCACTTGTCTAATTCGTCAACGAGAAAATGGTGGTCAGCCTGCTTTTATTGGATCTGCCACTGAAGGTGCTTTATTGGTCTTCTCTAGTCGTCTTGGAGCTGACTACGAACGTACAAGAGCCACAGTGGAACAGGTCGAAAATGGTCTATGGACTTTCTCATCTTCACGTAAACGCATGTCTTCTCTGGTTGTCCCTCGAGTACTGACTCCTGGAAACGTCAAACCATCCAAATACAGACTGTATACCAAAGGTGCCTCCGAAATCGTATTGAATCTCTGTAAATCTTATGTCGACAAGTCTGGATCTGGCACGCATCCTCTAACTGCCGACACTCTCGCTGTATACCAACGTGTTATTCGTACTTGGGCTTCCGAAGGTTTACGAACTCTGGCTTTAGCTTACCGTGACTCCGATGTATCTCTTGCTTCCGAGTCAGAAAACGACGAAGACGATCTGGACCGCACTCCAGAACATGATCTCGTACTTCTTTGTATTGTTGGAATCAAGGATCCAGTTAGACGTGAAGTACCTGGTGCTGTAGCTCAGTGCCAACGAGCTGGTTTGACTGTGCGAATGGTCACTGGTGACAACGTCCTTACGGCTTGCAAGATTGCCAGAGAATGCGGAATCTTCACTGACGACGGCATCGCTTTGGAAGGACCCGAGTTCCGAGCCATGTCTTTGCATGAGAAACTCGAAGTCATTCCGAGACTTCAAGTACTTGCTCGCTCTAGCCCAGCCGATAAACACACATTAGTAACCCTTCTCAAGGAAATGGGTGAAGTCGTTGCAGTCACTGGCGATGGTACAAACGATGCTCCAGCTCTTAAGGAAGCCGACGTCGGTTTTGCTATGGGTATTTGTGGTACTCAAATTGCTATGAACGCTTCCGATATTGTACTTCTCGACGATAACTTTGTGTCTTTGGTGTCTGCCATCAAGTGGGGTCGTAATGTGTTGAACTGTGTGCGTAAATTCTTGCAATTCCAGCTGGGTGTCAACTTGGTCGCAGTTGTCTTGACTTTTGTTGGGTAAGTGGTGCCTATCTTCTGTGGGTGTTGGTGTCGTTTATAGTGAAACGAAACAACGAGAGTAATTCTTGTTCTGCAGATCTATGACTGTCGGAACTCCTCCACTCAACACTGTACAACTCTTATGGGTCAATTTGATCATGGATACTCTTGGAGCCTTAGCTTTGGCATCTGACGATCCAGACGATGATATTTTGCTCAAACCACCTCACGCTCGTAACGAATCTCTAATCAGTCGTCCCATGCGAGAGTATATAATCATTCAACTTTTCTTCCAACTCATGGTCTTATTGGCATTGCTTCTTCGAGGAGACGACTGGGTACCTTACGATCACTCCTTCCATGTACCAGACGACTTGGCAGCCTCTGGTCCATCAATCCGTACCCTTACCATGGTCTTTGCCGTATTCGTATTCATGCAAGTCTCCAATGAAATCATGGCTCGACAGCTAAATGGCGAATTAAACATCTTCAAGAACTTTTTCAAGAATCAACTCTTTTTAGCCATCATGGTCATCATTGTCGTCATCCAGGTGCTCGTTATTGAATTTGGTGGTGACTTTGTAGGAACAACCAAGCTGGATTGGATTGAATGGCTGATTTCTATCCTATTGGCTGCACTCAATCTTCCATTCACTGTAATTGCACGTGCTAGTATTAAACACGCTCAAGGACGACTCTTCAAGGCACACAAGCATGCTCACACCTCACACTCCATGGAAAAAGGAGATACCGTTGCACCATTAACCGAAATAAAGAGCTCTCGTGCTAGTCTCCATATACATCAAATGGAACGTCGAGCATCCGTTCCAAGTGCCTTTCCAGAAAGACGTCGGTCGTCAGTCACTGTAAGAAACGTTTATCATGGCGCTAGCAGCCGCCCACGTCCCGATGGCATCACCTCTTCTACCACCTTCCACACACAGCAAGGACAAGACATTCATAATGCCGTAGTAATTGCTAATGTGTCCAAGAATCTGAACAAGTCAATGGTATCTCTCAAGGAAGGATCGTCTGCTGGTGGAAGAGCTGGATCTTCTATGTTGTATGCAAGCAACACCCGTATGGATTCCGGAGCACGATACAGTAGCAATACTCACTTGGGCGCTGATGGGAGACTAAGCATCAGCCAACTTGGTGATAGGACCGTCGTAAACCCTAGCTATTCAAGCAACAGCGGCCTCAAGGCCAGTAGCCACCAGCTGAACGATGTTGCCAATAAATTAGAACAAGGTGGTAAACACTTCAGCCAAAACAAGCTAAACCAAAGTATGGTTCAAGTCAACAAGAGCTCAAACCTCCTCCACCAGAGTACCACCATCACTCAAAGCAAACACAGTGTCTATGGTGGTAGTAGTCAGCATCTAGCTAGCAGTGTCCACCTAAACAAAGCCAGCATTCACAACATCGCTCAACCGTCTGCCATGAAGGTATGTAAACGGAAGATTTTGAAATCCCCTAAATACGAAAAGATCCAATACTCATCCAATTTTTCATGTACATAGAGACAATCACGATGGGCTACGCTCCGAGCCAGTGTTGCTCTAATTGGAGGATTGTCTGAAGTTCGTCAAGCCAACTATGTGAGTGGACAAGGCCCTGATCAAGAATTCGTACAAGGATGGAGAAGATACAGTCACATTCCAAACCCCATCCGTAATGAAGAAGCCCCTGTTGAACCTCATGGTCATCATGTCAGAACAGAACCCACCTATGAAGACACACAAGATTTAATTGTCGAGAGTGAGGTCGAGGACCGTTATGGTGAAGAATCTGTTTAGAAACAACAAATCGTTGGCATGATTTGACAAAAATACGACCTCTGATGAAATACTACTACATAATGGACTTTTATCTGGAAATTGTGCACTGCATGCGACGTTTTTGCGTGTTATCTTGAAGTGAATAGTTGCTGCTCCTTGAGGGCTGATGCATAGTAGCACAAGTATTATCAGATCCCCAAGATATACCCCTGAATCACATACCCGTATGCAGGACCAGATGGTCTAGATCACCAAACTGTATACACACTACTAGTCCTCGACTGCCACTACAGTCCTGCAAGTAGCAATAAAATATACAGATAGGGAGATAGCAATTCACAGTCATTCTTTGCATTGCCTAAAAGTAGAATGGAACGAGGATTACGAGGATACGCGGGATCTCTTGGATTACACGTCTTTCTCTCGCCAGGAATGTGATTTGGAGTTTGGATCTGTTTGAGCTGTTAGCCGGAAGCAACGCGTCTCATGTTTCAACACGTTATCAAGGGTTCAATATAATCAGGTCCATGTTCTTCAGTAGTTGATACTCCTCCTCACTCTGGCCTCACTCTGTTATATGATTTGCATGATTTATCACTAGGAGCTACCAGCGTTTCGGCCAAGATAATGGCGTTGATGGAGCCGCCGACTGAATCGCAAGTCGAGGCTTTACTGTCAGTATTTCTGGACAAGGAAGAAGCATACGCTCAGGTTCTTGAAGCGCAACGAAAGCAACAAGCTCGTTTTGCTCGAGATATTGGGGCGAGAAGCGAAGAATCATCAAAGAGCTTTTCGATACCAGAACCATTTCAAATTAATTACCTGCCTCCAAAGATTAGTAGAGTCCTCCTGTAAGTGGCTCTTGTTCGTCAATTACTCACAGAATGGAGACGCCATTTGACATCAAACATGATATTTTCAACACATTACTTACCCACTTTGTTGCAGGTATCAAGAAACTCAGCCGGCCACGGAAAGGCTAGTTCCGATCCGCATCGATTGCGAGATAGAAGGGATCAAGCTACGAGACACTTTTACTTGGAATGTTGCTGGTAAGAACCAGACACCAAAGTTCCACCTAGATTCTTCACCTTGCTCACTCATACCACTTTTATTATTCATCGTTTATTAGAGAAACAAATTACTCCAGAGTTGTTTGCCGACATACTCTGCGACGATCTCAGCATACCTCAAGAACACTTCAGGCCTCACATTGTGAAGGCCATAAAGGAGCAGATAACAGACTATGAGAATCATGCTCCCCCTGCTATGATGCCTGTAGATCCTGCTGGAAGAGGAAACGACGGCAAGGATACGTCCAACGTTGATGCACAAGAGTTGAGAACTATCATCAAAGTGAGAGGCTTGGGAGTTAAGCTCCAACACAACGACGCTCACACTTCTTCACTCTTTTCATGTACAGCTCGACATTACTATTGGAAATTATTGTCTGATGGATCAGTTCGAGTGGGATTTGAACTGTAAAAGGAACAGCCCTGAACGATTTGCTGAATTGATGGTCAATGAGTTACAATTGGGCCCAGAGTTCCAGTAAGAATTGTACAAAGAAGGTTATAAATATCTCAACTAATATACTTCATGCTGATAGGACGGCTATAGCTCATAGTATACGAGAGCAAATCCAAGTGTTTGCCAAATCGCTATTACTAGTCGACCATAGGTTTGATGGCAAACCCGTGCATGATGAAGACTTGGCCTCCTGCTTCCTACCGCCTATAACTCACGCTCGCAGATATGATATAAACGCATACAACGCATTCGGGCCCCAATTGATGTTGCTACGAGACACGGATGCTGAGAAACGAGACCGAGATGATGACCGAGAAGTTCGAAGAAAACGAAGGCAAACACATAGATCTCGTAGGAATACGGTCATTTTACCTGATCGTGATATACAACGCACGAATAGAACTGCACTGCCACCATCGCAAACCAATCCCGCTTTGATGATACCTACCATAACAGCCAATCCATCTGCCATTCGTAAAGATAGTGGACTGTACTTTACATCCATGGTACAGCAGGCGCCTAACCCTGCATTAGTATCACCACCTGCCAGAGGTCGACGTGGCGCAAAACAAGAACAAATGCAACCCACAATAGTCAGTAGTGTCGCTGGTCTAGATCCAAGTCAAGTAGGAACATATAGGTGTCACAAATGCACTGGACCTGCTTTGGTAGCTTTGCCATTACCAGAAGGTACAAAGCAGAGTGATATTCTCTGTGACAATTGTCGTAAGTACAATTTCTTTGTTAAAACTAGTTGTGGAACAGATGACGACGTTTTGTTTGAATGTCAGGCTACCTGATGGCTACCAGGCCACCTGCGGGAGTAGCTTCAAGAGCACATCGTGACGGGAGACGTAAGTGCGTTGAGTTGGTGAAGGCTAACATGTATTGCTCTCAGCTTCGTTTTTTTGGGTGATTCTCTCCCTGACACGTCTACTTTTCAGAACGAACCGAATCACCGCATCCACAAAGACAGTCCTCGCAACCACCGTACCGGTCTTCAACACCAACTCCACATCCACAACAACCTCTGGAACTTAACGTTGCGACCCCATCATCAGTTGCATCTGTTGCCGAGAACGTTATACCAAGTATACCACAACAGCCGGAATATCCAGGTTGGTTGTTGTCTGCAGAGGAAGACCTGAACGCGAGGTTTCCTTCGGATATGTTTGAGTTGACGTACAAGAATGGAGCCTTTAAAGTCCGGTGCCTGGAATGTCGACCTAGGAAGCTGTATGAGACTGGGTCCGGCGAAACACTCGAAAACTTTGAAGTAAGATGACTTGGTCTGATTTAGGTATTTTCTTAGCCTTCGATCTAAATGTCAATTTTTAAACGAGGTTCATTTGCGCAATCGGACACATAGACTGAACGTTGCAGAAAGGCTAGCAGATGAGCTGGAAGACCAAATGGGTCGATGAGCTGGAGGAAATAACTAGTTTAGGACACATTGGACTGAAGATGCACAGATGGCAAGCAATCATCGCTCATAGTAGTAGTTTGTAACTTTAAATTTGTTTCTTATTGCAGATATGTATAAACACAAGCATCCCATTTTCCCTGTCTATATGTACTCATCTCATTTGCTTATACAAATATGCTTTCATACAGCCAAAGACAAGACCAGGGCCGCACCGCGTTTAACCGAATGAGACTGAGGTAGATCGGATGGCACTTCGATCGACATATGCTAGTCCTATTGCAGTCAGGCAGGCTTCTCTCAGTATCAGGAAGCAGACTGATGAAGGCCTTGAGAGGGCTTTGCTTCGAGAAACTGCCAAGCGCTATGCTATGTGCAGAAGGATATCAAGGAGGTGCTGACTGCTGTGATGCAGAAACGAGATCCTCAGTTTGCAAACTTTGGGCAATAGTCGGCTTGTAATATATCTCAATCTCAAATCACAACGACTCAAGACATCATGTTTTAATTACTCATTCGAATTTATTGTTGAAAGGCGAGACTTTTGGAATGTTTCTTGCTACAAACTACAGACGGGCCGTTGGGCTTGACTTCCTGAAGGCGCTTCCAGTAGTTAATGGCTTAATATACTCTTCATATCCGTCTACAACAGGCCAATTTGAGCCGGTATTCAAAGGCTCCTCGGCAGCCCACTCAAACATATGCTCATACACACGTCCATCCTGACGACCCAAACTGCTATTCAACAAAAAGTCTGGAAGCACCCATGCGTCAACCAACGCGACGGCATTCGGTCGCACGTCTTTGGTCAAAGAGCGGACATTCCGTCTCACCATATCACCCTGCTTTGGCGATACATATCCAGAGCTACAAGAGGATGGAGCATTAGACCGATGTATCACCAACAAAAGAAGCTAAAAGGCAAAAGAAACATGAAAGTCTCACCCCAAGAACTCTCCCAACTCAATCTCCATACAATGCAACGCATACAGATTAGCCAATGTAGTCAAAACTTTGACGATTTCAGCATTAGCTTTGGCCTTCAGAGTCTCCAGATTGCGGAAGAAGCACTCTACAACAAAGAGCTGACAGTGTGCCTTTGACAGACGATAAACATCTACCAAAGACTCTGCAAATGTTGTTGCTCCAGAATCAATTGATTCAGCTAGATCCCGAACGAGCTTGCCAGCCCTGTAAGCATATGCGTCGATCAATACTTGAGGTGTGAGAAGGTCAGAGTCTGACGTGGCAGTCATTCGCCTCGCGTCAAAGTCTGGGCTGAATGTTGCAGCAATGTATCGGTTGGCTGAGGCTGTTGAGGTGGAAGCGCCCTTGGATTGGCGGAGGGTGCGGTATACGTTGAGAAGATATCGTCTATGCGAGAAATGTGTGAATCGCTGGTTTTGCTGTCAGCGAGTCAACCAGTACGTGTGACTTACGTAGTCTGTTGAGTCAAGACCCAGTTGTCACCTTCGACGGTTGCTAATCTGCAATGGATTGCGTAGAAATCGGGGAAGCCTATATTCAAAACGAAGATTTAGTGTCGTGGACAGATTTCGCACCCGAATACCTGCCATACCCTAACATTGTGTAAAAGTAAGATTTGGTAAAGATTGCGAAGCTCAGGCAAAAAACGTGACCTTGTACTTACGGAGAATTGGTGGTATCCATGTCCACCACACGAGGTTCTCATATCAATTATCTAAAAATCAAGTTCGATTGTGTGGCTCATAGACTCAAACACTGATTGAAATGCAACATACACAGTCAATAGCCATCGTAGTGCAGAACGACTTGAGACCACTGCTAGTGGCGTGGACTTCAGGCAAAAGTTCTCGAGCTCCCTCCTGGAAAGTCTCAAAGAGATTCTTCATGGCAACACCGGTGAAATGGAGGGCGTAGGCTTTGGCGATGGTGGAGAAAAGACGATATTGTTGTGATGAATCTAGAAGGCCGACACGTCAGATACTTGTTTTGGATTTCACACGACATAAGAGGGCTTTGATTCTTACAGTCAATGACAGCAGTCTCAATTGGTCGTGAGCTAGACTTTTGGTATTCTTTCGCCAACTGGTCTCCAGCTGAAGCTTCTGGGTTCGCAAATTGTCGACGGATCTATGAAGGATCCAATTAACATAGGCGACACATAACAAAACGGGTCTAGATATGACTTACAGCCGAATATCGAACGGCAATCGTAGCGGCTCTTGCGGCAGTCGTTGAAGCAGCCTGCACCATTCTAGCTCGAACCATAATCATGGTACCATAATTGGCTCGTTCTTCACCCTGCTTTGGCTTTACATATGTTCCGTCTTTCGTGACATGCGAGAATTTAGCGAGCATGTTGAATCTTGGTATGCGATAATGATCAAAGAGTAATGTTCCATTGTCGACCTTGAAAACAGCAAATCAGAAAACAGTCAAGTTTTCAAAGACACATAAAACCCAGCTGCCTTACAGATTGATATGCCATCCTAAAAGAGTCAAGTCAGTCACTACTTTGCTCACAAGTCGACAATTAGAAGCGTACTTGGGGCCAAGGTCCATAACAAACACACGGGGCAATAATGTATGGTCCTTCAATGATCGGAGTGGCACGAAGAAAGTACTAATATGGACCACGTTTCGTGTCAGGAGGAGTTCAGACTTCGAAACTCGCTGCTTACTGTGGGCCGTAATCCTTTCCTTTGCAAATCAAACGAGCCATAAGCACACAATGATTTGCTGTTCGGCCCAAAGATCCAATCCACCATTTAGCAGCCGTCAATGTAGGCGAATTGAGCTCAAACTCTTCTGTTTCTTCAATGTATGTTGCAGTTGTTTCAACTCCTCTAAGAAAAGTAGAAAGTTGAGACAAACGTGTAAACGGTCACGTTTGAAGGTAAGCTTACTGAACGTTACTTCCATGTCCCATTTCAGTTTGAGCATATGCTCCGATATACTCGAAATCTTCACACTTTTGCAACCATGCCTTCTTTTGCTATAAAATCCAACAAACACATGGTTGAGCATGTTGTTCTCGCATTCAAAACTCCCGGAACATTGAATACCCAACATAACAATCTCCAAACATTACCTCCTCAGTAGTCTGATTCCTCATCGTAGGCAAAAACATTCCCACATGCAACGCAATAGGCAACGGTTGATCCACTAGCTCACAAGCGATTCCAAAATCCTCATCAGTCCAATTCAATTCCTTCTTCAAGACAGCAATCCGCTTCATCATTTGCATGGCATGGTAAAATCTCTCTGTGCGTCCTTGGAAGAAACGTTCACGTTTGGAAAAGACTGGTTCACTCTCCATGACTTTTAAGACTTTGCGTTCACGTTCCAGACGGGCCTTGTTGTAGAGAATGGAGGTCATTTCGTCGACTTTGAAGGTTGCATTTGAGCGTTCTACGGCGAGAACTTCGACTCCGTGTGGAGCAGATGGGACCTAAAATAGTGTGAGATTGTGATGCACGGATCTCAGTTTGGAATTGTTTGGATCAGACAGCAAATAAACAGCAAATTGTGAGCAATCAGTTGCATGGATCTCAGGTTTGAAAGTGGTTCCAAAGGGGATGGAGCCGATGCGTAATTGCGAGAAATTGTTGCAGTGCTTTCCTTACCAGATTGTTTGGGTTTGACCATTGAGCTATACGTGCTATGGCTGGAGCACCTCGAGCCGAACGCGAAATAACAGAATCCGTCATTTTGAGCTTCACAAAGTGTCGTTTCGATGAGTGCGTCGCAGTTGCGTTTTCCAACTCACGGTTGCACGAAAAATCCACGTTTACCAACTTCAGACGTTCAGGTGCTTTTATCACAGCGTCATATAGTTGTAAATTTTTAGAGCAGCGTCCATCATGGCATCCTCAAGAATCGACCTAGTGAGAGCCCACTTCTCTGCAGCTGCAGCTGAAACTCAAGTACCAACACAAAATCTCGCTGCTGCTGCACAAGAGGAGCCATATCTGAAAGTCGTCCGTGATGAAGTGAATGGAAAGCCAACTGGAGTGGTCATCTTGTCTTTCAACCGACCCAAAACTCTAAAGTACGTGGTGGATCAAAACATTACATTAACACGGTTTCGCAAAATGTGATTTCCAACGCGCATCAATCTGCTCTTTCTGATTGATTATCTTTCTTTACTTTAGCCATATGAGTGTAGAAATGGGTGAAGGTAACTCGCATCGTCTCTGCTATTGTCGCAAGAAAGTGCACAAAGTTTTGACACACATCTTGCTTCACAAACATTAGCCGTGGTTGATTTCGTCAACAAGGCCAAGAACGACAGCACAATTCGTTGCGTCATATTAACTGGTGAAGGACGAGCCTTTTCAGGTAGCGTTGTTGTGATACAAGACAGTCTGCTCGCTTTCAGACATTGATACTCTTTTCCACGTAGCTGGTGGTGATGTCAGAGGAATGCTGCAAAGAACTCTGGAGCCACCTGCAGCCAACCATTCAGAAAACCAGGCTCAGTTTTACGGACGATTTCTGAGCATTCGTCAATTGCCAGTCCCTGTTATTGCTGTGAGTTTCAGAACGGTGTACAATCAAGCATCTGGAGTTATGTCGCTGAGACTCTTTCTCTTTTAGGCAATCAATGGCCCTGCAGCCGGTGCTGGATGTAAGTCAAGAGACGTGTTGCTACTCGTTGGCACTTGAATCTTGTCGCTGAATCTCCTCCTTTGCGTTCGTAGTGAGTGTTGCATTAGCTTGTGACATGAGATTGGTCGCTGAAGATGCCAAAGTGAGTTTGATGGCTCTGTATACAGACTGTTTCTGATCGCAAACCATCTCTAAACCACATACAGATTGGCGTCACTTTCGTCCGCATTGGACTCCACCCCGGAATGGGCTGCACCCACACGCTCCTCAAAATCGTCGGCCATCAAAACGCGGCCCGATTATTATTAACTGGTGACACCATCACTGGCAAGGAAGCAAAAGAATTGGGTATCGTGCTAGCAGCAGTGCCCAAAGAGAAACTGATTGAAGAGTCGTTGAAGCTGGCTCGTCGTGTTGCCACTGCTAGTCCAATCGCAGTCAGACAGGCTACCCTCAGTATCAGGAAACAGACTGATGAGGGTCTTGAGAGGGCTTTACTTCGAGAAGCAGAGTCAGTGTTGAAGGTTTATGTTGAAGTCATAACACTACTGATTTTCTCTCGTTTTTGTTGCTAGCAACCAAGCTCTAAACAATGTATTGCCCGACTTGAAAGAAGGTCTGGACGCTGTCATCAACAAGCGAGAGCCCGTCTTCCGAAACATTGGCGACTATAACTGATTTTTGTATTTCAAAACATACAAAAATACAACAGTCTTATGAAATTTGGAAGATTTACTACTATTTGAGAACGACAATTTTAGAAAAGTTACGATTTAGGTTTTTGTCGACTATTTTATGTGTTCAAGCAGATACGCCAATCGCGTTCCATTCAGCAGGATCAGTTCCAAGAGGTCTCGAAGGAATATCCCACGCTGCCGGAGTCTCAGACATTTGCAATACCGGTGCGAGGAACTCCAATTTTCCATATGGCCCATTACTCGTAGCAAACCAGTCATTTTGCGGCACTCTTGCCAAAAGTTCAAACTGCCAAGTCGCAAATGATTTGCCTTGATATTCCTGTCGGTATCCGTCAACCACCGATTCGGGATACAAGCCGAACGACTGGAAAAACAAGCTGGTTTGGCTTAGGGAGGCATTTACGAGATAGCTTCCGCCGTACTTGGCACGTCTGAGTAATGCGGTCAGACAGCCAAGAGCGCCGAGGTAGCCAGTGCAGTAATCGTTCATTGCTGTAAAGAAGTGGAGGAAAGGATGTCTGAAGATTAACTTTGAAGGTAACGTGAGCAGTAAGAGTGTTTACCACATGGAGCTAATATAGGCGTAAAGGGTTCTCGTACACGACCTTGTAGCTCAGCGACTCCAGCAAACGATTGTCTAAAACCTGATATGTCAGTCCATGTGACAATCAAATGGATCATCGGCAGGAACACACCCGAGCTGTTCCCATCCCGGACGGTTGCGCCACGGCCCCTTGAGTCCATAACAGTTCTCTTCCGCGTAAACGAATCCTCGTTTGCGAGATTTCAATATTTCAGCAATGTCGTTGACGCCAAATCCGGCCTTTTCGAGTGCACCGTATCGATATCCTTGGATGAATACATCGCAGTCCATGATTAAACGGCGAAGGGTAGCTTTTCCCTCCTCGGTCTAAATATTGAAAATCAGAAACCATGTATCAGACCCGTGGATTGACCAGGTCCACAAGCTTCACTTTGATTGTCCACACATCCTCATACCTTGAGATCTATATAGCAAGTCTTCTTTCCATGTCCCGTATCAACAGAAAGAAACATGACATCAGGAAGGTTTGGAGATGAGACCTTGAGCACTTCAGCCCCGTGCTCGGCCAATGTTCTAGCTATCATGGGACCTGCTAAGATACGACCTAATTCCAAGACTTTGATGCCAGCTAACGGCCGTCGTAGTTTGGTATCAAATGGAGCTGCCTCCCACATTCCGTCTACTGGTGTAACTGATACAACTGGCAGCTGTGATATAATACGTCCTTGTTCTGTAGCGAGACATTCTTCGCGGGTGCGGACCATACAACCACAGTGTCCATTCTTGGCAATAGCGGTTTCAAGGTCGATTGCCTTCCAGTTCAAGCAAGCTTTTGCGATCTCGGCATGTGCGTCATCATGCGACATTTTTGATATTGATTCTGAATTCAACTTTAGTAGTTCAATAGTCTTGTAAAAGTCTAGCGATCTGTGGACTGATGTTGGAAAACAGTTAGCATTGTAAACGTCTGGAGATCTGTGTACTTGGAGACAGTCTAGCTCGACCAAAGAGTGTACTCACGATGAATGAATCGGCCGTCGCCACACTGATATATAGCAGAGACCACGTCAGGAGCATTTGGATTACCGGGAATATCGATATGGTATGGTTTGACGTTTGGTACTCCAGTTTCTCGTAGAGGTTTACCATCCAAGACCGGCAAAAGGTATGTGACGGTGGCCAACGATGCATGGTCTGTGTTGATGCTAATGTTTTGATAATGCCCCGTCTTGAGCTTGTGGATTTCATTTACAGCAACCTATGTGGTCCATGGTATTAGCCCAAACTGTGACGCAAGAATCAAATGTCGTGGCAATCGCTCGAATGCAACCAAAGAAGGAAGCTGAATTAGCGAATGTCGCTTACTCCTATTGCTCCCAGTACACCGGAGATAGTCGCGGAAGCCTTGACTGGGGTTGGAATCGGCTGATCTTCAGCTCCTGTGAAATGGATTGACGAAGCACCCTCGCTGCCAATGTTTAGCAGTCCAAGCAGATTGTACATGACATTGTTGGCTTCCGCTTGAACGGTAAGGACGGGAGGCTGCACCATTTTCGAGTTTTTGTCCTGATGTTTGGCAAAATCGTGGTGACAAGGTGTAGCAACGCACCGATGAACATTGAAGATAGCTGTGCCGTCTCATACTAAAATTTGCAATTCGAAAGTATCGTCGCCGTGATTAACGCGTTAGATATACAAAACTTTGAATTTGAATCCAAAATTCCGCAACACCCACACACATTATTGTACAAGATGCTGCAAGTTTCCAAGAAGAGGAAGAGGCCAAGAGCTCCTAGTCCAGCTGATGAGCCCGTTACTGCTATCGTCACTGCCTTGGCCGACTTCACGACTCTGTTTTCCGATGAAATTGTGCTCACAATCTTCCAATATCTGAAAGATAGCCAATTGTGCAATTTAGCGTCTGTCTCGCAGACATGGAATCGCCTGGCTCTAGATCGCCAGGTAAACATTACTTACTAAACTTCCTGGCTAGCCACAACGTGTCTTGTCGTGTCTTGTTGTCAACATTGATCACCACTTTCAACCATTTCTAGCTTTGGAAGAGATTATTCCTAAACCACTTCTTCCTAAAGCCGCCAAGTAGCCCACTTACGGCTCGTGAATTGGAAGCTGAACCTGGCAATGCTTCCATGCTGATGAATCAAGCTAAAGTAAAACTACAGCAAACTGCAATGTTTTCAAACTTGTGTCTAATTGTTTTCAAACTTGTGTCTAATTGTCTGCTTGTGTAGAACTGGCATTCCATGTATCGGCTGCAACATAAATGGGCGAACGGCACTTGCAAGGTGTCAACAATTCCAACTGCAACAGACATGCACCACGCTACACATATTGGTTATGTAAACGACACGCTTATATCATGTGCAGGCCGAACTGTACAAATATCACATATACCCAGTCAGAAGGTCTTCTCTAGATTTGACTTGGAGGAAACTAGACGCCCTGAAGCATACATCACTTGTGTAAATGTAACGTACGTAGTAGACGAAGTTCCAACAATCGTAGTAGGGTTGTCTGATGGATGTATTCTCACTTACCGTATGTCTGATTCTCACGCCGTGGATTTCATATCGGCCTTTATACCGTCACATCCAAAACCAGCTATATCGACACTGACGCTCTGTGACGACGTGATTGTATCGGTGTCTGCAGATTTCTGCTTGGGAATCTATCAGATGCTGCAAACTTCGACTAAAGCAGTACTGAGGCTGCTACACTCGTTGAAATCGTTTGTGTCCTGGGCACCAACCGATATATACACAGTCCGTAAAGGTGAACGTGAAACGCCGTGGGCATCAGTGCCTCAATATGTGACTTATATATCGTATTCTGTGCCGCTGTATGGCGAAGGTGGCTGGGAAGTCGGGCTTCAAGAACTGATATTCGATATATGGGCCATAGTATCATCACGATCATTTAGACCTAGTGATTCTGTGAATCGCCATGATTCCGTGCTTGAACGGTGTGGTGATCCCGTCACTTGTATCAGGTATGAAATGGCGGATGATTTCTCTCGGCTGGTGTCCTGACGCAATACACCACCAATAGATTCAAATATCCATATCTAGTCACGGGCCACTCTGATAATACCGTCAGAGTCTATACGTTGAGCAGCATACCAAGAATGCATCACAGTCCACTGCTCATATTAACCCATAGCACAACACTATTCTCTCATTCGTCGACAGTGCGAGCCGTAGACTTTGATGTTCCAACAGGTCGAATGATTACAGCTGGACGAGACGGGATAAAGCTATGGAATCTCCCAACGGAGGGAGTGAATGATCCGATACTTGACGGACCTAGTTTTCCTGTTAAATGTATAACAACTATTAGGGAGATTGGGGCAGTCGACGTGAGCCGAGGGGTAGTGGATGTCAAATTTGATGAGGGAAGGATTGTCACTCTGGCGCAGAACAGTGTCCGCGTGCTCTCGTTTTTTGACTCTTGAGTTAGTAGTTATTACAGTAGTTCAAAGTCCTTTTTGGGACATATCTCTACGTCAATATAGTATAGCAGTTTCTTCCTTTGCTCCGTTCCACTCTTTGGTTAACTTCATCTCATTCGAAAAACGACTATCCAAAAGCAACACCAGTTTTTACACAATCATCATGAATACTCTATATACTGTTAACTACTACAGGAAGGGCCAGCTCCCAAAATCACAACGATTACTAATGCAACCTCCACCAATGCAAAATTATCCCCCTTATCGTGATAAAAAACGAGACTAGACAGGGAAGAACATCACAACACTAACACTCCAACCAACGCTCCTATACACAGCGCCATTACCGACACCACCGCATTCGTATTTACAATTACGGGTGATGCACTTGATCCTGATCTAGGTGTGCTGGTTGCACCATAGGGCAATGTCTGTACTGGAGTCGTAGCATTTCCAGTTGCACAATTTCCCAACACTTTTATGGATTTCAGCGTTATTACTGCACCCTGGGGCGTAATATTCACGAGGGTAAAGTCCTTTAGATGCACGAAATCGTATGCGGCGCCTAGCAAGTTTTGGGAAAAGTCCGAGAATGGGATTGTGAGGGTTTGTTGGGATCCTGATGGTGTAATGTATTTCGTCAGGAGATGATATTCAGAGTCTGGATAATAAAGAAGAATGGGTGTTAAAAAAGTGTCTTGATGTGAAGTGAGATTACTTTGTTGTAATATTTGGGTGTATCGTACCGATTGTTCGATTTAGACAATTGGATGCCTTTTGCGTCATGGTGATATTAAAGTTGACGCCAACTGGGAAGGTGCCGATTATTTCGACTGATGTATACGAAGTGGCATCGAAACAAGCACCGTTATTCTAGAGAATCGTTGAAAAGGATGAGCAAAATACAACGTGTAATTTCGACGTTCAAAGTGCGAGTGGGGAGGACTACGTACAAATTTAGTATACCAATAGTTAAAGGTACTAGCAATGACAATATGTTAGTCCCAGATGACAGTTTGCATATTGCTTTGAGGGATAAAACATACTTCGCTGTTTTTGGATTTGTGCTTGGATCGGGCGTGTACACTGGCGAGATACTTCCAACTGTCAATGTCATTGATCCATTGTTGTACACATACGGAACTCCAGCTTCCCCATCTAAAACGCATAAATCCTTTAGTATCTCTTGTCCACAGCGGGATTCAAAACGTGGGGAAGGAGCAGGTTTCAGTGAACAATCAACCACAAAGAGGCAATTCGAAACCGAACCCATTGCTACAATTCCGTATGCAAATCCAGTAACATTAATGCGGTTCCCTTCCCGCGTCCCTCCAATGAAACATTGATGGTGCTTACAGTCGGCATCGACAAGATTAAACGAGACTCCAGCAGGAAGGTTTTGCTGTGTAGGGCCACCATTGAGGCCTGACGAGTTAGTAAACGGCCTTGGCATCCTGAAGTCATCCATTAGCTGGCGTGTGAAATGGGTTAGCATGAAGATTAATGAAGTGGACAGAAACCGGTAACGTACGATATCAGCTGTACATGCTGCTTGCGACAGTATGGGCAGGGCAACCCCTATAGCTAATGCAAGGATACTCTTCATTATGCTTCCCTCTTATTGTCAAGTAGTGGATATGGGTGTTAGTAGCGGAAGTTGTTAATTCGTTCTTTCCCTCTTTCCGTAACGGCAACAAACACCAACAAACAGGTAAGCTTGAAAGCGACTCACGAGATCCCAGTTCAGATCGAAGTGAATTGAAATGCTACCAAACGTGTCAAGACATGCGGTTCGGAACAGTTTTTTAACGATCCAAAATTGTTTCACATTCAGTAATCAAGTACGCCAGCCACCAACGGTTCTCCTTGCAGCAATATATGCTGTGAATAATTATACACTCTATAAACATAAAATATGACTTGATGAGAACTAACAATCAAATCTGGTCTTACTCTTAAGAGGAGATGGTGAGATGTTTTATTTCTGCGTCGCAAGTCACAAATCAGAATTCTTGACATATTTCAAGGCTTACGAAGCAGATGCAGACAGATGCGCTTTCTGAAAAGGTTTACGGTCAGGAACTTGCGTTCGTTCCGTGTAGCGTCCCCCTCTAAAGCTGTGTGAATTTGATTGGCAAGTTAACTATTTTGGAGTTATCTTGAACGGAATACCGGGATTGATTTCCGTACTCCAGAATAAAAGTACCCTCAAAGGATACTTCATACGGTGTCATATTCATCTGAATCCTAGTGGTAGACATTGCTAGTCCCAAAGGCTCTCAAATTTGAATTTGCGGCAGCTTCCCAAACTTCACAACAGAAATGTCATCCATTTCAACTGTACTGGCCATAGTCCTGGGACTGCAGGTTCGATTAAGTATCGCTCAACCACCAGCAATTACAATGCCTGCAGCTTGGCCACCAGCAGATGAAACAGTCATGATTGCAGATCAATATCTTCAGGACCCGCTGGTGACGAACGCACTTGCCTACGTTCAGTCTGTCGTTGATCCCAGCATATTGGGAATATTACCATCAACATACAACAATGTACGCCAGTTTCATCTTTCTTCAGTGCTATTTCTTTTTTAACGCCTGACAATATGGATTCTCCACTATAGTTAGCCAATGTGACATACCATGCAGACGCGACCGAAACCTGCTACTGGCCAAGGGGAGGATGTACAAGGGCTTCTGATATCGAATACTGTCCCTCAAATTACCAATGGGGCTTAACAGTACGATGCCTTTGTGTCTTCTGCACAAGAAACGAATACTTAGTCAAACGCTCACTCTGTAGTACGATGATGCTCCTTCTATCAACCTGGTCAACGGAACAAACTACAATGATACTATTGCTTTGGTCAACCTCCTTGGAGAGCTGGATATTAAGGCTACATTTTTCGTTGTTGGCACACAAGCCTGGTACTTCCCAACAGGCGTCCAAGCCATACTAAATGAAGACCATCACCTCGCTTCTCATACATGGTCACATCACCCAATGACAAGTTTAACGAATGGCCAAGCAATTGCCGAATTGATGTACACACAGGCCCTATTGTATAACACCACCGGATTACTTATGCGATACTGGAGGTAGGTGCAGTCAACTTGATCGATTCGAAAAAATGAAACTTATATGTCATAGCTTTGAAATTTAACGTTTTTCTTCTCCTAGGGCTCCATATGGTGACATTGATGACAGGATACGAGCTATCGCATCTGCTTTGGGATTTGTGCATGTAGCTTGGAATGCTACTTTCGATTCGTTTGATTCTGATGTGGCTGCCAATGCAGCAGGATACACAACAGTCATGTCTAGAGTGACATCTTGGCTCAATCAACGAGCACCATTAATATCATTGCAACACACCTTGAACCAATTTGAATCTGGGACATCCGCTTCTGTTTTGAGACAAATTCAGAATGAAGGAGGAATACAAAACTCAATCATGACCATTCCGCAATGTCTCGGTGACCAAATGTGGTATAAAAACAAGGTATCGTCTATCGTTGTGCTGACGTGAGAGACATTCATGCTCATACATTTCACTTCAGAACATCACCAAGATTTTCAATTCTTGCACAATTCCTGGTGGAGGATGTGTAAGTCCACGAGCCTAGACACTGGATCAGCCGTTTCAAAGACCGAGACTCACTCGTTTTCGTTGCATCTATGTTAGCCCGACACATTTGCCAACACCAAGACTATCACCAATAGTACTATTGCTTCAAATACCTCATCGCCTACCGGTGGTAAGTACCAAGTTCAAAAGCATCTCGAGGCCCATCTTCTCCACACTAACGCTTGAATTTAGTAGCACCCGGTAACATCATCAGCACCACAAGCACCAGCAGCACCACAACAAGCGACGCATCACCATGGAACGGTTTCTCATTAGTCAGCATACCGACAATACTCATTCTGTCGATTTTGAACTTATAATCGGAGAGCTCAGATTTGGAGCGAGCTTTCTCTTTGTCGAATCCTATACGTCCGTTTAATGGGACGATTGAAAAGTTAATATGATTTTATTACACCCGTTTGCATCTGTGGAAATGCATGTTTCAACGGATCTTATTTGAGAGACTGTGTGCTTGTGCTGTTGTCGCTGTCTGACGAACCGTTCAAGAGGCAATTCAGGTGAAGCTTCAACTAACTTTGAGTTTCCCCAATGAGACGATTCTACAACAGGAACGGTGGCGCGCTGTCAACTTCAGTTTGCTTTGACACATGTGAAACTTTGCAAGCCGTGTGTCATTCTCACTACCTGTCAAGCAGATTGACTCGATTCGCTGCATAAAAACCGACCTTGATTCTTTCTATCCATCCCAGCTAGCAAACATCTCCCGAGCATAACTAGTGCCTTATACTGATCAAGCTCACATCTTGAACAAGAAAGGTACGCAGCACACATTTTCTGTCAACACACTATCTGATGTTCACTGCATATGCTTCAAGCTTCAATGGAAACTTCAGATTACTCTCTTCAAAGTTTAGATCTCTTCATACTCGCACTCTACTACTCTACACTATTCAAACAATGGCTTCCCCAAAACGCTTCTTCTTCTTGGTCTTCATGGCCTTGGTTGCGTGCACTATGGCTCAATCTTCAGTTGGTCAAGAAGGCCAACCTCGTAGTCAGGCACTTGGTACTCAAGAACATCCATCAGCACCTGGTACTCAAGAACAACATCAACCAGCTCCTCCTTCTGAAGAACAATGGATGAGCGCTGGTGAAATGGATGATCTCAATGCAGCTGGAGGTTGAGCTTCTGCTAAATGAACGACTTCATCTTGCTTGCCGTTCGAGTCAACGTTGTGTCTCACGACACTCATTTAAAAGGTTTCGGAGGCTATGGTGGAGGCTACGGAGGCTACGGCGGTGGATTCAAGAAGTATGGAGGTGGTTATGGTGGATATGGTGGATACGGTGGTTATGGTAAAGGTGGTGTCGGAGGTGGTTATGGCGGTTATGACAAAAAGGGCTTTGGTGGTAAGAGGCTCTTATTACTAGATCATTTCAGTTTGCTTGTCGTCAACTCTGACTCTTCATTTTCAGGTTATGATGACTTTGGCAAAGGTAACTTCGTCACTGTATGACTTGGGCCTGTTGAATTTGATTTTCAAACCTTGTTTATACTCGAACATAGGTGGTATCGGTGGCTGGTAAAGATACCCTATGATTTACTACTGTATCCCTCTTATTGTTTTATCCTACTCTTTTTAAACCAAATAATAATACTTCACAAAATGCAACGCCGTTGAATGTTAGTTCAGCTGTAAATCCATTGCGAATCTTCCTTCTTAAACTCAAGCGAAATCGGACTCACTCAGTTCTTGGCCGTATGAATACAGTTGGAATGTGCGTATAAAGTTTTACCAAACAAAATCCACGTCGCTCTAAAGAATCCCAATTGAATTCCCGGCTCACTTTGAATGGCAGATTGTATATCATCTCCTATATGCTCATCGTACATCAACACAGGAGATCTACCGTTCACACCCAGCATCATATTTGCTCTCCCCTCTGAGGCGACTTGAGGAATTCCAGGTAAAATTACCGTACGCCTTACATCTGCTGATTCACCAGAGTGCTTCTCCATCTTGATTCTCTCGTAGGACATGCGAGGTGCACAAAAAAACCATGGTTGCGAACGTGAGTCAAGTCAGGATGATGTTTTCAGATGTGAGTGCCGAGCTCCAATCGTAATGAAATATGAAATTGAAGTCGCTTTCCCAATCACCACTGTATAGATAAAGTCATTTCGGTCAGTTCAAGTTGAAGTAGTCAAAGTTAAAGAGACATTCAATTAGCTGAACTATTAGAAGGTTCAGAAATAAGCACCTGTGATCCACTCTTGTATGTCGAGGGGCTCGGCGTATTGGAATTCTCTTTCCTTCTCCCTCCCAGTCGTGATGCATGGTAGTCGTCACCGGGTGCGTGTCAGAAATTGGCTCCACATCTTGTGGTTCTCACTATAACAGTAAAAGCCGCAACCAACTACAAAAGCAGCAACACAGTCGCCGATTTCAATGCAGAATCTGCGACAAAGATGTTTGAATGACGACCTCCACAAGAATAAAACCCTTCACAAATCACTACCTCAACAAAAATCACTTGCAAAACACCCCTTCCATTTATTTCCACTATTCTTCAAAAACCGCTTTACAATTTGGCTTCATTGGCAGCAGCACCGGATGCAGAAGCTTCAGTAGTAGCTTTGTCTTTCGCATCTTTGTCTTGAACCCAATTCTCAATCTTCTTGAGTTTGGCTTCCAGATCTTCTACATCCTTAACCAACGATTTCACTCGTTCACTCACACCAGACCTTCCAGATTCTCGTAGCTGGCGTAGTCGGCGAATCACGAATGGTTTGTCTTGGTCGGGCCATAAGACAAGAGACTGAAAAAAAAGAGAAAGATGGCATGGGGTAGTTAGTCATTTGTCAGAAATGCTCAACGCAATGAAAGTTATTGTTCAACAATGTTACCGATTCGATGTCACCGGCCTTGTCACGAGCTTCTAGACTTATCAATCCTACCAAAAATATATTGAGTCACAGCGGGAAATGGTAGGAGGAAATACATATCAACAATACCTAGATAAGCAGCATTTCTAACCGAATCATTTTCATCGAGCAAGTATTCAGCCAACAAATCAGCCGCACTTCTTTCATCTTTATCACTCTGGAAGGCGGCAGATGTGGCTATAGCATCCAAGACAGCGGGTCTTGCTCTTTCCGGTTCTACGCCAGCGGCAGGACGAGACATGAGATAATCAAAAGCAGCTTTTGATCGTGATTCTCCTAGTCCACGCAATGCTCCCGCCCTTGTTTTTCACCAGAGGGTCAGTCTCTCATCCTCACCAACAAAACAAAACAAGAATGTGTGCCCATTTACCTGATAATACCATGCATTCCAACAAGATCCGGATTTGAAGCAGCATCAAAAAGTAAGGGCAAATCATCAGGATTCTTTTGAGCACCAAGGTATTGATATGCTGCTCCTCTGGCACGATAAAATAAGTTTGTTGATCGACTCAAAAATGCTAGTAGTGCGGTACGAAGCACTTCATCCTTCATAGCAAATGACTTTATCAAGAAATGAAGGACACGTCCATCGTCTTCCTCATCAAGCATAGCAGCCAAAATTGCATTGGCTGATCGTGTTTTGGCTTTTTGTAAGGCTGCAGCAACTATAGAGAGAAAACTCCGTTTATCTAAAGCCGCAGATGAAAGGAAGTTCGACTTTTGTGTTTCTGTTGTCACCTTTCACTCGAACACCATAAAAGTGTTCTTTGAGAATTGCATCCTAGTCGAAATGATGAAAGCGAAGAAAATCATTCAACCGGAAATGGCCGAACAACTCGTCGTGGTTCTCACCTTCACCTTCTTCATACTCGTAAAACTACCCAATTTGACCAGTTCACGATACGCCCATACCCGATTGAAGAGATCAGGAGCCTGTACAGCCGTATTTCCCAATATCTCTTCTCCAACCGTAGCGAAATCCAGCGAAAACAAGACCTTCATATCAGGATCAACTCGTAACATGGCAGGTTTAGCACTACCAACAGGAATGACCACAACCACTCGAGATGAGTTGGTGAATGTAGCAGATCCAATATACTTGACTTTATCGATATCAGTGATTTCGATGGTAATAGTGATTTCAAACAACGGCATGGTTTTCATATCCTGGGTTTGCTCAAGAGCAATAGCGACGTATTTCTTGTCTCGATTGTATTCGTAGGTTGCTTTTATTTTGGGATACCCTTTTGAGTAAAACCACTGGTCAAAGAATTTCGTCAAATTTAGTCCGGAGTTACGTCTATTAACAATTGGAGCGGGGTATTTTTGTCAGCTTTCGCTTTATACAAAGCAATCAAAGCGTAAAATGACCCTGCGTACGTACTCCAAAATCTTTCGGAAATCATCTGTTTCGACAATCTGACCAGCATACGTCTTTACATAGGTAGAAACACCACTCCAAAAAGCATCTTCACCGAGCGTCTTTCTCAGCATATGGATTCTCCACGCCCCACCTGTCCAGATGAAAATTAGCTCGTATGTTATTTACCATTTACAACATACAACCAAGACCATTTCTTACCAGGATAGGTATGGCTGTCGAACAGCTGCCAACTTGAATCAAAAGTCCTCAAAACGATAGGTCTAGTGTATCTCGCAGCTTCAGCAATGTATCGGTCTGCAGAACACAGCATCTCATATCGTGCTTCATCGTCTGAGACTGTCTCGTCCTAGCGAAAAAACATTGCTATTGCCCAACAAGTCATGTTGAATTCAAACTGTGCTGCTTTACCATCCAGCAATATTCAATGTATGTAGCCCATGATTCCTTCAACCTTTCGGTAGTCTTAAGCGTTTACTTTCATTGTCCGAGACCAACCATTCGCAATATGACCTTACCATGCATGTTCAAAGTGCTTAATGACAAGCAAGTCTCCAAAGTATGAGTGAGTCATTTCATGTATATTGGTGGAATCGACTTCAAGTCCACGTTCCAAAGCAAAAGTATCATCCATGAGAGCCAAACTAGGGCCAAAAAATGATGTTGATGAATACATAAAAGTTCAATCAACTGATGCGCTTATTGCAATTTACATACCTAGTCCACGCAACCAATGTAATGTTCTCCATAGCACCACCAACGTAATCACTGGCCACTTGGTAATATCGAGGGCTAAAAAATGTACCAATTCGTGAGAAATTCGTTGACAAACAAAGGAGCTTAACAGACACGTACAAGGGGAAAGGATGTCCAACCCTCTTAGTCAACCACTTCATCATCCCAGGCGTTTTATCAAAAGCCCTCTTAATCCAATCATGTGGCGTTCCTTTAGGAGCAATATAAGCAATGGGACACCCATTCACAACTTCATCCTGTACAAACTCAAACTCTCCCACAGCAACACAAATCAAGTACGAAGGACAAGCAACATTATCTAGCGTATAATGTGTTGTTTTACGTCTGGCTTCAGGATTTTCATCAATCTGATCCGCCACTTTGCCATTAGCGAATGCTGAATGTGTCATGTCTGTAGTCAAATGGAAGCATAGTGTCGTTCTGACGATCGGAAAATCGACACATGGTAACCAGTATCTACATCGTTCTGTTTCGTGATCTGTTACTGCATGGAGGGGACGGTTTGGGTAGTTGAAATCTGGAGCACTGAAGCTCATTCCTGTAATGGGATCAATGACAGAGTATTCGAACGTCACGACTCGTGATTCGTTTGGGCTGAATGGTGTATTCCACCATATATCGATAAGTTTGCCATCATAGGCGGAGGTGACATCTTCACCAGTAACTTTGAGATCGATGAGTGCGATTCCGTTTAGGACTATGTGCATCAGAGATTCACGTGGTAGATCACGTCTATATAGGGAAAAAGACGGATCAAGCAGGGCAACGTGAACCAATGCGACATCTCAAAACTAACGCTGTGTGAGGATTGACGAAAGTTTGCTTGACGACTGCGTTTAGGCTCTTATTCGGCAAGTTAAAGTCCAGTGAAATGTCCAAGTGCTTTGGCGAGATGACGAAACCTAGAAACACGAGTTTGATGTTTTGTCACATTGTTTGGGTGTTTGATGTAGAGCTTTGCGGGCGTTACCTGGAGCATAGGAGTCTCTACAAAATGTGATGACTGTTAATAGAATTCTCTTATAAATCGAAAGAAAGCTCCGTCTTACTTTGCATCTACAATGTTGAGCTCATTGCCCCTAATTTGATCATAATCGTTTCCACCGTGATGATGGCATTCAACGTCGTCAAGTGAATGTAAAGGCATCCTTATGACGGGTGTTTCAAGTGTAAGCTGGTCTCGCCTACAACTGCTGCTGATCAGCCAAAAACCAACTCGCGTCGAGAACTAGAAGTCTATTTAATATAGGTATCTCAACAAAACTGCACAAAAGGAGAAGTTCCACTATAGATTTGAGATGACGGCTAGTGTAAAATCTGTAGTAGTATTAGTGCCTCCTACATCAGGAGTTAAACACGTTCCGTCTGAAAGAACTGCATTCACAGCTTGAGTGATTTGTCGTGCTTGTCCATCCAAACCTAAATGTCTAAGCATGGACACTGCACTGAGAAGCATAGCAGTTGGATTGGCTTCATTTCGACCCTATTGATTGAAAAGAAGTTCCAAATTAAAGCGCATGTCATCAGGTAAACACAGCCAGATTTTTTTACCATAATCTGTCGACCAACATGACGACAACCAGGTTCGAATACAGCGATTTCACGTCCAATGTTTGCTCCTGGAATGAGACCAGGCCCACCAACTAGCGCAGCACCAACGTTTGATAGAATGGTTCCATACAAGTTACCACATACGATTACATCGAATTGAGATGGTTTTGATACAAGCTACATATCAAAGCTGTTGGTTAGATATCAGGCAAAAGGTGGGCGCCGTAAAAATAGTAGGATAGCGGTCACTGCGTGTAGCTACATTAGCATTTCTTTTGGGTACTTAAAAAGACATACCTGCATGGATGCATTGTCGACAATCATGTCATCAAACTTGATACCAGAGCTCTCATATTGCTTGGCTACTTCACGACATACGTTCAGAAAGAGACCATCACCCAATTTCCTAAACATAAACAAGTTCACCAAAAAAGAGAAATTGAAGCAGACTCCACATGATCAGCTCACATACATAATATTAGCCTTATGAATAATAGTGACTTTCTTTCGATCATTCTTCAAAGCATAATCAAAGGCGAATCGGGCAATACGTTCCGTCTTTGCTCGAGTTACGACTTTTAAACTTTCTACCACACCAGGTACCGGTTGATGTTCTAGACCAGAGTACTCACCCTCTGTGTTTTCACGGATGATTGTAAAGTCGACATTCTTGTGTCGAGCAGGCCATGGACCAGGAAAGTTTCGAATGAGTGTGATTGAAGCATATACATCCAAATCACGACGTAGATGGACGTTAAAGGAGGTGTGACCCAGTTTGGAAATGGGCGTATGTAGAATTCCTGATATATATAATGCCAGTGTTAGCATACAAGGAGAGAGGAGCTGGAGAACAAAAAAGACGAATCAAAGAACGTTGTGACAAGGATACCAACCTTTGAGAGCAACCTTATTCCTTCTGATAGAGTCCATGGCTTCCTTCATAACAGCATTAGAACGACCTTCAGTGTAGCCAGATAGATCGAATATTTCCCATTCAACGGGGACATGAGCAGCCTTGAAAATCGTTTTTACAGAAGCAGCCAGTTCATGACCAGTGCCATCACCAGGAATGAGAGTGACTGTGAACTTGCCGCCGTACTTTGTTCCACCGTGTGTTGACTAAGTAGATGAGAATATAGCAATTGGCAAAAATAAATGACCTGCCACATGTGCATCCTCTACGGTCTTTGTATCCGCTCTGTACATACCACAGGAGACATTTCGGGCAAACTGTCAGAGAGTCTACTTGCGGTATTTGTAGTTGCGGTTGCCAATGTACGCGTTGATTGTCCAATGAGTCGAGCCATCTAAAGTTCATGCAAATATTAATGTTGGAGTTTTTGGGTGGATGTTGATGGATCAAGGCGAGCAAGCAAAGTAACAAACAATTTCACATTAATATGCATCTTTTCACGAAGCCATTAACTGATGCAGTTCATTAGCGTCCCTTTCAGCCCTCCCTCTTTTGCTCCATCAATTTTTGAGACCAACTGATAATAGATTTCCGTTCATACCTGGCTAGGATGACGAGACAATAGCGTCCTGTATGCTCCTGATTGCATGATGCTTACAAAATACTCTCAATCTTAATTGCAATCAATACTCAATCTTCAAATGTTTGACAACGATGACAACAAACCAGACACAGGAATAGTAAGGTTGTTTTCGTGGGTGCAAGTAGAGTTGGTGCTCTCATTTGACGTGAAATTTATTGCAGGAGAATTTTATCGAACGTTGTCACGTTGCTCAAATCAGACGAGGTCCGTCAACCTCGTCCAGTGCCGCTTCTTCACTATAAGAAGGCTTGCTCTACGCGTAATTGTGCACCAAACCATCAAAAATGGGCCGTTCGCTAAGCTTTCTATGTCTTCTCATGCCGGTAGCTGTCGATTTTCTCCCAAAAACACCTTCTTTACGTGATTTCGACGATAAAATGTTCCAGACAATCGCAAATCTACAAATAAATACGTTTAAGGAACCCCAATGCACGTATTGAACGTCTCTCTTTTTCTATAACGGTTTAGTCTATTCCAACATCACGTAGTCTCAGCCCATCAACCAATCTGTGAAGAACCAGACCAAACATCAAAATAGTCTCTTCCACGACTTTAGGAATTTATTGCCATGTAAGTTCTGAAGACTAATTTTCTCATTCAATACTATGTCACTGTACATATTTGCCAGTTATCTCTCCTTAAAAATTCGAAAAATGTGTTTGCTGAAGCCAAATCGTTCTGACATTTAATTTCTCTCCAATTAGATTACATTTTATACAAGTATATGAGCATCATCTGTCTCTGAACGTGACGAATCTTCATCATGGTATACCGTGTTGGACATTTACAAACATTCAAACAGATTCAGAACTCACATTGTTCATATCATTCCTACAGCCATTAAGGCTAGACATCAAACGTAAATTATCAAACAGATCTGACCGTGTCAAGGCCGTCGACTTTCATCCTACAGAGCCTTGGTTACTGGCAAGTCTGTATAATGGAAGCGTCCACATATGGAATCATGAAACTCAGGTATATCTAGACATTGATATTGATCTGTATATCTAGTACTAACCCACAACAATCCAAACAGACACTAGTCAAAACATTCGAAGTCACAGATCTCCCTGTCCGTGCAGCCAGATTCATTGCCCGGAAATCTTGGCTCATTGCTGGTTCCGATGATATGCATTTGCGAGTCTTCAATTACAACACTCATGAAAAAGTCACCGCTTTCGAAGCTCATGCCGATTATATTCGTTCCCTCGCCGTACATCCTACCCTCCCATATGTCTTGTCAAGTAGTGATGACATGTTGATCAAGTTATGGGACTGGGATAAGGGTTGGAGGAATGTCATGGTGTTTGAGGGTCATACTCACTATGTTATGATGGTTGTCTTCAATCCAAAAGATTCGAATACGTTCGCTAGTGCTTCGTTAGACAGGACACTCAAAGTAATTTCACTTTACTTGCTAGCGCATCTTTTTATGGTCTACATGTCCTTATACCCTTATTTCATTCTAGGTGTGGTCGTTGGGCTCTGGTTCACCAAACTACACATTAGAAGGGCATGACAAAGGTGTTAATTGTGTTGATTACTATCATGGTGGTGAAAAGCCATACTTGGTATCTGGTGCCGATGACAAGTAAGCACTATACAAGAAGGCTTGCTTACAGCAGCAACAGCGCTGACTTTTTGGGTGTACACCCTCTCTAGGTTGGTCAAAGTTTGGGATTATCAGAACAAGACATGTGTTCAAACATTAGAAGGACACACTCAAAACGTCAGTGTTGCCTGCTTCCATCCAGAATTACCAATCATCATATCTGGAAGTGAAGATGGTATGGCATTTGTGCTTCACCTCGTTAGTTGTTCTCCCAACTGACCTGTCCCGGGGGTTTGTAGGTACCGTCAGAATCTGGCACGCCAACACATATCGTCTAGAAAATACCCTGAATTATGGTATGGAACGTGTATGGGCCATCGCATATCAAAAAGGATCAAATGATGTCGCATTGGGTTATGATGAAGGAACCATCTGTGTCAAGGTATCCTCTTAAACTCTAGAGTGTGTTTGTTTTCATATTTGTTCTTCATAGGCACTCACACACGATTCAAATCTCTTTTAGCTAGGTCGAGAGGAACCAGCTGTATCAATGGACAATCTTGGCAAGATCATTTGGGCAAAACACAATGAAATACAGACAGCCAATGTGAAAACTTCTACCGACGAGGCTCTCAAAGACGGAGAACGCATTCATATACCTACCAAGGAATTGGGTTCATGTGAAGTTTACCCCCAAACACTGCAACATTCACCTAATGGTCGATTTGTGGTGGTTTGTGGTGATGGAGAATACATCATCTATACTGCTCTAGCTTGGAGAAATAAGAGCTTTGGTAATGCTTTGGAGTTTGTTTGGGCTGGAGATTCTAACGAGTAAGTCCTCACTCGGACAAAGACATGCTTCTTTTGCGCTTGAAACATTTTTTTGTTCACTTGCCAACCAAAACTCACTGTTCCTCCTCAAATATACAGATATGCCATTCGTGAATCATCATCAAAAGTGAAACTATACAAGGCATTCAAAGAAAAGACCAATGTCAACATCCGACCATCATACAGTGCTGAAGGTATCTTTGGAGGTGCCCTGTTGGGTATCCGAAGCAATGCCTTCTTGAACTTTTATGATTGGGAAACTGGTGCTTGTGTTCGAAGAGTGGAAGTCGCTGCAAAGAATGTATGAAATTGCGGTTGCTTAGCGTTTTTCCGTCATCCTTACTGACATATTTCCTTTTCGATACCATTAGGTCGTATGGTCAGAGTCAGATTTAGTGGCAATTATCACTGAGGATTCCTTTTATGTACTGAAATTCAATCGTATGGTGTTCCAGCAGCAACTTGAACGCAAGGGTGTTGCTTCATTTGGAGAAGAAGGGTTGGAGGAAGCGTTCGATTTCGTTTCTGATATTACAGACTCGTAAGTACACACAATCGCGTGAAGACCGTGATGAGACATTGTATCTAATTTCTTTTTGCGCTCGACTGTAGTGTCAAGACTGGATGTTGGGTTGGCGACTGCTTCATTTACACAAACACAGCCAATCGACTCAATTATCTTGTTGGTGGTCAAACTTCTACTGTTGCTCACTTTGATACGTAAGTACCTTTTTGCGGGTATCGGTTGAGAGCATGGCGGCAAAAAAAAAGGATTCGAAAGTAATATGCTATTCTCTTTCACAGAAATATGTACTTGTTGGGTTACATTCCACGAGACAACCGAGTCTATCTCGCCGACAAGGACCTTAGTGTCTACAGCTATTCACTACCACTCACAGTCATTGAATATCAAACCTATATATTACGCGGTGATTTGGAAACGGCCGAAAAGATATTGCCATCTGTGCCTACTGAACAACGAAACCGTATTGCGCGTTTCCTTGAATCTCAAAGTAGGTTTGAATCCGACTTCAGCGCGCCTGGATTTTTCCTTCTGACCCAGCCTTTTTTCGCATTCTAGATATGAAGGAGCAAGCACTTCAAGTTACCACTGATCCAGATCACAAATTTGATTTGGCGCTTTCTTTGGATCGATTGGATGTTGCCTATCAGATGGCACTCGAAGTTGATAGAGAAGATCGATGGAAGACTGTTGGTGATGCCGCTCTAGCTGCTTGGAATGTAAGCATTGGCCGTCGTTAGCCTCCAGTTTTTTGTCTATGCTGATCGTCCTGTTTCCAAATCCATCAAATTCAGTACCGTTTGGCAGAAGAGTGTCTGAGACGAGCCAAAGACTTAGAGGGGTTGTTGTTGTTTTACCAAGCTGCAGGAAGTTCTGCTGGTCTGAAGAACTTGGCTGCTTTGGCTGGTAGGCAATGCAAAGGGATACCGTCGCCACTTTTTTGTTGTCCCGTGAGCTCACACATTTCCAATTATATGTTCCCACAGTTGAAAAAGGAAAAAACAATGTGGCATTCGTATGCTATCTCTTATTAGGCCAGAGCGAAGCATGCATTGATTTACTCATTGCCACTGATCGAATTCCAGAAGCTGCTCTCTTCGCACGCACATATTCCCCTTCATCCATTACACGAGTGGTAGGATTATGGCGAGAGTTACTACTCAAGGCTGGTAAAAAGAAGGTCGCCGAGTCTATATCGGAGCCATCGCAATATGAAAACCTCTTTCCTGATTACAAGTATGCGTTGGTGGTTGAAGACGCGTTTAAACGCAGTAGAGATAAAGGATTGCCACCTGCCAAAAAGTATGCAGAATATAAGGATTCGTTAGAGTTTGATTTCATTGGTGGTAAGTGTTGATGTTGTGGGTGGTTTGCATCACGTTGTACTTGGGGGTTTCGCTAATATTCCATCAATTGTAGAACTGAAGAGACGGTTCCCCAATGGTATGCCCGACCAAATCCCGCCACCACCAACGACAGCAGCAACAGCAGTAGTAGCACCAGCTACAACCCCCACACCCATTCCCGCACCATCACCACCATCATCCACAAATGGTTCCTTGACATCAACAACACCACCGCCGTCACTACAACCAGCAGTAGTATCTACTGAACCAACATCTAAACGGTCTGTTACCTTGAACGTTAATGGAATTACAACGACTCCTGATGTAGATATTCAACAAAGTGGTGGAGAAGATGAACGATACGAGTCGTTCTCAGATAATATGTCTCACGTTTCTATGGAAGTCAATACCACTGGAACAGGTTCAGTTAGGGTGAGTTGCTGCCTATTGGTCAGGTTGAGACGACCATCTTGTTACTCGCGTTTTATGGGAATCAACTCTTCTGTTTTGTGGTGTCAACGGCAGAACCCAGTTGTGAGAACATGCCTCTGACACACTCACTCTCTTCATATCAACAGGGCGATGTGGACTTTGATGATGTTGCATCACTAGCTTCTGAGTTGCAAACGGTATCAAGTGACGTGGCAGCATTGACAACTACAGATGAAGATCTCGAACGATTGCTTGCCGAAGCCTAAAACTTGTAATGTATTAACACAATTCATGCCAAAAAATATAAGTCCCAGAAGTTTTATACATCAGGATGTGTAAGGTGAAAAAAGAAACCAGGCCGACGGAGACCCTATGAATGTAGTTGCGATCCAACGTTGCGCGCAGCTACCTTTTTCTATAGAATTTTCAGCAGTTATTCCACTTGCGGTACTGTGTACGTGATTCGGATTTTTGCCGATGGTTTTTAGGAGAAAGCCGGGATGCCAAAATCTGACCAAGGAAACTTTTGCTAAAACCAATTTTCGCCTAATAGTAGCAAGAATCCTGACAATAGAACTTGCCTATATTTGCCACAATGGAACGGTAAGATATAGCCCTCAACGTTTCCATTTCCATCAAACTTGCCAAACTAACAACCTTTCCGCCCTTAGGCAATTCAAACTTTTCAACATATCGCTGAACAAAACATCTATATCCGAGAAATGGCAGCATATACCCCATATAACGCAATTTGAAGAGGCACCTACCTTCCGGCCAATACAGACAAATAATGTGTCGCTGACCACTGTAACATCCTCATCACCCGACCAGGCCAAAACCGCCTCATCCACCACCACTGCACCAACGACTGCATCAAAACCGGTAGCAGATAGACAATTGAATGATCTCATGCAATCCTTAAACTCGCTGAGCGATGGTGGTTGCTGAAGTCGTGAAAAAACTGTAGTTATGAAAAAACACCTCATTGGACAATTAGAACAATAGTTTCATGATACCACCCACATGCATATTTAGTATCTAAACAAGCTCATGTTTGCCACGACTTGATTTGTTCGTTTCATGTATTCTATATAAGTATGCACAATTCTAGAACTAAATAATAGTATCAGTAAATCAGGGACGCCTTGTCAATGCGATGTGTGTGTGCTGTATGCCCAGATTTCATATTCCTATACTGCTCAATGGACTTTCGAGAGAGTCTCTGAGTGCACGTCCCTATGAGAGGCCATTGTGTAAGTGGTTTAACCCAAACCCCTTTGGAATGTCAAGGTTACCTTGGCCATCAAAACACCCAATGGGGTATCTTCAGAAGCAGCAATACATAGCAGCAGTTTACTTATTCGTATCATGCATAGGCGGCCCCTCTACAAAAGAACATGTTGGCATAAAAAAACACAAGATACTGTATACGAACAGACACATCATACATCTTTATGATCACAGGCAAACTCTTTCAACTGATCCACGACAGGGGGCGGGACCGCACCACCACTTCTGGATCTGCCACCACCACGTCGTGAAGCCTGTGGAGTAGGGTAGTTTGAATTGTCACTGGGTATTAGATGTGATGACTTGTCAAATGTCTTCCATATGGAGCTAGCTACAGAAGCGATGATTTTGGCTTCACGGTCGTCGGAGCCGGAGCTTGCTAGGACAGAGCCGTCTGCGTTTAGGAGTCTATTGGAGTATGGGGTGTTAATGTGATGTTTTGTGGAAAGATGTGACTATCGAGGGAAGGAAGCTTCGTATGAGCTTACAAGGCTACTATGACGCCTCCAGTGACGGTCTGGCCCAGGACTGATGAGAGAACTTTGGGTTTTAAGGCTAGCATCGTTGATAACTTGAACTTTTGTGAGCAACGAATTAGAGGAGATGATTGACAGTTTCTCAAGATAATCGGATACCAAATCACAGAGATTAATAGATTAATAGCAAGCTGACGCGTATAAATTCAAAGCTATCGAAAAGGAACGCGTCCTGAAGCTAAGATAAGGTCAGTACAGTTTCCCAAACAACAAAATCTTACATAACAAAGTGACAGTACACCAGGCCGTTTCAACGTCGACCACTCAGGAATTCGCTGAAAGGGACGTCTTGGATATAGACCCATACTGGACTTTGCGTCATTTGTTCTAAAGACAGCAAAATCTTACATAACGCTTAATAATCAGCGTTGATTAGAATTGGCCCAGGTATATTAGGCCAGCCGTATCAACGTAGACCACTAAGAGAATTCGCTACAAGGCACATACTGAATACAGATCTATACTGGTATGTTGGGCTTTGCTTCATCTTGTCTTGATGGAGGAGCACCATTTAAGTTTTGTAAGTTTGGGTGCACACTTCCGCAACAAGACAACTAACTCGCATTTCGTTATCTCAATAGACAATATGGCCAAACAATCTAAACTCCCTCCAAAGGAGAAACCTCAAGGTCGAGATCATATCTTCAATGTCGACAGGAATGCCCCTTTATCAACCAGCAAGCTCGTTGGCTTTATCGTCGGCCGACTTGCCGACATTCCGTTGCAGTACTATATACTGACGTACTACAGCGGATCCTTCTGGAAGCTCGTGGGATTGCCAGTTCGCCACCCTAGTGCCATTACTGGCGTCTTGTCGCCTCGCCAGACTATGCTTCTTGCGTTTAGTGCTGTTGCTGCTCTGAGACACGCGTACTGGGCTATTTCGTTTTCGTTCTGTGATATCCCCGTGCCTGGTATGTCTGCTTGAAAAACTTGATCAACGTCCTTTTGGGGGTTTAACTTAATTTGCTTCGTTTTTAGCTATAGTTTTCTTCAATGCGCTGTTCAGCACTGTGAATTCCTTGTTGCTGGCTCGTGATTCTTCTTGGGACCTCTCTTACTTGGACTATGCTGCTATTGGGTTGTTTACAGTTGGATCCTTGATTGTGCGTTTCGTAATTCGGCAGAAGCTTCCTCTCCTTGAGGTTAAACTTGCACTGGACATTGGCTCATGATATTTGACCTTTAGGAAACTGTATCTGAGTATCAACGAAATGCTTTCAAGAAGAACCCTGCCAACAAAGGTAATAATCTCTAACGCCTGCGCACGAATTCTAGTGAAGTGACAACAAACATCACTCGCTGCTAGGCAAAATCTATACCGATGGATTGTTTGGTTTGGCTCGTCACATCAAGTGAGTGAACGTTGAGTAAGCACTTGCGTCCTTGTCTTCTGATCAGCAACTTTTTTCTAGCTATGGTGGATACGTTATCTGGCGCGGAGGATACGCTCTAGGATCTGGTAGCGCATTTGCTCTCGTCCAACCTGTCTTCCAGCTTTACGATTTCTATTCTCGTGCTGTGCCTGAGCTCGACCAAGTAAGTTTTAATACTTTGAAGTTCAACCCGAGTAATTGTCCGCCAACTTTGACGTTTTTTCTAGCACATGTCTGCAAAGTACGATGATCAATGGAAGACGTACAAGAAGAAGACTCCGTTCGTTCTCATCCCGGCTGTTTTGTAAACTACAATTTGTACCATTTCGAGATTTGTCTTCTTATTTGAAATACGAGTTATGTGTAGAACTAGTTCCACCACCAATGAGCGGCCTTTTCCTGTAAATTTATATGAATCCAAGTGTGGGCATTGATTGACGTACTTGACAAACCCGAGTCCCTTTTGTTTGATATGAATCTGAGCCAGCAGGGTTAAATGAGCTCACTCCTTCCTTGTCACATCATTCAATAATATTTTGTTACTGCTCTTGAGTCAGGACGTAGGGCACGCTGCGGACGAGTAGTATCGATAATTTGCCACGGAAGGACCGTTGCTTGTAAAGAAACGACTCATACAGGAATCTCGAGTTTTTCCTCAAGCGATGAGCCTTGGAGGAATGCAAATTTTTTTGAATGTCCAACCGCTTGTGTTTTTTTGTTTTGTGGGTTACCCTTTGAAATCTCCTTGTAATAATAAATGAAAACGTGTTTTCTAGTAACAAGGTTTTCGTATCTAGTCAGTATATCTTGCTTCACGATGCATCACCAGTTAATGACGACCATATCGCGTCAAGGCCTCGTGGAACTGTAAAGGATCAACCTCCGACAGTCTAGACGAAACGAGGTTTGTGTTTTGGACGTGTTTCTCGTGTGCTAAACCACCATTAAGCATTCTAATCAAGTTTCACGTACACCAGCAAACGTTTATAGGTCATCGTCGACTCTCTCTTGGCCTTTGCGTCCAGAAAGACCACCATCTAGGGCTTACAACAAAACAAAGCACAAAGCAATCGGTCAATTAAAATCCCATCCCATACCAAGATGCTCTCAACAATGCTACACGATCATCACATCTATAATAATTTCAAGGATTTTACACCACCCTATTCACCCTCCTCGCTTGACAGTAGCAGTGGGTCTTCCGCTGACGACAACCGAAACGGATCCGATAACAGTCCACCACCACGCTACAAACCCAGACCACTGGCCTATACGCCGCGTCGTGAATACACGACCTATCATGCCACTAAACATGTAACGCCACGACTGTCCCATCCGAAGCATAGATCAGGTGTAAACTTGCCCGGCGTCAGAGAGTTGTTTCTTGGTGAGTTACAGGCTAGAGAGGCGGCTTTTAGTGGTATGAATGAGAGGAATAGGTATCGGACTGATGATACAGTAAGGAATCACTCTGGGCTAACAACGGAAACGTTTAGTCACCACCAACATCACCATCATAAACTGAGGCCAATAGCAAACATCACACACGAAAAACCACGACTGGGAATCGTATCGCCTGCATCGCCAACGAGAGTGGCTAGTAGACCTGCAGTAAATATCCCACCGATACTGCATCCGCCAATACCGTTAAAGAAAAGCGAGCTCATGAAACGTATCCACATAAAAGGTACACTTGAAAACCTCAAAGCCTCCTTATCCGGTGTTAAACTAGTGTTTGCGTACACATTTTAGATATAGTAGTAGTCGTTTTGTAGCATTGGTAATTTGTTGTATAGATTAGTAGTTTTTTAGTATCATAGACAGACATAGTTTGGTTGTTGGTTTGTAAAACAAGGGGACTACAATTTGGGTTTTGTGGAGACGTCCATCCAGTTGATTCCAAGTCTATGGTGTTATGAATGTTAGGTCGATCAAAGCAGCATGGATACGCATAAGGAGAAACACGTACTGGCGAGCGATACAAATCAGATTCTTGTTGGTATCGAAGATGTATACGGCAAGATCAGACCTAAAGAAATCAGAAAGGTAAGTCTCTCTGTCTCATGCGAGTATGTGGGTTGAAAAGCTAGGATTTGTCCTATACCTTCCGGATTCATTAAACACTTCAGAGTCCTAGTATGTTTGGGGGTGGATTTTATTACCATCGTATCTTCAGACACGCAACACCATCAAAACATCACCATACTTGAATGAACAAGTGTGGATTGGGAGCTTTGGGATCCGGACGGTTATGAAAGTGGAGGCTCAAGGAGACCGTTCCAGAAGAACGAACTATAGGCAAAACGATGGGGTTAGCCAAAATATATTGAGGCTTCAAAGCACACAAGAGTTCGGAAACAATACCTTGTGGATACATGACTCTCATTCGATGCCACATGCTGAAATCGTTGGCAAAGTCGGAAAAGAAGCATGCCGAGACCACATCGCTACATTTGCATATCAATTATCAGCATTTCGGTTTGTTACAAGCAATGTGTTCCACGGACTCACTGTGGTCGTGCGTCGAGGAAGCCCCGGTAGATTGGAAACTCGTTTGGTTGTGGTCCGGGGTTCAATTGAATGTTTGGATACGTAGCCTGTAGTAGGAATCAAGCATTACCAATGCATCGAGAGGTAACGGCAGTAACGTCACTTTACATTGATTCGGTCCCAAGCAGCACGACCTGCGGGCTCAACTAAGGCCCTCTGGAGTTTGCTAGCTCCACTAGATCCGATTTGAGGTACAACTAGAATAAAACAGAGCTTATGAGTACATACTGCCTACTGCCAAAACAAACCGCAAATAACACAAATTACCTCGACATTGCTCTGGTGGAGGTATTGGTGGACAACGTGGTTCATTGTATAAAAAGTCCTGCAATCTAAATTCATCATAACGGGTGAGTGATACAATTCATAGATTGGCCGATTGCAGCATTATTTAACACGTACGCTGAACGATTCATGTCCCCAAATGTGCCTTGCATCGAAAAGACGATTGCTTTTGGTTTGTCGACAATGTTTGCCATGACGGTCACATAAGCGAGATCTATGTTAATCAATAGAGATAACGATTCGGCTTCATAGTTCAGTACTGGTGTTCAATGGTGTTCCTACTTTTGCCAATCTTGTGAGTTGTAACATGCAGCCTGATCTTGTCTCGTGGTTTGGTTGTCGACAAGAAGCTCATGTTGATTACAAAGGGATCAGGGTATCTTTCTCCTGAAATGGAAAATAGTTCAGCTCTCTCCCATTCATAAGGGACCTCGTAATAGTACCTAGGTGTACTCTGCACACATGGCAACCCAGTGCGAGTAAGAAACCACCAAAGGCGCTCCTCCTCCAGTTTAAGAAATCCGGATGTATTATGCCTTCGTATTCTCCTGATTCCGCATTTCTTTCAATGGTCTCGACCTCAACTGCTTTATCGAGCAAGAAATTGGGTGTGGTTGGTGATGTTGATGATGCCATGACTTTTCACGTTGTTTTACAGGATGTCGAGACCTGAGACTTGATCAGACAATCTAAACATTCGTGTTTGGTTATTAGTGGTGATCGATACAAAGGCAAAGGTGCAAAATTCACATCTACAATTTGCAGTGACGACTCGCAACAGAAAACTTTAATACAACTGGTAAACGGGACTTACTATAGATCAGTGAGTGTATATACGCAAATTGGATCAAATCTCTTCCTGGTAAATCACGATATTTGCCTGCTGCAATGACGTCGTCTATGTTTTAAGAATTTTAATGCTTACGCAGATTTGCATATAGACGCAGTACAGACAAGAACACATACCATGGGGAATAAAACTTCAAAACCGAAGAGTGGAACTCAACCTCCTCAAACGCTGCCGAAGCTGAATGAACAACTGCCTGTAATCCCCCAGAATTCGCCTACATCAGAAACAACGAAACCAACAACACAACCGATACCACCACCGGCCGAACGAGAAGCCACGCCGTTTGTCCTGAAGAATTATATCTTTGATAATGCTTTAAACGTGCGGAAAAGGGGGGATAATGAGTACTCTATAAGGTTCTCACCAGATTGGGAAAATGACCTTGGTAGGTCTGGTTTTCTCTTTCATTTCGCCCAGAGCGGCAGATGATGCATCGTGAGTTTTAATCTATTCTGCTTGGGTCTCAGGAGTTTTACATGGAGGTTATCTGCTAGCTGCTGGAACGAAAGCCATCATGTTACATCTCGGATCTTTCGAACCAAACAGCAAATACCCTGACCCACTAGTTCTCAACATCAGCTTCGTAAACAAGGTCAAAGGCAACGAGTCGTGTTTGATGGAAATCAACGTTATGAGACAGGGTGCAAATCTTGCCAATGTCTTTCAAATATGTCGCGATGTGGTCACCAACAAGACGATATGGACACTCCAAGCAACATTTGGAGACATCACTAAGAATGTTTTATCCAACTTTCACTACAATATACGGCCATTCCCTGCTCTGGTAGACCCACACTCGTGTGTGGACGTGAGGGATATAATAGACCGCTCATCGCATGGGGCTTGGTGAGTAGAGTATTGCACTTTTGTCCTTTTCAAAAGCCTTATCAGCCTTTTCAGAAGCCTTCAAAAGTCTTCTTTTCAAATGCCTTATTGCTGACCCCGTCAAAACGACACAGGAGTGGTCCATTCCAAGTAATGAGAACGTGTATTATGCCAAGGCAATCTAGACGGGCTTTAGAAACCGCTATACTGAATGGTGAAGACACATCGGAGCCATCCAATTTGGGCGAGTTTTCCAATATGAATGGCCGAGTACAGTTAGCCAACTGGACTGGGTTCCAAGATTCGAGGCCGATGGATATGTTGAGGTACGTGTAGGCCACCTGTACATGAAGGGTTCAAGAGAGTATCAAGTAAACATAGCTTTTTTGTGAATACTAGCGCCTGCTTCTTTGCAGATTGTAATTCCGACATCGGTATGCACCAGGAATTGCTAAGGCAAAACAAAGTCTTTCGAATGTGTAAGTCACTTATTCGTGGCCAACGAAAATGAATACTAACGTGCATATTTCATGTAGCCGGTGTCATCAATTTATCGATTCACTTCTACAATCGACCATCCACTGTTTGCGAACATAAGGAACTGTTTGCTTCGTCTGTCACGGACATTAGCATACGAGGTTAGTAGCTGACTTGCTCTCAAATTTCGGCGAGACTGGGGAGAACTTCTTGGGCTTACTCTATTTCACAGGTCGAAGTGATCTAGACCTAACCCTTTGGGATGCTTCAGGGAAGATGGTGCTAGTAGCTCGCCAATTAGCTCTTCGATGGGAAGACAAGAGTGCACCTTCAAAACTGTGAGCATTGAACGGCAGTCGTGTCATTTAACTCGACGTCGAACACGCAAACACCCACCACCAACAAGCGGGCTGTTTCGTTGAGAAGTAAAATGCGCAACTAAACTTTGTAACGTATAAAATAATAGTATACCACCACAACTAGCAAAAAAACGTGAAAAGCTGTATGCGTAGAGAAACGCGTCAGGACCGAACCATGTAAATTGTGAATGATGACACCTATGTGCAGGTGCACTCACACACTTGAGCTGGTCGTTGGACAGTCGTAATAATGAAGCGAAGCTACACTTCATCACTTTCCTTTTTCGTCGACTCCAAACACACATAATTTTCCCAACCAGCACAACCACACATTTAGTAGTTAGGAGCGAGAAGTAATCGATTAGAATCTCGGTATATACAGAGGGAATGCTCGCGACTTGCTAGTATGAATACATCGAAAGCCAACGAACCCTCAACGAACGAGACTCGAAACACACCTGAACGAATTGGAGACAATAACTCTATTGAAGCAGCCTTTCCACCTGTAAGTATAACTATCTAGATCTCACTGATTCTGGCTAGGCCTCGAGTAGATCCTATCTTATAACGACTTGCAAACCAATGAATGAATCAACATTTGGGAGGGAGGAAATGAACGGTGTACAAATGGGCACTCGAGGAGGGAAACGAGACTCGTCAAAGGAGAGCAGACTGCCATCTTCGATATTGATTTCGTAGTCATATTTGATGCTACATCCTTCACTGCCATTAGACACATATTGAGTCTTTGAAACTGCGGTCGTTTGGTTGTATGTGTTGACAAACAAACCTAATGAAAATCCTCTCAAATGCATACGTGAGGCCCTCTCTAACAGTCATTTATCCTATTGAAATCTAGTCCAACACTTCCAGAAACACTATCTCAGACTTACCTAGTGATAGCACTTCAAGCACCACACATACCTCACACACACCATTCTATATCACTCAGCCAGCCTTTCCTCGAAGCCAGTCTGAATATCCATTGTGGTATACTCCAACACCACCCGCTTTGAAAAGGTTTTGCTTTGACTTGAACGGTGTCCCTACTGATTTCAAGGAAGTCAACCAACAAGAGGTACTAAATGCTTTTGGTGCTGTGGGTGTTTGGAGAACAGAAGCAGTTTAATGCGAACGATATGATTGATAATCGCAGCGTTTGCTAATCTATCGCTCTCTTTTTTCAACTAGAATCCATTATACACGTCATTACCAACGTCATCACTAGATCAATCAACCCAAAACAGTAATTCACGTAAAAGACCAGCACCTCGAGACTCTATTGATAGCGACGATACGCCAACCCTAATGATTACAGACCCGTCAACCTCAAAGAAGGCTAGCTCAAGTGTGCCAGCACACAAACGTCGTCATAATGAAGAAGGACGACCAACAGCCACTGCATCCTTTAGAAAGGGATCGGGGTTGTTACGTCCACCAAGAGTATCGAGTGTAGGTCAAGTAAGAACATCAACAGCAGCAGTGCCCTTGACACCATTCCCAGAAGCCCTTGTACTGGATGCTCAAACGTCAACAAAAAGAAATATGGATGATATGATTGATCGTGATGACGAAGACTTTAGCGATAATACTGACGTTGATCTCGATGATGCTCCTAATCTACCTAGTCCTCGATTGTCACCAACGTCCACGTCATCGCTGCCAACAACTCTACATCTCTTGACCAGCCAATTCTCGTCGATACCATTATCGGATCCACAATCACCTTCAGCAAAGGAGCTGGAGTTGGTTGCAGATAGGGTCTTGTCTACATCACCATTTGCTGGCGACTTGGGAGGTATGCTTTTAGAACAACCGCTACCAGGACATACCCGAGCTGATGGCTCAACACATCCTGCACCAGCATTGTCTGAACTACCGCGTATTATCTCCACCTTTGAGGGATTACCGCCGCAACTTAAATCGTATTTATTACTACACTTATTGAGACGCTGTCCATACCCTACTCTTCAATTCATATCATCCATTATCTTGCCGACCTTGAAACGAGACTTCCTTGGTCTCTTACCTATAGAGTTGAGTTATCATATTTTAGAGTATCTGGATATAAAGTCTATTGGTCGTTGCGGTGCAATCAGTCGACAATGGCAACATGTAGTTGATGGTGATGGTGCTGAGATTGCTATATGGAAACGACGTATGATATTGGAAGGATGGTATAATGAAGCCGAGGTACAGAGTGAGATGGCAGTGTTACGTAGTAGGAATGCCAACTTGTTCCTCCGATCAGCACCATCAATACCATCACCATCTCGAGCTGCCAAACTCTTGAAACACTCTACTCAGCAACGTCTACCGATGGGTGACGATACAGCAGATAGTGACGATGACTTTGCTCTATCACTCAAGCCATCGTCTTCATCGAGACGTCGCAATATTGACTCTGGTGCCGGATCATCAAGTCGTAATGCCTTGTCCCCGAAAGCAGGTGCCATGGAATTGGCTATGGATTTGGAAGACAGGCCGCGACCTGTACCACAAGGTGTATACAAAACTCTATATGCTCGTCACTTCAGACTACGTAAAAGGTGGTTGGCTGGCCAATATCGCCAAGTCTCCTTCCCGGGTCATGGATTTAATGTAGTAACATGCCTGCAGTTTGATGGTGACAAGATTGTATCTGGCTCGGATGATATGAGTATTCACATATATGATACAAAAACGGGAGCTTGCCGTAAAAAGTTGGAAGGTCACGAAGGTGGTGTCTGGGCTCTACAATACTGGAACAATGTTCTGGTATCAGGATCGACTGATCGTACAGTCCGAGTATGGGATATGCAACGTGGTGTCTGCACGCACCTGTTTGAAGGACATACCTCAACAGTGCGATGTTTGATGATTGTCACACCTAGTAAAAACGATGAAACTGGTGAAATAGCTCCCACGCAACCACTGATAGTCACTGGATCTCGAGATGCTACATTACGAGTCTGGCGACTACCTGTACCAGGCACCGATGCCGAATACTTCCCACCAAATGGTGCCTCATCACCACCAGCTGACGGTGCTCATGTCAATCCATATGCTCTCCATGTATTACAAGGTCATACCAACTCTGTACGTGCTATTGCTGGGCATGGGTCTATTCTCGTCTCTGGCTCATACGATTGTACAGTCCGTATGTGGGATTTGGTGTCTGGTGAAAATATTTGGGTATTTAGAGGTCATCGTGAAAAGGTCTATTCTGTCGGATATTGTCATGAATTGAAGCGAGCCGTATCTGGATCTATGGACGCTACGGTACGAGTATGGTGTGCTCGAACTGGCAACTCTCTCCATGTACTTGAAGGTGAGTTAAATGCACGATTTTGTTACTTCAGTATCCCGTTTCTCCTATTTTTGTTGATTCCATAATCTCATGTATCTATGCATCACTGTTTAGGACATACATCTCTTGTTGGTTTGTTGGAAATCTCGCCACAATACTTGGTATCCGCTGCTGCTGACTCGTCACTTCGAGTATGGTCGCCCATTACAGGTCAATGCCTTGCTACCTTGGTTGGACATACAGCTGCTATCACTTGCTTCCATCATGATCCACGTCTCAATCGTATAGTGTCAGGATCCGATGGTGGAGTCAAAGTATGGGAATTGTCTTCTGAAGGTCCAGGTGGTCCATCTCGATCCAGTACTTCGCGAAGTCCGCCACCTGTATATGGTCGTCTCTTGCGTGATTTGGTGAGCAACGTACAAGGAGTCTGGCGAGTACGTATGGATGAACGTCGACTTGTATGTGCTGTGCAGAAGGATCAAGGGCGAACCTTCTTTGAAGTACTCGACTTTGCTGAAGAGGAGGGGAATGTTACAGAAGCAGCTGAAGCTGACGATGTAACGTTTGCCGACCATTCAGCACCGGCGACCGCCTCCAATTGAAGTCGTAAAATAGTAGTTTTTTTAAATCATCAAGCAAATCTCGATCCACGTACATATAGATCCTTTGTATACTTATATAAATCAAGCTTGTTCTCGAGGCTCCTGGTCAAGGCTGTTTGATCGCACGAAAAGGTTATTGTTTTCGAACTTGAGGATTCCTAAACAAAATTCGTTTCTGCCGCAATGAGACGAAGCAAGTCTTTGACGGACAGGCAGTCGACAACTAGAACTAGCCCTATTGGTGGTTCTCATATTTCAGTTGAAGACGCTAATACTGTCGAACAACAAGCAATGCTGTTCTCCACTTTTGATGATGTGGTGAACAAGTTTGAGAATAATAATGAACAGAGCCGCAAAATGACGCCACTTCCGCCGCCATATTCTCCAATGTCTTCTTCCTCCAGCTACAAGACCTCCTCACCGGGAACATCACCATCATTCATCAACCACAGAACCCCAGATCTCGCCCTGTTGGGTCGATATGATTCTGCGTGCACGCTTCCCGATACCACCAGTGTCATAAAATCTGATGCTGAGACTAGCACGGTGTTTGATCAGAACCACGCTCTCGTCCAAACAGGTATGGGTGACGAATCTTGTCTACTTTGGTAGCAAACTCACTTTATTCTCGCTCTAGACGACGTAGAAGCTCTACTACTACCACCCAAAGCAATCGACATTGCTAAACGTATACATGAGCATGGTAAAGCACCTGGTGTTTTGATACAAGGGGAATTATTGCTCTTTGATGATGACAATGAAGGAGAATATGCTGCTGAGGATACTCATGAGACTGAGTCTGTTGAGGCTCTATCGGCTATGGCTCTGTCGTATATAAATAATCCGTTTAGGAGTGACGTGGTGCTGAGGATTGGGGATGCTGTTTTCTTTGCTCATTGGAAGTTTTTGAGACCACACGAGTACTTTCAGGCGCATTTGAGATTTAGCAGTGAGTCCAAGCTAGTTGAGGTGAGAGAATTGTTATTATACTCCTTAACTTACAAGAATGGATACAATTACTGTGTATTATTCCTGATATGCGAACTGACACAATTCTCTTTTCAGTTGCAACTACCGGATCCATATCAGTTCCCCGATATCTTGAGATACCTATATACCCATGAATTGGATCCCGTCCTGTTTATATCAGACCGTATATTATCGACTCTCCAGAACGCCGATTTCCTGCTACTGGAAGAACTGACTCAAGCAGTATACGACAGGTTCCCCGCAGTTTGGGAACTCGTAACGGCCAAAACCGAATTCCATCATGAACGTATAGCACCACATCACATTGTAAAGCTATTCGCTAACGCCAAAGACGATGCCACAACACAACGTATAAACGGCGCAGATCTAGCTAAATGCATCCTCAAATGGTCGTCTGGATGGCAGGCCGATCGAGGACACGTAATCCGCGACCTCATGGTTGAAATGGTGGAACCGATAAATGATTTTGAGGCGTTAAGTCAACTCAAGAGTATGTTCCCCGCAGAATTCGACTTGGCTGTGCCTCCTTCTTGGGTGTTATCAATGAGTGATGGATTGACTGAACAGATACATCGGGATGTTGAGCTTAAATGGTGTACTAAATGTCGGACAATGCAGCCGTATATAGTTTTTAAGAAGGAGCTGGATACTTGTGCACATCAGTATCATCCTGAGGCTTTTGATAGGAGGATATCAAAGTGGTTGTGTTGTGCTAGCTCGGGGAATGCTGTTGGGTGTCAGCTTAGTAAGTACTTTATATTTGAATTGGTGTGTTGCCTTTGTATGCTTACATTCTTGTATAGGATATGAAAAGCATCGACTACACTAAGGAGTCCGCACTATTTATCTCTGTCGCCTGGTCGCAAGTTCGTATGGAATTTCTTAAGTACTTTTATAGTAGTTTCGTTGGAAAATAAAATGTAGATTTGGCCTCAACATTCACTCGCAAACATGCTTTCGTGGGTTTATGTTGGACCACCAACCAAACGCAAAACGTTCCTCGAAAAACTCCAAAAAATGAAATCCAAAAGGCATCTTGATAAAAGTCTTTAAAGCACACTCATAGTGTTGCATATCACTACGCCTCCTTCGGACAACCGATCGCATACAAAAACGGTTGCTTACCGAAGAAGCCGTCCGCAATGTCCTCGGTATGTGCAGACATGGTCGATAGAGTTGCTTCTATGTAAGCTTGCCTACTTGTGATTACTTTGAGTTGTATTGAAGCGTCTTCCTCCGATCGATATTGCTGTTGTGGTGACGTTGACACGAAACAGAAAGGTGGAGTTAAATAGTTTGTTGCGTCTGGAGAACACAAAAATCACTTGATGGGCCAAATTTCTAAACAGGCAACTCCCGGCTGATTATTTTGAACTTCAATCGAAGGCACCATTCGTGGTGGTAGCTCTGGTAAGCTCAAATCAAGTTTGGTGATCAAAGGCTGGATGGAGTCTTTTGGATTTTTTAAAACCATGCACACACAAGAGGCGATCTCAGTTCATCGTAACAATCACCAAATCCAATGAACAAGCACTTCCGGATAACTTAATATACATGAATTGTATTCCGTAACCGAGAAGGACCCCTTAAAATATATAGTTGCCTCTCCATTAAAAAATCAATTAACTGAACCATCAAACTTTCATACTGTGCAGCTTATGCAGCTGCAGCAGTGACGACCTTGACATCTTTACGCTTGTTGAAGCGCAACATGGCAAGTACGACGACGGCAGCAGCCAAGGCAAGAACCAGACCACCAAGAGTACCGATGATGGCAGCAGACGAAGGTGAAGGAGAAGATATCGTCATCATGTCACGATCTCCCATGACTTGACGAGCAATCAACAAGTTGTTGTCACGAGCGACGAGTACTGCATCTTCAGCACGAGTATCACGGACAACCAGGCGAGCCTTGGCAGTAGCCTTTGCCTTAGGAGATGCCTTGGCATTGTTGTTGTTAACTTTGGCATTTTGCGTAGCTTTGGCTGTGGGGGATGCCTTGGCTATAAAAGTCGAATCCAACAAGGAATGTCAGGTTAGATCCAGGTACCAGAACTACTAAAAATACAGGATAAACATTCAAAATGTGTAGACTTACGTTTGTTGTTATTGTTCTTGGCCTGAGCTGCTTCAATTTTTGCTTTATCAGCTTCAAGTTCAGCTTCAAACTTTGCATTTTCGGCAGCAAGGTTGGCCTTAATTTTATCACCAAGGTCTCGCGCTTCCAATGTGCCTACAATCACCAATACGTAACTTTGGTCAGATTGTGTTTGGTCAAGATCACGTCAAAAAACCATTCCCACCTTCATTATCACGGACAACTAGACGAGGTTTAGGAGTAGCTTTTGCGTTATTAGCTTTGGCTGCAGAAGATGACTTGACATTGTTGTTGTTAGCTTTGGCATTTTGCGTAGCTTTGGGCTTCGGAGATGCCTTGGCTATGAAAAAGTTGCATCACACCGAAAAGACAGGTTAGAGTCAGGTTTCAGAGCTACTCGAAATCCCAGGAAAACTTTCAAAATGTGTACACTTACGATTGTTGTTGTTATTGTTCTTGTTCTTGGCCTGGGCAGCTACGAGTTTGGCTTTTTCAGCTTTAAGTTCAGCTTCAACCTTTGCTTTATTAGCAGCAACTTCGGCCTTGATTTCATCACCAAGGTCTCGAGATAGCAAGTCACCTATGTAAACGCATTGAAGTGGTTAGCATTGTGTTGTGTTGTAGCTCACCGACGAATTCCCAACGTTGCAAACCAGAGAATGTCGGGGCACCAAACACATAGAAATGGGATCGAAAACAAGGCCTTCATCATCACCAAAAACATGTGAAACATCGAGCTCATGTGTTTCGGTTGTACCCCTCATCACCGACGGAAAAAGCAAGTTGAAACAAAAAAATCAACAAGAAAGGCCAGAAACATCTTCATGAAACCTTCAGCACCATATCCAGTATCATTGTAGCGCGTTTGCTTCTGTTTAATCACCGATCGCATACAAAAGCTGGTTACTTACCGATAATGGCGTCCGAAACGTTTCCGTTGTAAGATGTAGACATGGTTGATCGAGTTATCCTGTTTCTGGTGGAAGATATGAACTGATATGATGACTTTGCGATACAGCCGATCTTCTCGTCGTTGCCTTTATCTCGGTTGCCGTGGTGAAGAGTTGAGAGGGTGAGGATTTGGAGACATTGGTTGTTGGGAATACAAAAGCTGAATCAGCGGACCAAGCAAATTTTCATGTAAGCTGATATCATATAATCAATATTGAACTTGAATTGGAGGTGCAATTCTTGCTTTTGCAAGCTGTACCATCAAACTTGGTGACCAAAGTCCGAATTTTGAGAATTCCTTCAACCCAAACACACAGAAGGTGATATTATGTGATCAGAAATATCCCGGTTCCAGTGAACACGCAAGTCCAGCTAACTTGATATATAGTACTTGTATTCGACAGCTGAGAAAGTAAACCAGAAATAAACAATTGTCGGTCTCTATAAACCGCTTCTAAATTGGCCAGCCATTGACAATTTACAGCGCCTTCCTGCGCATCTGAATCTGAACTTCTGAAGTCGGTCCCATCATGCCTCCTGGAAATAAAGTGTGAGGTGCCGTAAAATCTGACAAAGTCGAATCCATTTTGTCAAAGTGAAATCCCAAGTCTTAGCTTACCTCCCATGCGCATAGTGTTGAACTTGGGAGTCTTTGATGGATCAGCAAGACGCATATCAAAGAAATATAGCAGCATGGCTACAAAAGACTTGATTTCGGCCCTTCCGAACTGACGACCAGGACAGAGAGAGATGCCCTAAGACCGGGGTGAAGTTCAGACTCCAGTTCAAGCTTTCCATTATTAGGATTATTCAAGGACTTACTCCTCCAAATGGTACGAGAGGAGACACAACTTCTACACCTCCCTTCAACCTTGGTTGTGGAGCCGTGTGACGGTTGACATCAAACTTTTCAGGCTCAGGCCAGACTTCTGCATCTAAAAATTGGTGAGAGAGTGGTGTAAGACGATGGGCAGTAGTGTGGACTTGTATGGGCTTAAAAAAAGAATCCACCAGCACCAATAAGCCTACCCATATGGACTAGATTCGATAAAATGGATACTACATCACCCTTTCGTAGATTATAACTTTGACCATTCGTACTAGTCAAAGTCATTGGCCCACTACCGTTACGAACAGATTGGCTTGAAGAAGCTAGGCGAGATGCTTCTTGGAAGACGGCATCAATCAGAGTGAGTTTTGACAGATCGATATATGGAATAGTGCTCCCAGGAGCCGGCTTGGAAGATTGCACTACAGTGTTGATCTCCTTGTTGACAGCAGCATATAGTTGAGCGTCTTGGAGGATGAACCATAGTGACCAAAAGGCTAATGGTGTTGAGTTTGCTTGAGCCGCCCTAAGGATTGAGGAGGTGGTTTAGATGATTGAAGGTCAAGCACAATAGGCTTTCGACAAAGATGTCTTGCAGGAAGCCGCCACTCTGGCTCTAGCCAAATGATAGTTTATGTAGCCATACCAGAATATACAAGCATGCACTAAACGTCAGTAAATATAAGTGAGGTATGAGTAAATCGCTACAAAGTTCGATAAGAGACAGGACTCGACATTCTCAACACATACTTGCAGCAGTAACGTCTGGTGAAAGATTGATCTCCTCAAAGTACTTGATACGAACTTTCAGCAAGTCCGACAAGTTTTCAGAATCCAGCGGTTTATAACCAACAGGAAACTTGCTCGAAAACTCTGCCTTCATTTCCTTGAAGGCTGCCCTTGCTGCTTTTACTTCAGGCATAAACTCTGGCGCTCCCCCGAGAAGAAGCCCGAAAGCAGAATCAAATACTATTGATGAAAAGGAAGGAATCAATATGAATATTGTGATGAACCAACATTATGGTGCTTCGGTGATCAACTTACTCTGAAACTTGTCATATAACTTGTCAGTTTCAAAGCGCGAGCCGTAAAAAGCGGTGCCCGAGCTCTCAAAGAACCACCTGGTAATGCCCGAATACATGGGTACAGAAGTCCATTCATATTGACTAAACTTCTGGCTTGTTAAGACCTTTTCGAGCCTTTGCTGAAAGGCAGCCGTCAACGAGTTGCACTTTTCACCAAGCATCATTGTCCGATACTGGACTTTGACGTCTTCCCACAGTACCTAGATCAAACGGTTAGGAAAGAGGGTCGCGAAAGCCAGTCGCAAAACGATTGCTCTCACATCAGGCACTTTGCTCGTATCGATAGCGAAAGCATTCTGTAAAGCAGTGAGTTCCATATCGTGAAAGCTCAGAGTCTTTGATCGATAGATGGAAGTCACAAACGAGGGATCAGAGAAGTAGACATAGCGCTTTCCGGCCTGGTGCAGATGGTGTCAGTTTGAGAAATAAGTAACGCCGTGAAGATTCTCCAAATCTGAGATGTTGAGCACACGTACCATGTATACACAGAAGACATCGCCGAACTCGGCGCGAAGCTTCTCCATGTATGGTACCCCATTAGCTTTCTGAACTTCAAGAGCTACGCCGATGAATGGCAAACCGGCGATTAACGGTGGTTCACCTAATAGTAGATTATGGTGTGAGAAATGCTTCAATGCGCTTGGTGTCATCAGCATAGAATGAGGCAACAAGAAGCGAAGCATATCTGTAATCGAGCATGAAAGGCACGTTTTGGCAGCAAACCATACCTTTCCTACGGCGGTACTGCTTCTCATAGATATAGACAATTCCAACTGCACTCAAAGCCCCAATTACAGCCAACGCGATGCGTGCTGGAGAGTTCATAGCTGTCTATCGTCGTTCTATAGCCAGCAAGAACGATTCGTAGGATTGCAGATGCGTTTGAATTTCAAAGTTTAATCTCTTGCGTAAAAGAGTCCATCCCAACATGTACAAATTTACTACAATTATCCTGAAACTTAGGCAGCTGCATCGGTAAACTAGATTCAAATTTCGACGCGTCTTCATTATGGAGACGCGTCCATCGATGGCTTTGTCTCTTTGTGAACTGGCGATTGTTGAACGTATTGACAAATTTGCAGTAGTGTTTGATCGTTTATAACAAAAATGACAGACGTTAGTAAGAAGAGCACCGTACAGAAAACCCTCGCAAATCCAGATTGCAAGCCTCAACCTATCGCCCAGTATGTGTTTTTGCTGAATGTGTATGCGTTTGGTTGTTTGGAGCAAGCTTTTAAACGCTATCCACTATAGGTTCAAGACATTTGAAGACTTCTATCCGTTTTACTGTACGTGGAAGCGTATAACGCACTACAGTAGAAGCTATTGTTTGCCTCACAGTCAACATCAACATCATCTGGGTTGCCAACATTGCTCACCAAACCTGTGTTCATCTAGTGGGAGAGCACTCATTAAAGGCAACAAGACGTCTACACGTCATCGGTACTTCATGCATGCTTAGTATCGTAGCATACTCTCTAGCCGCTCGAAAGTTCAAACTACTTCCACTTGCAATCATTCAAGCTTATGGTACGTGCTCTTCAGCTCGTAGAAGTTAGACGCGATATATGCTTACCAACAGTTTGACCTAGGCTGGGCATGGATTTCGCATTTCTTCATTGGTATGATGGTGCTTTGAACGTGTCTGTATTGAGCAGCTTGCGGCTCAAAGCATTTTGTTGGAAGATCAAACGTTTCGGACGTGATCTTGCCCAAAGTACATACCTCAAAAGCAAAGCTTGGGATCCTAACATGCTTCTTCTTTATGCAAATAGAGATGAACAGACCAGCAACTTGGACATACCCTCTATGGAGTGCTGCTGGCGATTTTAAGATGTGGTGGGAGATCCTGTCAGGACAACGTGCATTCTAAATCACTTAATGCGCGTGATATAGCAGCATGTCTCCAGCTGAGAAGATTCGAAAGATTTGTTTAATACTAAACTGTAACTTTGTTCACTTGCCAAAATATAAACACTTTGATACTTGATACATAAATTTCGCGAATGTTTGGTAGTGATTTTGTGAGATGACTTGATGTGTGTCATTACTTTGTTGGGAAAACCTTCCATTCACTTTTGCTCAGTGCCGCAAGGAGGAAGAAAAGAACACACAACTACTATCAGAAACCTTGCAGATAGTGTTCGCTAACTGATAGTACAGTGAGAACTACTAGATCCCTTGCAAATCCACTCCATCGTATTCAAATGAGTGAAGTTAAAAAATCTGTAAAGAGCAAAGGGTTGGTGAATCCTCACTGCGAACCACTGGAGATGCCAGCCGATGGGTAAGCTTTATGTTACATAGTAAACAGCTCAAATTGAGTGTCATCTTGTCGAAAGTTTCTTAATTGCAGCTACTGACCGTCAACATTGGAATTGTGCTTTAGATTTAAGACATTTGACGATTTCTACCCGTTCTATCGTAAGACCCCAAGAACCGCTTTCTTTACTGGCAGTACAGTCCTAACATGATCAAACTCTTAGTTGGTGAACATTCGCTAGCAGTAACAAGGAGATTTCATGTCATTGGTAAACGTTTGGGACACATATTGCGATTAATGCACAAACGAATGAGCGTATGTTGACACTTGGATCTCTAAAGGCACAACTACCATGATGGGCATCATCGCATACGCTGTAACTTCGCAAAAACCTCGATTACTTCCTCTCGCCATCTTGCAAGCTTACAGTAAGTTTTCTTTGGATCGACCAGTATCATCGAACGCTGAATGTAACAGTGATTATTCCGTCATAGCATGGTCGTGGTTCTCGCACTTTGTATTTGGTAAGCAATTGGGCTTGTACATATGACTTTGAACAACTTTGTGGCAAAGCTAGTACAATCTTTCAAAGACACTGGTTGTATCAGCTCACATCTCACGTCCACAATAGAGGGAAACAAACCAGCAACATGGACGTACCCAATATGGAGTGCGATGGGCGATTTCAAGATGTTTTACGAAGTAATCTCTGGCCAACGCTCAGTCTAAAATTATATTCGTTCGAATTAGATGCAACAATGTATAGACTTATTTATGAGAACAACCTCACCCATACTGTACACTGTTTTGCACTGTTTGAACAAGGTTTGTGCGAGACTTTTTCTTGCTTGTTTGTTTAATTTAACATAACGAAACGAGGCTTAGAGAACGATTTCGGTTGTGTCGTGGAGACGTAGATAGCACTTCGGGATGTAAGATAAGCAAGCAGTTCGGGAAGATGAATCGACTGCTTGATACATTGAGATGTGTCAACGATTGTCATGCGATATGGTCCACAGGTTAAGGCAGTCGTCGGAAACCTTATCACGAGAGCGTCTAGATAAGGCAATTTGGTGTGAGTGAGGCATCATGACATCAGCATCAGCCAACCCAAGCCAAATTGGGTAAATGCGCTGGATAACCGACCAGTTCGTCAGACAGACCAAGAGGCAATGCTGCGAGGAATGCGGAAGCCAAGAAGGACGTCTAGTGATGTGAAATGCATAAGCAAATGTTCATTTATGTATATGTACTATGAGAGTTTGCGTGCTACATATGAAAGGCACTTTAAAATCTCTATTCTACAATTTCGGATACGTCAACTCCTTCAACAGATTAAACATGCCAAGACGCGTTACGGCATCATAGTCCTCAGCCCTCTTCACAAACACCATCCCGCTAAACCCAACTGAATTCACACTAATCCCATTCCAACTTTCTTCACGACGAGGCACAATCAGCATCCACCGACGCGTCATTAGGAATGCATATGATGGCGGTAGCGGCTCTGGTGTTTCTATAGTCGGATCCGTGGGATTTAGGTATGGACTATAGTCCTGTCCAGAGTTTTTGAAGGCTGCCAGTAAAGTTTCACGGTAGATGACTGTGAGCGTTTTTGCATCGATAGATGGTGGTATGAAGACTGCTGCATGTGCGAACGGGATAGAGGGTATTTGGAATGGTTTTGCTGCGGGGTGAAGCGATTCCATTGCATTCACCAACACCTCCATTGGCACCCCGTGACTGTCAACTGGTATGACTTGGATATGCTTATGCAGGACACTAATAGATACTCATTTAGTCAGCATTCGCTCAGTCAGAAACTTCCACAACGTGTTTTACCTGGCTCCTGACATGTGTCCGCAGTTGAAGAAGGCCAGAGAGTTTGACATGGAGTCCATGACATCCAAAATCGACTTAAAGTCACTCTCAGTCAGCGGATTGTACTGATTCTGAAAGTCTGTTTACCCGGTGAGCAACCAGTGTGAAACCAACTTGACAGCAGGGCTTCGTTACCTCGAGTGGTAATGAGCAAGTGGTCTCTCACGATACAATACTTGTTGAAGAGTATGTTGTGCGTGCCATTCAAGGTATCCACATATAGCTTTTCATCGTATGGTAAGAATGGGTTGAACTTGGCTGATGGTTCCCTTGCTTTTGCAGCGGATGATGCATTTGGCAAGAGCGAATAAGGTTTGGATTGGAGAGACTCTAGTAGTCTCAATTGGAACTATGAAGATGAACAAATATATGAGCTCGGATTTGTGGTAAAAATGAGTGGAAGGCCCCCGAAGCCTCACCGATATTCCGGGGGTTTTTTTGTGCTCACCATCACTCCATCGGAAGGCACTTCTTTAATAATAGTAGATGTAAATACGATTGCTCCCAATGAAAGAGCCTTGTCAAATTTCGTCCCTACTCCCTTTAACATGTTGCAAGGTCGCAAGTCCAAGAAAAGAAAAGGTCTTTGAGGTAAACAAGCACTGCCTCTTTGACACATCCAATCCCCTAATATATGCAACTAATTAATGAAGTTGCAGTCATCACGCTCATAAACCGCTAACGATATTCAGAATTTGCTTATCGCACCTCATACAGGCACAAGCTACCGTTCTCTGCTCAAAAGAGAATCAAAATTGTGGCCTGGGAACCCGCTAACTCATATAAATTATATCATCCAACCGAGAGACTGCCAAAAAACAAAGGTAGAACTTTCCTCATCCGCAAGCAAGGAAGGGCATCGATATCGTGGACTCATATATGATCATTCGCATTATAGACTTATCATGGAGCAAACGCCACCTCCCCCATCATCGCCCTCTGCACCAGTTGCATATACATTGAGATCCACGGCATCAGCATCACCAATTTTGAAGGAAGAACAACCCGCAATCCCAGCTATGCTTCCAGAAAAGTATTGCTCGTATTGTAAGACTACATCCAGCCCGATGTGGCGATGGCAGACGGACGAAGGAGGAAACAGGAAAGCGCGATTATGCAATTCATGTGGGGTGAAATGGCAACGGGGAAAACTGGATTTGGGCGTCCCCTTCTCATCAACGAAGCCGAAAGCATCAATCAAGAAGGCCAGAAATGCTGCTGCTCCATACTCGAAACTCCCTTCCAACCGACGAACCTCCATAACGCCAGCCTTGGATGGGTCTGAACATAACAATAATCATAATAGTACCATAACAGCCATCGTCATGTCGGATTACCCAGTATCACCAGCCCCATCATCAGCCGCGTCCGAACATACCTCGGGCTCCGCATCACCAACCATGATTGAATCCACCATCAAATCCAACGTAAATAGTAACAATGCTAGTATGTGGGTACCGCCAATGTCTCCTCTTGTATTGCCAGATGCTAGTGGGGCTTTGGGTCGCGTAGATAGCCTAATACCTGCACCGAACGTAGACAATGTAGCACAACAACAGCCATCTCCGGTAGAGGACTCCAGCATCGAATCACGTATAAAGGCCTTCTCAGCTGCACTTCAAGGTCTACCAGAGGCTAAAGTCGTGGCAGTATATAAATGTATCGAAAAGGAATTGACAAAGGGGCAACAAGCACAGCTGGTTGATGGTGTTGAAGTGGATTTGAACGCGTTGCTAGCTAGCAGTAATGTCTGGGCATCGCTCATCAAGATCCTAGCATGAGCAGTAAATCACAACAACAAAAGTAACCTTGTGCCAGGACAAAGCATTAGGTTTTGGATGGAAATCGCCTCTTTTTTTATATAGCTTTGCACCTCGCTTTTTATATAGTGGTAATCTTACCGCCTGTTTATTGGCAGAAGTCTTGTACACTGTCGTAGTTCGCTTTGCGCTTTTTTTGGTATCTCATTTTTGTTAGCACTCTCAAAACATGGTCTCAACTTGGACATGTATATGTATATAGTCTCGTAACGAAACCGAATATAATTTGAATTCACTACCTCGTTAAATACTCATACACTACTAAGTCCCGTCTTTTTCAAGTCCTTCCGTAATGCCATCAGCCTTAACTTGGATGGGTAATCGAAAGGAGTGTGTCGGTCTATCGGGACGAGTGCATCAAGCTTCTTAAGAGTAGTTGGCAGCTCAAATGTTCCACGGAAGCCCGATTTTTCTGATTCTGACCCTAGCCACGACAGAAGGTGTGTGTTGACAAAAAACTGGCGAGCTTCATTCTTTGTAAGCATATGTTACGGCGTATTAACATGCATTTTATTTATTAAATCTAGTATTATAGACTCCAGACTACTCCAAACATCGAGACTACCAGCGAACCCACGAAACATTCAGCACAACGGGAAGACTTCGAAAATACAACGGGATTCGGAACGTTTACAGCCGATGTCGGAGCAGCTACAGCAGGAACACCACCAACTCCACGAGGACTACCACTTCTAGTCGTAGTTGCTACCGCTACTGCTTGTGTACCATTACCTGAAGCAGTTGGCACGTTTGTGTTTGCTGATGACGGAGAAGGAGCCAATGTTGGTGATGGAGATGCTGATGCTACGACTGTGGAAGAAGGCATTGGTGATGGTGATGCCTCTTTGGCCATATCGGAGGCGGTTTTGCAGGCACTGTCTGCTCCAACCTGCAAAAGTGACGAATTGTATGAGTGAGAAGGGCTCAGAGAAGAAAGATACAAGCTCAAGTCTTGCCTTTACTGTACGGAGTTGCAATGTGAGCTGAGGGTCATCAGGACTAGGTTGGAGAAGGCTCCTGTTAGCGACATGATGATTTGGATGGTCCTCTGAACTAGTACCAGAGATTATAGCAAAGCACTCCTTGCTGAGCAGAGTTGCAGAGGCACTGATAGAATGCTACTGTAGGCGTATCCGTGACCTATTACCACATATTGTGGATCAAGACTTTGTTTGTGTGATGATACATTCACATTCCACTTACATTAGAAGAGCAATCAGACTGAGCAGTAGATGCATTCGTTTGGCATGCAGAAAATTCCGCTGTCCTTGCACATATTTGAGGTGCAGCTTGCTCCCATGTTTTAGAGATCAGGACCGCAAACAAGACGATAAGAATCTCGTGAAGGTACATTCTGTTTTTGGGGTACAGAGAAGTTTGTTATTGTTTCTTTTATACTGGGATAAATACAAGTGCTGCAAAGTTATAACAAATTCAAACACCTCGAGGTTATCACAACGCGAACGGGAATGTCTGTCAAATGTCAAAACAGCGTATCAGCCACGAGTTTCACAGCAGCTTCCCGTTGAATGCAGAACACTTACATCAGGAATTCTACGTGCACCTTTGGGAAAGTGTGGGAAGGCACGATCCAAGGGAGTAATTCGACGTGTCGGGTCAATCATCACGATACCGTCAAATTGTTTGCCAAGGATACAAGCTGAGTAATGCGGATATTGTTCGGTCTTTGGCTAAGGTCAGACATCATCGAGTTAGCCTCGTCGTTTTGCTACAACTCTTCTCAGAACTCACTCTGTATACGACCCGACAAAACGTTCCAGCACAGATTCAGAACGCCTGGCAGCTTCCAACTCAGAATCGACAGGCATCTTGGTCTTTTGCCCGTTAGCTGACTTGACAGTCTTATTCCAGATCAGCATGAATGGATTGGTTCCAACTGCTTTCACGCGGCGATATTCCCAACTGTCTTGGTCTTGCTTTCTGTAAATCAAGTCGGGTCTATTGATTTGATTGGAAGTTAGTGTCCTATTACATCTGAATATGCAGCAAGCTTCTCTTACCGTTGGTTCGTCCCAATTGTTTGCACAAGTGAGGGTTCCAGGATTGGCAACGAATCTAATACTTAAGACTTCACTTTCTCCGTAACGTTCTCTCAAGAGCTGTCCAACATTGACTTCACCTGCAGCAACATTTTGAGCTGCTTCCATGCACAAGGCTTCAAGGCGGCCTAAAATATCATGTCCTACCACGAACGCAACCCATGTCAGTATGTCGTGCACAACCAAGGTGTGAATTGTGAGCTCAAATAACAGCTTTGCTTGGTGTATCGCCCTTGGAAGTATGTTTCAGCTGAATGAAATTCGTCAGATGAGTGTCTCCTATGTTCCACCTGATGACATCTTCATTCAGCATTTGGCGATAGTATGACCATTCAAGTAATGAGGTGCCAGTAGGCTCAATACACACCAATCGACCATATTTTTATTACCTCGGCATCTTTGACGACAACTGCATTCATTTCAGCAACAAATTGCTCATCACCGTCTCGGATGTTCTTTTGGATGTACTGCATTCTTTTCATCATCGGTTTTTTCAAAACTTGTACAGCTTCTTGGTCTACAAACCACCAAGATTCAGCTAATGGATTTTGATAACAAGAGTTCAACTTCAAGATTTTACCTGCAGATTCCACTAGTTCTTAACGTATACAAAGGCTGTATGTTTGCATTTTCGTACCAAATCGAAAGAATGAGCCATGCCTATGAAATACCATTCCGTGAGATCAGTCTGGATTTCCATGTAACTTTTGTTATCTGCATCCAACTTTCACGAGCCTTCGCAGCAGCTTTCACATCCACACACTCAAGTTACTTGATAACAACATCAGCTGAAGCATTCAAAGAATACAAATCCATTCCCCAGAAACCAACTTGTTGATCCACCAGCACTGCCTCATTCTACGATTTCATCCATTTCATGAATGGGAGCATGACTTCGTTGCACCACATCCATAGAGGGAATCGCTGAAAATCCTTCAGGGAATCTAATGGAGTCGAGACTTCTACTGCACCGTGTATGTAGCGATTGATTTGGTAGCAATCTAGGAAGTCTCCTTCGACGATGACTGAGGTGAATGCTTTGTCGGCAATGAGTCTCTGAGTGACGTAGGCTCGTTCATCGAAGAATTGATACGTTCCATGAATCGAGTCCCCTGTGGTGAAAGTCAGTCTTTTTGCTTGAGGTGATCGCATTGACATGTTGACTGACCAATTAGCACCAGTCGAGCATCTCCTACAAGGTGGGCTGATTGAATGGTACAATCGCTGTAACTGAACAAATGCTCAAGATGCTTACCAAAAGATTCGAGTAATTTATCATAGCTTGGTCTTGGTTTGGGAGGTTGAATTGGGTAGTGGAAGGTTTCAATGAGGTTTGCTCTTGTTGAGTCCATCATGATTGTTGAATCTAAATAACGAAGTTAATAAAGTTTCAAAATGTGCGCAGTATAAGCATGTGCATGTTTACACTTGAAGGTTTTCGTCTTTTAGTGTATTTGGTATTTTAGTTGTGGTCTTGCAGAAATGTAGTGCATTTGGAGCATAAGCCAAGTTGACAGCTGAAGCAAGTATGCTAACTTGAGGTGAAGGACGCGAAAAATGGAGTACTGCTCCTTCAAATGTTTGGTCTGCAGTTATAGAATAGGACGATAGAATAGGACAGCTTGAAATCATCTTATGAACGTGAACGGCACAAATCGGCAACAATGATATTCGCAAAAAGCGTTTGGAATGCATTGCTCGGCTCGGGAATTTTCTCCTTCCGAATTACATGTTTTCCTAAGTTTCTTGATTGAGGGCAAAACTTAGATATTCTTTGTCCTGCTCAAGCAGCAACAAATATTCAAGATCGAGAACATCTCTAGTTGATCGTGTCAGTAATGACCTCGTACTTGTCAAAATTCGTTGGGAAAGGCGATAGAATCGCGTCCACCGCCGATTCTCTTCTTCCACCTCTATCGAATGCCGCAGAAGAGAAAACAAACAGCATGGCTCTAGTCAGAGTATCAAGACCAACACCCAAGACTGCTCAAATTGATCTGTCGAATATGAAGGTGACGCTCTTTATGTTTCTAGCCTACTTGGTTGGAGAACGAATGTGGGCTTTCGTAATCGACAGACGAGAATTCAAAGACCCAGTGACTGAATTTTTACTTGGATGGGGGACTATTACCACCGTTGTCATATTGGGATTCTTCTTGTTCCCAGAAGTTACTGTGCCTATTCATTCTTCGTTTACTGCTGGAGGTGAACATGTTCGTTCAAATTGGGATATGAGGAAAAACCACAACAGTGAGTTATTTGATATTGATACTAAGGCTATTGGACACCTATATTAACTTCTCTATGCGTTAGAGAAAAGATGGACAGTCTCAGATGCAGTTTCCCATGCTGCAGTCTCTGGTAGGAATCAACGTTTGCTGCAGTTTATTGTCAACCACATGGCAACTTTCGTCACCATTTTACTGATTTCATGTCGATTAGGTGCCGTTTTGCTAAAGAGATCACCTATTCCAGATATTGCTGCTCGTATCATTGCCTTTGCACTAAAAGCTTCCAAAGTCATTGATGAACATTTACACATAAAGCAAGCAATGGTCGTAGCCAGCACTATTGGTGCCAAGGCTGTAATACGAGCAGGTGTAGCTTATCAACGGGAGCCTGGCTACGGAAAACCAGCAGAAACAACCCATACTACCGAGTCGATGTGGTCACTAATAGAGACATCCCCGATATCGACTAGCACAGAAGAAACTGAGACTTTCAAACTCCCGACGATCTCGAAATGGATTAATCCATTGTCTATATGGACTCCTCAAGAAACTGTATCGAGAGATGTGATTGTAAAGTCCAGTAGTGTGCAATCCGACTCTCCTACCATCTCTCTTGCAAGAGCCGAGCAATTACAACCGATTAAAACAACTGCCGTCGCCGTTGCACCAATACCCAAGTCTTATACATCACTAGCGATTGACACAACAAGAAACTGTGCCATCTTTGCCACAAGGACCACTTACGCAGCTGCTTCGATACCTCTACGCCTTACGGTCGCGGCTGCACTACTGCCATATCAAATGACCAAGTCTGCCGTCAACACCACCACATCTGTTCTCAAAACCACCACCACTCTAGCCTCAAATATGGTCGAACGTGTGGTAGCTCCTGCATACGTGTATCCAGTAGTCGATGGTGTCGTGAAACTCGATGCAGGGGGCATTGTGATTCCATTCGCCGTCAAGAGTTTAAAGGACTTTAGTGAATCTAGATTAACTATTTTGGAAACGAAAGACAAGACTCGGCCTACACCGAAATATCTCACAATCGAATGGGGTGTTGTAAAAGTTGCTTGCATTGCTCCACAAACCTTCTTGGCATTGATACAATTCCTATCTGGACAAGTTACGGATATAAATCATTTTAGTATCGACCACGCTGATGCTTTGTATGATTTGAGAGAGGAAGCTAAGCTTTGGGATGTGAAAGAGTTTATGCAAGTAGTCCAGTCAAAGCTAGTCGAATTCGGATTGCCATCAAGACGACCTTCAATGGCTCCGGTACATGCAAGGATGGATTCGTACATCATCAGGCTTGATGATAAAATCATGTATCTTCCAAGACTACACGTATCCAGACGGCGTGGATCAAAACTTTCTTGTCTTCTCTCCGACCAATACTCGTCACGACCCTTCGACTTAATGGTCCACGATGGTGCCTGTGATCTCCCAGTCAAATCAGTGGACGGCTTCCAAACTATAATGGACTTCTTTGATCTGGAAGACACAACAAAGGATCTTTGGTGCCCAGTCTCTGAGGAAGCTTTGCAAACTTTCTGGCCACACATCAGTGACTATCGCTTAAAACAAGTCATAGCAGAGGCCAAACATTGGGATATCATCGACATTACCTCAGCAGCACAATTAGAGACTTCTAGAAGGCTTGAGGCAGAGTTTGTAGAGTATTACGGCCCAGGTGCAGTCTTCGCTGCCTTCTTCCTATTCGACGTGTTGTCCACTATAACGAGATACACCCGTGGTCAAGTTTTCGAAGCCAACAAGGTCTTATTGAACTTGACGTGCATAGCTTTTTCAATACCCATCCTGACGACAAAACATGCCATGATACGGTTGGAACAACTACGAAAAGTCATGATCGCACTCAAACCTCCTCAAACTACTAGTACACCATCATCACCAGCTCTAGAAATTCCACCTGCAGTAGCAAGCATGATCAAATGGGTAACTTCCGATCGTGTTGGAGGAGATCTACTATCCGCCATTGTATTTGCCTACTTGGCCTTCTCGGTGTACTCCTTCACAAGCAAAAACGCGTCAAACATATATCAGTAAACAGCATATTGTTCATTTTCACCAGCAATACATATCATCAGCACTTTCAGGTTCGTGTAGATTGAGTTCAAAATTATTTTCGTGTTTGTTGTCAAGATCTAGCTATAGGACGCTCCAGTTGAGCTTATCTAAGAACGCGATTTTATGATTTTTGCATTCAATATCATGATCTGAATAGGTTGATCTATCATTGAATGCATTCCTCGAGGTATCCAATTTCGTTGATGTGAACAATAACGAGAAGCTGATGCACTGATTGTAAACAGCAAATATTGAACGTCTCATAATACGCGAAATGTGCACGTCGATCCTTTCTCGTTCCTTCTGGTTGATTCGATGAGTTTGCTTGTGCGGTTGCTTTGAAATGAGTCTTGCTTTTACTCGTAACATCAAACGCAACACATTGTCACATACAAACTCTTGAAACAACAATCAGCAAACCTATAAAGGATGCAAGTAAGTAACCTAGCCACTGAATTAGCACATTCCGCTCTTTTCCTGCATTGTTTTACATTTAAAGAAGGCCTCAAATGGTCAAATATGTTGGGTGGAGCATTTGCGATGGTTTATTGGCGTGCCAAGAGAGCACAGGGAGAAGAAAGAAGAGAGCATTACTTGATATCGATGGATGGACTGAATGAGGATGGGCTACGGATTGCTTCTGCTCACGAATGAAGTCAACATCTTCATCCTCGTGACTGCGCTCAAACGCCACAAACCCGCAATGTTTCTTTGATAAGAAAGTAAAAGCAATATACCTAATTATCAACTAACGCTTCTACTCTCGGTGTCCATCATAGATATTCGTCAAAACACTCACTGGCAAGACCATCACTCTCGAGGTCGAATCCTCAGATACTATTGACAACGTCAAGGCCAAAATCCAAGATAAGGAAGGCATTCCGCCAGATCAACAACGTTTGATCTTCGCTGGAAAGCAATTGGAAGACGGTCGTACTTTGTCAGACTACAATATCCAGAAGGAATCTACCCTCCACTTGGTACTCCGTCTCCGTGGTGGTATGCAAATCTTCGTCAAGACCTTGACTGGAAAGGTAATTTATTCTTCAATATATTTTGCTCGATCGAGTAGAAGCTAAAGATCCATCATTTTTTCTGATAGACCATTACTTTGGAAGTCGAATCATCGGACACCATCGACAATGTCAAGGCCAAAATCCAGGACAAGGAAGGTATTCCACCAGATCAACAACGATTGATTTTCGCTGGAAAACAATTGGAAGACGGTCGTACCTTGTCGGACTACAACATCCAAAAGGAATCCACTCTTCATTTGGTGCTCCGTCTCCGTGGTGGTATGCAGATCTTCGTCAAGACCTTGACTGGAAAGGTACGTGTGCATATAGCATTATCACTGCCATATTCGAATCACGAGCTAAAACTCATTTCATTGATAGACCATTACCTTGGAAGTAGAATCATCTGACACCATCGACAACGTCAAAGCCAAAATCCAAGACAAAGAAGGTATTCCACCAGATCAACAACGATTGATCTTTGCTGGAAAACAATTGGAGGATGGCCGTACTCTCTCAGACTACAACATCCAAAAGGAGTCTACTCTCCACTTGGTGTTGCGTCTCCGTGGTGGTATGCAGATCTTCGTCAAGACTCTCACTGGAAAGGTATGTTATGCAGTCAATGTATGGTTTCTCGTACACTCGATTCAGGAGCTTAACGTTATTACTCAACTAGACTATCACTTTGGAAGTCGAGTCATCGGACACTATTGACAACGTCAAGGCCAAAATCCAGGATAAGGAAGGCATTCCCCCAGATCAACAACGTTTGATCTTCGCTGGAAAGCAATTGGAAGACGGTCGTACCTTGTCGGACTACAATATCCAAAAGGAATCGACTCTACACTTGGTACTTCGTCTCCGTGGTGGTATGCAGATCTTTGTAAAGACCTTGACTGGAAAGGTATGTTTCACGCGCATTGGGCCATTATTGTCGTTTGAACAGGAAGTTAAGATCATTGTTTAAAATAGACCATCACCTTGGAAGTTGAATCCTCAGACACCATCGACAACGTCAAAGCTAAAATCCAGGACAAGGAAGGTATCCCTCCAGATCAACAACGTTTGATCTTCGCTGGAAAGCAATTGGAAGATGGTCGTACTCTCTCTGATTATAACATCCAGAAGGAGTCCACTCTTCACTTGGTTCTACGTCTCCGTGGTGGCTTGTAAGGGTGGTCAGTAGAACTGCTGTTATAGAATCATAGCTTCGCTTTGTATCAGAATATATTTTTCGTCTTCCATAACGCTTAGCTCGCTAAATCTGTGCATCGCGCTTCGTTTGGCTTCTGTATCGTTTTACCTGCGTAAACCTCCGTCTTCCAGCGCTTCGTCGCCTATCGTTCGACCTAACCCTGTCTCGTTTCCTTGTCAACTACAAACGCACGACTTCATGCTTTTGGAAAACGCATTTCAGACAAACCAGAACATCATGAAGGTCGCTCTTCCGACAGAGCACAGAGTGGTCTGGGCGTACAGTGAAGCTCAGATCTCCGCCATCCCACTACTCTTTCAGCGATTCAAGCTCTGGAAGCAAATTATTGCGGTAACCAATTTGTTGGCTGTCAACAACGCGAGCAGAGCCTTGATTGAACTAACGAATTCTACCTGAAAACAGCGTCTTGATCTATTTTTTATCGGCGTGGCAGCTTTGGAAGATCAAAAAGGTCGTATACATACTGGACTGGTAACATCATTAACAAACTTGACTGATGCCTCGACGGGTAAGGATTGACCAGTTCTGTCTAGATCTTCTTCGAAATCCATGTGCAATCAGTCTAATCAACCTGATTTCGTGCTGATGTAGGACTTGGAGACTCTGTTTTGCCTGTTATTCGTGATCTCAGTAACAACTGCTCCAAAGAACACTCGCTGCAACAGCAGAGATTGTTTGCCGAAACAATCAGGAGGCTTCGTGCCCTACGAGCTCAGCTGTCTACCAGGAAGCGGGTATGCTGTAACATCTTGGCTGTGGTCATGATCAAACCTCTTCATACAGACCATCACCTAATTCTGATGTGAAACACTTTACCTCTTCGTAGACAATGAAAAACGATTTCTTGAGAGCATTCCATTCAGTTACTGTTGTTCGAACAAACACATTGGCATGTATTCATTTACATGAACGGGTGGTATCCTCATCGTCGTCCTTGACCAATCCCTACATACCCAACTTTCCACCTCCAAAATCAAACTACTTCAAGCGAAACAAGAACCCTCATTTGATTGACCCATATTTGACTGAACGAGCTCTGAGAGTACAATTAGCTGCTATGGAAGTATCAGAACGAGAGTTTCAAGACTCTGCCACCAAGTTATGGAAGGAGGCTGTTGATACCGAAAAGTCAATCATTCTTGAGTTGGTTGCTATTATGTATCAGTATGAGAGTATTAGCACTTCGTCGAACGCTGCCATTCAAGTGCGTATGAGAGCTTTGTTGGCTGATTGATCTGCATTGTGTCTAATGCCGGTTTTTTGTCTCTATTTGTTTTGTCTGTCACCGATATTGAATACTTATCGCTTTTCTACTTTACAGGAAGTGATGAAAAATGCCTTGATGCCATGGGCTTCATTAGATCCCACCAAAGAAATTCGTGATTTTGGTATCTCCATGGAAATCGATACACCAAATGGAATATGGAATACTCCACGTACTCTACAAGACTTTCCAGTAAGTTATGTTGTAATTTCGATGTTTATTTCACTCTTGCTGTAAAGGAATGCCTCAATCGTCGCTCAATCATTGCTTGCACAAACACGACTTTCAGTGTACTCGATATTCTTTACTAAATCAATCAACAATAGTACTCGCCAATTTCTACAGAAGTCATCAAGTCAGGAATGCTTTTCAGACAAGGAACCATTCGCAAACATATTTGGAAACCGGTGTGGGTTGTATTAACTCAATCTGGCTGGCTACACTGTTTTGAAATGAAGAGACCAGCATCCAACATGTTTCCGTTCGCCTTGACACAATCACGACCAGGATCAACAATCACATCTCCAAGAAGCTCCACATTGCAATCACCTTTATGGTCTCCATCTTCAGACGCGGGTAGCACACCTCATACACGAACAAATAGTATCACACCATCATCAACAAACTCGTCATTCCGTATATCCAATCAAGCTGATGACGCAGCGTCACTACTCTCTGCTGAAGATGGAGTGACAACCAGTTTGACCAAGACTATATTCAGTGTATCGTTACGTAGACCTCGTGTGTCGGCAGAATTAGAACGTGGTAGTGGACATCCTTTTGTATTCAAGGTATCCATTGCTGCCAATCCAAATACTTCGTCTCAGAATACGTGGAGCAACTGGGTGTCGGGTAGTGAGCCAAAGTATGCACTCAAAGCATCTTCAGAGACTGATATGATTGAGTAAGTGTGATTTAGTGCCAGGTTTGTTTTGCCAATCTTCTGTGGGAGTTGTGATGTGTTGTGGTTGACAGATGTATTCAGTGCTAATGCAGTGTCTTTATTCTTTGCAGATGGATTGCGGCTATTCGAAGGTCTATAGAATCGCACATTCCAAGTCGTCCACCAGAGCCACTTTTCTCGCCTGTGGAATTTATCGAGACCCGTATTGATGAAATAGCAGCTGCATTATTATGAGCGCAACGAAGCAGTGGCTGGCTACAAGAGCTCAGTAGTGACCTCTATAAAAAGTCTTTTAAGAACTGTAGGCAGCCTCTTAAATAGGCATTTTGATAATATACAACTCATTTTTGGGAATTAGAACTTGACTTCGTTCGGCAGTAGTTCAGGTTTACTTGATATATTGAACAGTAGTGTCTATGTTCAACTCCACGGCTGTTACAGAGGGGTTGCTTTCTCGTTTTGTGCAAATGGGGTGTATGATACAATCGGTCAATGTTGCACTCAATCTGATGATGAGGCAAGCACCTTATCAATATCAGTAAAATCTGGCCCAGACGAGACCTATTTCCAAAGCAGTATTCAGACAAACTTGTACCAGTTTTTTCTGCCAAAGAGTAACACATACCCATTTCAGCATTCCTTCCAGCTTCGTTCTTGAGATCTGTGGATCATCTTCCTCGACCTAACCAGAGAAAATATACTGTCAGAACAACGGGTTTCCGTCACCAGAATTTGACTTTCGTTACGGGACACGTTGCTTTCTTCACCTCTTCTTCTTCTCTAGGTATCCTCTGCCTCCAATTCATCTGCGCCGAGATATTTCGTGTAGCACGTCTCGCACCAACAATCTTTCGATCATGGGCTTCTATACACCCCTTCCAAGAATTGAATGCTTTCGTAACTGAATTTTGATCAAGTGAGTTGTATGCCTTGATATCAGAATGTGCAGCGATGGCCGATGTCTTGTGTTTGGTTTCCAGGTCTGAGAGTGTTGGGTTTGTGTATTTTGTACGTAGATCTCGATTTGGTACTAAGGCGATGGTTGAAAATAGGATTTTAGTATGGGTGGGCAACAAAACACTGTCTCAACGGCAATGATGACGACGTCACATCACGAAACTCACAGATATCAATCATGTTAACGTCCACATGAGAAGGAGCACCCAAGTATACATTCATAGATGTCTTTTTCAGAGCAGTCAGCAAGTCACGATATAGCAGTAAGAGGGTTTGATAGCGCTGAATGATTTCAGGTCTAGAATCAAGAATGTTTGAGAAATGTTGGCTTCAAAGTGAATAAAAGACAGACTTGCAGGATTATAAAATGATAATATTTTTATGACATAACGTACAATTTGTCATGTTCAGGGTGCCTACCAAGCTCTGCCAATATCCTATCAAGCTCTCGCACAATCAACACAGTCTTTGATCGAATTTGATCTGCGTCCTTGAACCAGGAATGCGTCACGGTAGGAGAAGCTGAAGGGCCTGGTGCTGGAGCTCCTAAAGATGAGCTGGTGCTTGCTGCCATCACTTGACGGTGAACTTCTTTGCAGCTTGAAGACTTGCTGACTGCTGAAAGAATGATGGACCAATGTTCGGACAGGACACGCCAATATGCAAGTCTCACAGGTCAAGTCTCCGTGATAAAATCACGCGAAATGGAGTATGGAGTACCTCTTTGCTCTTTGTCGTGAATCGAGGTGTTTTCTGCATCAAAGATCAATCCAAGGTGGATTCTTTTGGATGAAGCAATTTCACGTGCACGTCAACACCAAACATCACTACATGATTCTACTCGTTCGCGTCATTCATGGTATACATCGCTTTTCGGCGGGTTATTTCCAAAAAAAGACTGTCTTTACACTCGTGAATAGATTTTGCTTGATTGCAGAGAAACGGTGGACGGAAACGGTGAGTGACACTAGATAGGATAATATTACATTGCTGATAATTGTAATTGTACTTTGACTTGACACCGATCGCATGTTAAAATGAAGTGTTTTCAAAGGTCTCACCAAGAAAATGTAGAATTGTTTGTTTTTACTCGTGTCATTTGCGCAAAAGAACGCGCTTCTGTTGCCAAGACAAATCAGAATCATGCATCAGTAGCTTTCCTCATCACTCCTTAAATCACTACCTGATTGTGTCCTGTATCACAAAATCGCTGCCAAACAAGTCCCACGATTCCTTCATCCAACGAGACGAATAATGGACAAAGTACCTCCATTCACATGGACACCATCCGGAGATCCGCGTACAGATCCCATTGGATATCTGGATTCCATGTTGGACGTTTCACGAGTTCGTGAACGTGTTTCCGCGCTGATTCCTTACCAGCTTCAGCTAGCAGATTGGCTCGCCAAAGGTGGCAATTGGCCATGGAGGATATTTGCAAAGTCGGTGGAAAAACATCCGAGTATGTATCATCTGCGTCCATGGATTTCCACGATGTATCCTTGTAAGCCAACATATGTTGAATTAGACAAGGAAGCGTTTGTATACGCTGAGGATGGGAGATCTTGGACTTATGGAGAACTGCATCGAGGTGGGGACCTTTTCTTGAATTCTACGTTTGATCTTACCTTCCAAACATCGCCAACCTTCAAACTTTTCGTAGACTCAAACGCATTCAGCAACATCCTGCTACAGCTAGGAGTAAAGCCCAAGGATATCGTCCCCCTCGTGATGGAAAACAGTCCCGAATTTGTCATCGCATGGCTAGGAATCCTGAAAATCGGCGCCTGTTGTGCAATGATCAACCACAATCTGCGTGGAAACGCCCTATCTCATTGCCTAACAGTGTCGAATGGCAAAGCTATCGTGTTTGGCCCTGCTTTTGAATCTGCAATTAAAGAATTGGGAATTCATAATGATGGGAAACGACTGTTTATTGCCTTTGGTGAGCAGCCTGTGTCGTGGGCTACCAAGAGTTTAGGTATTAAGGATTTGAACGCCATTTCTGGTGCTGACGTGCCTGATGCCATCAAGAAGGCATTTACGGTTACGGATCTGGCAGAGTTCATCTATACGAGGTAACGTCTCAACATAGAATGTTTTAACAAACACGTAATTTGACTCAGTCTCAATATAGTGGAACCACTGGTCTTCCCAAAGCAGTCAATGTCACGCAAGGCCGCATGTATACCGCCGGAGTCGGCTCTATGATTGGAACCAAGTTTGTGGAAGATGATCGTTTCTACACTGGTCTTCCACTCTATCACTCGGCTGGCAACTGGCTGGGAATGGTAGCGTCATTTAATATGGGAATGACTTTTATAGTTGCTAGGAAGTTTTCAGCCAGTAGATTCTTTGCTGATGCCAAAAAGGTATTCTGTTGTTTTGACATTGATCAGATTTTGATTCTGTGATATCGCCAAGACGACTACATTTCGCTGGTCGAATTATTTTCATTCATTCACGATCTGTGATATACTGATTTTGTTCCGCTATTCTTAGTACAACGCAACCACATCCCAATATATTGGCGAACTCGCACGCTATTTACTGGCGTCTCCTCCCTCGCCAACTTTTGGCCGTGGCCACAAGATACGTGCCATGATCGGGAATGGTCTACGGCCTGAAATCTGGCATCAATTCAAGACACGTTTTGGGATACCCATCATCAATGAAATAAGTGAAACAACGCGCAGTGATTTTGATAGTTGTGACAACTAACCTATTCTTTTCATGTATCTACTTTTATGGTGAGTTGAGATCGGTGATGGCAGCTGATTTAGTGTTCTGATCAAGGTAGTACCTCTTGTTTCGCTTTGATTGAAGAGAAAAATAATTAAGGCCATTTCTCTCCATTTCCCTTTAGTGAGATTGTATAGGAGCGACAGAAGGAATGGGAGGAACTTCCAACTACAACGACAATATGGATACTGTATGTGAATTCATATTTTGCTCCAATCGAGAAAACAAACCGCAGGTTGAACTGAAGATCCCTCAACGTTGATAGTGTGGGTCAATCGGACGCATGGGACCACTTGCGAAACTCCTAAACGGAACCATCATTCTACGTTTCGACCATGAAAAGGAACAACCATTACGCGATCCTGCTACTGGATTTTGCGTCGAGGTAGTGTCTTAGACTTTTCACCAACACGGGAAAACACAGTTTGATTGATTTCATCAACAACGCTGATCATTTGTCACGTTCCTAGGCTGACTATGATGAACCCGGCGAGTTTTGCGTTGAGGTTGATCCAGCAAAGGGACGAGTGTTTGCTGGCTACTATGCCAACGACGAAGGAACAAACAAGAAGCTGATCAGGAATTGTTTCAAGACGGGTGATGTGTTTTACAGGTAAGCAAGCAAGGTTGCTCTCAATGAAAGTGCATTTTATTATTCGGTCCGATGCTCATCGTTTTCGGCAAAGGACTGGTGACTTGATACGAGCAAACAGACACGGCTGGTGCTTCTTTTCTGATCGCATTGGAGACACGTAAGTGAGAATGTGTTGCTCCTCTTTGACGTATTTGAGATAACGCAACATGCCTCTTCAAAAGGTTCCGGTGGAAGGGCGAGAATGGTAAACAATTTGACAGAAAACACTCTGTAACATTGATGCTATGATGCTCACGACCTCCATCAACTCATTTCTCTCCAACAGTGGCTACAAATGAAGTAGGAGATGCCGTAAACCTCTTTGAAGGTACTCAAGATACACATTTGGCGTTTTAGATACCGTCTAGGCATCCAGAGACCGAAAATGCTGTACATTTTGCTGACGCCAATCTTTTTACCCAGGCATCCAAGAAACAAATGTGTATGGCGTTGAAATTCCAGGTTTGTAAACAACGACACGGACACATTGCAGCATCTCAGTTGATCTCAATGTCGTACATATACGATCCCTTCTCTAACAATAGAATTTTCTTCGCATTACCAATAGGACGAGACGGTCGTGCTGGAATGGCTGCCATTGTGCTGAAACAAGGCGTCAAGAATTTGAATTGGAAAAAGTTTGCCGAACATATTGCAGCACAACTGCCTTCTTATGCTAGGCCTTTGTTTGTGCGAGTGTTGCCAGAGTATGTGTGATGCATGTACACTACGTTGCTCAAGTCGGCATTACTCCTGTCACAGGGTGCCTTTTTTTGCTGACTGCTTTGGCCTTGTTTACATTTAGAGTACCTGTGACAGTGACGTTGAAGCATTCTAAAGTGGATTTGAGAAAACAGGGCATGAATCCAAGTGGGATCAAAGGTATTCTCCAACCCTTACCTATCGACATCGTGTCTGGTTTTTTTGCTCACAAATCATCACCACACAGAACCATTATACTTCTTTGATGAAGCCAAGATAGACTACATCCCCTTCACCAAGTCAGAGTACGAACGAATCGTATCTGGAAACGCCAAACTTTAACCTACTGTTTCTGAAGGAAATGTAACCAAGTAATAAATAAAACCCGATACTCTTCAAGTTCTAAAGCAATTCCTTATGTTTGTATGTCTTGATCTTGCTGCAAAAATTGATATACAGTTGCAAGGAAAAAGAGAGATCTTCATTCGTCATCATCGTCATCTCCACTACGTAGTGCAGGCACGGGAGGTGGTACATCAAAGTCATCTGCAACACCCATCCCGATGTCTTCATCTTCGTCGCCGTCTCCATCGACTTGTTTGCTTTCATTTTCAACACGTGCCATTAGCTGTTGTAGTTCAGCATCATCTGTTTCAGAGACTGCTCGTGGCTACAGACAGAAAAATGTCAGTTCAGACGTATATCACCACGTACATCTTTTTTTGGATCGAGCTTTTACCTTCATTTTAACAGTCATACCACCACCAAACTTTTTAATGACTTCTTCAATCTTTGTAACAGCCAACTCCAACATTTCAATACCAATGGTCTTGTCTAATGAGTTTGTGACCATGACATATAAAGGTGGAGCCACCAGTCTTATTTTGACTGGAGCATCTACTGTGGATACAGCTTCACCAGCTTTTAGTGCAGCTTTCACGGCATCTACTCCTTCATATCCGAAACATGTAACTTCGACATCTGATTGAGAAAGGGGGTGAGCAAAACAAACGTAGCCCCAGAAGGATGCTTTTCAACATGTTTAAGCTCACCAGCACGTATTTTGACTGGTTGTGGTGTTAATCTTCGTCGAATGTTGGTTAATAAATCTTCTTTGACTTCTGGTGTCATTTGCAATCCTTCAAACACTTTGTCTTGCTCCCTGTTTGTATATGAAACTGTTAGTCTGATATTGTTAGAGCGACCATCCAAGCGATCACACATACTGTAGAGCGAGCTTGAACGCATCATAAGCATGTCCGTATTTCTTGTATAATGGCCATCCAACTGCGACATACAGGTCTTCGAGATTTAGTTGTTGTTTTTCAGCGACATGCCTCATGATGCTATGGACCTAACATACAGACAAGGTTCAGCAAAAAGGGATGGAGAACAGAAGAGAACAAGCTTACCGCTTTTGACTTGTTGTATTTCTCGTCACATTTTTGAATATCTTCAGCACCGACACGTCGCTTTGACAAGTCAATGTAACCTAATATAATTATTGTTGAGTAAGTGAGGGATGTGGAATCGAATGCGCATTGATGAGCATCGCGAGATTGGTTTTTTTTGTTGGACCGGAACCAACACCCACTCAAAGCTAATCACATCTCCAACATATTACTAAAACATACCCTTTTCCTTGTCGACTCTGAGCACGACAACGACCTCACTTCTTCCAACCCGAATGAGTTTCTGGATGGAACGAATACGTCGTCTTGACAATTCACTCAACAGAATCATGCCCTCGATGTTATTGTATTCAAGTAGGTGGACGTAAGCGCCCATTTCAGCGATTTGCCTGACATTGACCATGACGACATCTTCTACTTCGGGATACTTTTGTTCATACATTCGACATTGAAGTCTTGATGAAGCAGCAGCTACAGCAGCAGAAGCAGAAGGGGTGACGATGGATGCATCGGGCATTGGTATGGAAATGACATTTTCATCGATATTGTTGGCCAGCTTGTCCTGTTCGCGATGTTGGGGAGCGACTTCGTTCTCCTCGTCTGAGCTGGCATCATTTATCAAATCCTCGTCGACCTGCGTTATGTTCCTGCTACTTGCCATCCTGCTATTAATAATGCAGAGAGCGCCTTCTATATATGTTTAAGCCGGGTAAGCTTGTCTGTTCCAAGTACTCGCACTTCTTGTCTCCTTGAGAACTTGAAATAAAAAAAAGTGTCGAGTGACTAACTTGAAAGTATCGCAACCACCTTTACAAGATCTGGACGTGTCCGTGTGCTTGAAATCCTCTTAAATGGCTCTATTCACGCTCCTCCAAATCACGTTTTCCTGTCAAAGATCAACACATTTTCTCACACTCTTTCGCAAGAGCTGAGCTTCGTCAACTCTATATCAACCACCACTGAAAGACGCGCTCATCGATTCAAAATGCTGTTTCAATATCAAATTTACGTGAAGTTGCTCCTACTCATCAAAGTCACCAACATCATGGCAACCGTCACGCACCAAATCTCATCCCAACCAGTTCCTCATTACTACTTGGTAGAATTGACAAATCCCGCTGTATTAGATGGTGAAGATACCGCCACCATAGCCCAACAGCAACAAGAGTTTTTGGCTCATGTCGCGTCAATCGGCATACCAATGATTGAACGTGCACGATTCAAGCTCTTGTTTAACGGATTTTCCGTGAAGTTACCTATAAACGCTACTGAAAACGCTGATAGGATCGCCAATGCACCTATGGTCCGCAACGTATTCCCATTAATGGTATATGAACGACCTAAAATACCCGTGCAAGCTCCAGACGATGTATCTATACAGCAGCAACAACAAACTCAACAAGAAAGCCTAGCTGGTCTGCCACCACTGCTATCACAAGTACATGATCAAACTGGAGTATCGACTCTACATGCAAAAAACATTACAGGTCGTAATATACGTATTGGGATTATCGATACTGGGATTGATTATCGTCATCCAGCCTTTGGGTCTTGTCGACGTATAGGAGATTTGCCTCCTTGTCGAGTAGCATATGGTTACGACTTTGTCGGGAACGGTGCTCCTGCTTTTGATGTAGATGGGCCTACGCAGCTCATTGGTGCTGATGTTGGTGGAGTAGGTGATGATCCTATGGATTGCTCTGGTCATGGAACGCATGTCGGTGAGCTGATGTAGTTTCATTATAGCTCCCTTGAGCAATGGCCGGTTTGTCTCTTTCGTCCCAAGCTAACTTTCGTTCTTTGGCTTTCTAGCAGGTATCGCCGCAGCATCCCTAACACCAAAACTCGTTGGTGTAGCTCCTGATGCGCTCATTGGAGCATACAAGGTCTTTGGATGTACGGGTGGTGCAACTTCTGATGCTATTATACAAGCTATGGAGAAGGCGCACTCTGATGGCATCGATGTTGTCAATCTGTCTATTGGAGGTGGGAGTACTTGGCCCGGCGTACCAGAAGCTAGAGCTGCTGCAGCGCTAGCTAGATCAGGAGTCATTGTCATTGCTGCACAAGGTAGAGCGTCGGTCTGACTGTTCACAGACTCCAGATGATTAGGTAACGTTTCTGGCTCATATTCTGACTCCATGTTTCAAAAGGAAATGATGGAGCTGATGGCCTTCTAATGTCTTCATCTCCTGGAGTTGCATCGAACGTCATTTCAGTTGGTGCAACTGAGACAAACTACTTTCTCGGTGGTTTGCTATCAGTCTCGACTATGCCATCTCAACGTATTCAATGGGCTGGATCAGTCAATCCTCCCATTCTCAATGCTACAATTACTCTTGCATATGAACCAAAATCCATGTGCAGTGATGCTGATATGGGACAAAACAATTCAATTCATAAAAATAAGTTGGTTTTGGTTCGTCGTGGGGTCTGTACTGTAGCTAATAAGGCTAAGAAAATCCAAAAGATGGGAGGTGTTGGATTGGTATTGGTATGTTTTAATGAACCAATTGTTCATGCAACAAAATGTTAGAAAGTTGGGGTAACTTTCTAACATTTTGTTTCCTTCTCAAAATAGTGGAACAGCCAACCTGACTTATTTAAGTTCGCACTCAACTTGGATGAATCTTCCATTCCTGTCTTTGGAGTTTCTGGGATTGATGGTCAACTGCTACATGATCAGATTGTAGCAGCTAATTATACTGCTCAAGTCGTGTTTCATGGTAACTTGAGTGCTTTTCCAAATCCTTCGGGAGGACAAGTCGCAGAATTTAGCTCAGTAAGTTGTTGCCTCTACTGCTACCGTATTATGGCGCTGGGAACCAACTCTGATCGTCGTTTCAATTGTGCAGTTTGGTCCAAGCAAGTATCAATGCTCTCCGAGTGCGTCTCGTCTTCTTCTTTGCCAATATTCTCCACTCCACCCTCTAGGTCCTGACTTGACAATTAAACCCAACATTGGCGCTCCTGGTGCACTCATACTGTCTTCGTTTCTGAGTAGTAAGGGATCGTATGCAGTGGTAATATTCATTGCTATATTGATAAAGATAACGTCTCTTTAATTTGCCTGTACTAATAACACCATTTGTAACGTTCTAGCTCTCTGGCACATCAATGGCATCACCTTATTCCGCTGGCGTCTCCGCACTACTCGCAAGTCGAGCTAAATCACTAAACCAATCCACGCCAAACATCAAATCCACACTCGAATCAACCTCGAATACTATAGCAAACGCTTCAATTGTACGACAAGGTGCTGGCAGCATCAATGCCGTCGCATCCTTTTCAGCTACAGCCATCATATCTCCAACATTAATAAACTTGGGTGATGAAGCTAGTACTCGTCACTCTCGAACTGTACAAGTTAATATGACATCCATCGCTTCATACCCAATTACATATCAAATCAATCATCAACCGATGCCAGCTATATCAGCATCACAGGATCCATGGATGCTACCTGCTTTGACAAACGATTCGTACCATGTATCGGTTACAATTGCACCGTCACGCATTGAAGTCCTTCCAAACTCGACCAGGAGTGTAGATATCGAGTTTAGGTTACCTCATGATGGTAACAGTAATACGACATGGTATTATGGTGGATTCATCACTTATACACCTGTAGACAGTAATAGGTCAAACACTCGATTGCATTCTACATATCTTGGGTTGAGTAAGAATGCTTCCACACTCCCTGTATTTCCAAGTAATGGGTCTTCACCACGTATGATCCGTCAAAGTACCACGAACAATAATAATAATCTGAACAACAACAATGACAAAGAAACAATCCCATTCACATCAACATCAAGCACCACACCACCACTACAATCAACACTACCGAAGAAAATCAACTTCAGAGACTCTGTATACACCATCTCCATGGTTTTCTTACGGCCTGCACGAGAGGCATCAGTATACATGGTGCCGTATGATAATCCAACACAAGGACGATTAGTTGATCGATTGAAATGGATTGGAAGGTCAAGTGCTAAACGTGTCAGTCGCAGTGTCGTGTGGGATGGTATTGGTGCTAGAGTCCATCGTGCGTACAAGTTGGTGATTAAAGTTGTCAAAGCTGGTGATGGGGATTGTCATGCTGGTGGTGTGCATGATGAGTGGAGTAGTGAGTGGTTGAACGTGACTAGTGTGGGGGATCCTTTGGACTTTTGAACTTTTGAGAAATGCATATTTTCTGGGAACCTTTGAAGTATTTCTAGGTAACTGAAGTATTTCTAGGTGGTCAAATATACGTGTTTTCAAGCCAGAAATGTTGGATCTGATGCCTTTTTTGCTCCTGTTTGACCCCAAAACAGTTTCTACGCTGGAAAAGGTGAATCGACGCAACTCGGAATTTCAAAGTGGGATCGAGTTTACGAGCTCGTGCTCCCATCCACCAACTTGGTCAAAGAAAGCATAGCTCATCTTCCACTACCACATGACAAGGACTTGAAGGAACTGGAACACCAATACTACAGCACTGTACGTTACTGGTCGAATACTTGTACTGGGATTTTCGACACCGGACTCGATGATCGTCATTCACTATTGGATCTTTGCCACGAGTAGGAGATCTATCTCATTTGCCCATTAGCGTTTGGTTACGACTTCGTTGAGAATGGTGTTGCTCCGAATTTTGATGGACCTACTCAAATCACTAGTTTGTGTTCATGCCGTAAATGATGATCCGTAAAATACTCAGTTAACGGGACGAATGGTGGCGAGCTTGTACCTTTAATTGAGCTTCAGGGCTTTTATCGTTTTTTTCCCTCTCATCTCTCATCTCAAGTTATCTTCGACTTGTGTTTTGAGCTGGTATTTGCTGCTACATCCTTGACATCAAAATGTATTGATTTAGCTGCCGATGTGCTCATCACATCATACAAACTCGTTGGGCGCATTGATGGTGCAACTTTGATGCTATCGTACGAGCTATGGTGAAGGCATCTCTGATGGCACGGATGTTGTTTCATTTGGCTATTGGAGGTGGAATAGCTTGACTTGGTGTTCCGGAAGCTAGAGCTGCTGTAGCTTTAATTGATTCAGGAGTCATTATGGTTGCTACACAAGGTGACTGACGTGGGTTTCCATACCTCCCATAAACCATCTAACATGCGAATACAAATAATGACAATCCAGTTTTTTCGAATCAAATTCGTCGTATTGCGATTTTCTGACAAATTCTCATTTTCCTCCTCACATGCCAAACATACAAATATGCAATGCTACAAATAATCCCTTTGATTCCTCTTGTCTCCCTCTCCCTCTACAATATGTTCTACTTGTGCACATACACCCACGCATGTGCCTGGAGTAAACGACCCTCTTTTCTCGACACAAAATATACCTATGTCTAACATATACAAGCACAGACACATGTTCTTGCCCAAAGCGCTTCCACTATAACTTGCAATCTCACGGGCTCGGAACATTGATATCGTGAGGATACGACTCTGTAACAGCAGGCACACGAGGCGCCGTCTCAGTAAAGTCCTTTCCGAATTCAATCAGTGCCTAAAACGTTACAGAATCAGTATCACCGTGCCACAAAAATTCACGGTATAATAAGGAATGATGGCGTTTTTTACCTGCATAGACCCCCACTCAATAATCTTTCTCTCCAACCACGAAAGCGTGACAGGTTTCACCAAATAATCATTACATCCAGCAGCAAGAGCTCGATCACGATCTGTAGGGAGTGCTGATGCAGTCAATGCGACAATGACGGTTTCGGGAGGTGGGATTTCGTTAGAGTCTATTTGTTCGTTTCGTCGTTCTTGTTCTATGCGGCGGATTTCGGTTGTTGCTTCGATTCCGTCCATTACGGGCATCATTATATCTATTTAAAGAGAGGGTGGTGTGAGAAAGGTGAAGGATGGAAGTAACAATGTTATTATCATTTCGACGTTAATAAGTTTCTTTTGCTTTTGCAAATCCAAGTAAGTTGGACGTAAGACAAGGACTTTCATCCAAGAGATGCACACAAAGGACATTTACCCATCTTATGACGAGAGAAAAAAAATGTCAGTCACTCTATATCCTTATATGTGAAAGAACGTTATTCCATCGTACCAATACGAGATGAAACTTCTGCGCAATCCACAAATCTACAGCTTCACGACCATTATTGGCAACAACGTTATCAATTCCACGATGTCGGAGATACGTTGACAAGATACGTTGGTTGATGATATTATCTGAAAAAAGGCACCACGAGTCAATGAACTGATGCAAAACAAGCACCTAGCATCGCATCATAAAGTCCGCCAACAAACATACCTTCAACAATCAACACACTAATCCTCGGCGCAACAGGCACCTCAGCAAGCGGTGTGGCGACACTAGCATTCACCGAAGCAGGCACATTAGTCCATGCCCGTTGCTCATGCCGACTACTAGCACTAGACTGTGGCGGTCGTTGCGAATGCTGTGATCGCGACTGCTGTTCCTGTGACGGATGCTGTGATGATGGTCCTCCCTGCTGTTGTAATAATACACCCTGTGGCTGCGGCCGAGGACTACCACCACCAGAAGCCGACGCAGCTGACGACGACTGTGATGCAGCACGTGATGACACATCACTGGCACGACGTGGTAAAAGACGTATTTCACCTATGGGATGGATTGTTGCTGATCCTCCTGATTCACGTCGTCCGTCTCGCCCACCACCAGATCCACTGCTGTTGCCGCCTGCAACACCATTGTCTTCGCTGCTGGATCCGAGTCGTGATGCAGATGCGGCCGAGGATAGGAATTGGAAGTCTTGGTCGTCGGTTGTGCGGGGTGGTGATTGGACAAAGAGGACTCGTTTTAAGGTGGAGAGGATTTTTCGTGGGCCTGCTGGTTTTGATATTACACATATAACTGGAAGGCCGCTGTGGTATTGTCTGCGGACAGCTTGCTCAAATTCAGCCACGACTAGGAGTGATGAAAAGAAGTGAGTGTGAGGGTTGAATTCGTAGTACAAAAAATAAGGAAGATACAAACAATAGTCAGCAGACTTGATGCACACACTCCTCCATACTCTTTATCCCTTTTCACACGACACACAAGTACTTACATTTCTCATTCGAAGTATTGCAAACATATATAATAGGACAACCTCTACGCCGCCTAGCCAACCTCCTCTTAATCACAGTATCCAGCACAGCCAAATCATCATCAATAAACACAGCTGCCGAGTTCTCACTCGCAACCCTCTCATTCTCACTCTTGTGATCAAAATCGTCAATAGTGGCTCTCAACGACCCCCAATTACTGGTGAAACCATGCGTAACAGTTCCACCCCAATTCTCCAAATACTGCAATAAATTCAACACAAATTGTGAATCTCGAGTCGTTATAAGGGCGAATCGTGCACCGGTCAGACGACGACTGAATGCCCACAATTCACGCTTTTCAAGTGGTGAGAGGAATTGGTCTAGCATAACAGCGTTTTCGACGGAATTGTCTAGCGGGACTGCGTCCATGTCGAGACGGAGTTCTTCGGTACACATGTCGCCGTTTGCGGTATGGTGGTGTGTGCCACCTATATTTCCGAGGAAGGTGGTTGATGTGCTGCTGAATTCTATCTCGAGGGGTTCTGTGCGTGCACACATGTATATGATTTGCCATACACAGTGCATGACGAAGGTGCGTGCTGTTGTTAGGGATGCGCCGCTACGGATGGCACTGGGGAGGTCTACGTTTAGGCTGATGGCTATGTGCGAGTGAGTTTCGGCCTTCATGGCTACTTCACTGATGAGCTATATATGTTTGTGACGGTGAGGTTTGGAATAAAGAGTAAAGAAGAATGAACTGGGAGACGTCGGCAGAAAAAAGCATCACGTTGTACTCCGAAATGCTTGTAATGATAACAAACCATTTTACCTTGATAAGTATAGCACGAATCGGCACCGGATCATCATTCGTCAAGTACCATTCTGCCGTCCTCCCAACCGGTGTATGCACAATCAACTCGACCTCCTTTGAATCCGCATAATACGATATAGAATCCGCAACCTGCTCCGTCAAATCCGAGGGATCAAACAGCACCTTATTCCGTTCCGGTCCTTTATCAGCAGCATCCAATTCATTCGGTGATTGGAACTGTGCCACGACATAGTTTAGATTTGCAAGACACGTAGTCAACGCATCAGATACCCGAGCTGTTGGAGAATCGTATTGTGAGTTTGTTGTAGAACCTAGATGGTTTTTCATATGTGATACTATAGCACGCATGGATGCGAGATTGTGCTGCATGTCTGAGCGGATTACGGCCGTGTTGTGGTCGAGTGAGAAGGGTATGTATGGATGGTTTTTGCTTGGTATCATTTTACGGGATGGGAAGATGGTGGCTGGTGATGATGGCTGCGATGAGGTTGGACTGGTATTACGTGACGCTACGGCAGTTGTTTGTGCCATGTCGTTTAGATATGAGGCACTAGGTCCAAATACGGTAAAAGAGCTGGTTTGTAATAGTCTGTCGACAGAGTATGCAAGTCCTCCAAGCGCCATCCTGATATGTATGAGACACAATCAGATTAGCATCAGCGCACTGTCACATATGCACTTAGTATAACACCCTCACCAAAAGCCAGGCAGCATTGGCAGATTAATAGCCTGAGCAAAATAAGTGCCATGAATATACGTCTGACTAGCAGGAAACCCTTCCGTCCTTGGCACTAGCAGAGCAGCGACGACGACATACGTGCCCAACATGACAGCGATATGTGACGGAGTAGGATCTTCACGTCGCTGCTTGAGCACTATCACAGCAATACAGAGCACGATACCATGCCATAGCGCTAGTAGCTTCCACCCTAGTAAACATAAAGTAATATATGAGTCAATGTTAAAACACACGAGGTCAACATTCAGAGCGATCGCTCATATCAAAACAGACACGCCCAATAAACAACGTACAAAACGAGACATCCACGGCATCCTGACGAGCTTTCATGAGCAGTATGAGCTGCAAGACGACATTCAGAGCAGCGATCTTGAGTGCGAGTGAAGATAGTCCGATCAGAAAAGTATTAGCATTCTTTGCAGCAGCTGGTGGTGGATGTAGCAGTATGGGAGTAGATGGCGACGCCAAAGAATATTCCTCGCCATTGAGCTCCTTGGTCTCCATTGTCGCAACACTGCCATTCAGCTTGTGACTTTAAAAACACGAGTGTTTGGTGAGTTGGGTTTTCAGGGACAAAAAAACTCAAACGCGCCAGAAACAAACAGAGTATTGTAGCCACCTAATGCGATATACACTTTCATTCTCACTCTATTATCCTCGTGATATATTCACATGAATACCACGTAAAAGACTGGATGGTGGCCTTTGACACTTTGACGTTTGCGATGGCAGTGCTGGTGTTTGTCGAGTTTGCTTTCCAGGATATGGGATTATTCTTGCATGCGTACATGCATATCTCTACCACATAAACTCTTGGTCAAGACATTTAAAGCTCTAACGTCGCGTCTGTTTCAAGTCTTTAGCCAAAATGTCAAAAGCACGTGTTTTAGCATATATCTACTGCTTTAGCGTCATTTTACGCTGGCATCACGTCCAATTAAATCAGTTTCATATATCGGTCCATGGTTCTATCTCCATTTTGCTTGTATACCTTCAAAACCTTCAATCAACAGCCACAAAGCCAAAGTGTCCTTTCAGTCACAGTCCAAATTTATAAATCTTAGATTTTCACTTACACACACACAAACTTATTGTACTAAAGAAACTCCTTTTTGTCAACCTTGCGTCAGACACCCCCAAAAATAATAAAAATCCCTCACTCTCTCACACACGCTTAAAAACCCCCATCCTTTTGCCCTCTCCCATCTATGTACACTGCACCCATCTCTGCGACACAAATGGCCCCGCATCACCCTCCTTCCGAATCTTGGTATGTGTCGTCGTAGTCACAGCAGCCGGTGGTATAATAATATTCTCCTTACTAGTAGCAGATGATACATTTACAGCTCCAAACGTACCAGATAGTTCACGTACAAGGGTTGATTTCGTTGATGATATTGGTTGTGACGCTGAGCGTCTTGATTTTGGTGATCTAGGTACACTATTACTTTTACTGGTATTTGGTTGAAGTGGCAGAGGAGTAGCAGCAGTGAATTCCTCACACGACAATACAGCATCACGTAACTCTGTCAACGTGTATCGTTCATGTGGGTTTACGTGGAAGGCTTTATGCAGTATGGCGTCGAATGTCGGCGATAAGTTAAAGTTTTGCTGCAGAATGTGCGCGTTTGTTGAAGTGTATGCTGCGTATATCTCATCCTGCATTGAAAGTAAAAACGTTAGTAAAAACAACATTACCGTAACATAAATGAATGTTTTCCAAACTCACCGACTCCTCAGCCGAATTCCAACAACATTTAGCAAACAGCATGTTGATCAGTATGCATCCAAGTGCCCACACATCCCCCTTTGCGTTATCATGCAACTGGCTCTTATTCACACTACTATTCTTCTTGATAAAGCATTCAGGAGGAAGATATCTCGTGCTGCCACACAATACATGTCCTGAATGTCGTTCCCGTGTCGCCAGTCCGAAATCAGTTAGTTTGACATTTAGCTTGCCTTGGTCGTCCGCGGCTAGTAGGATGTTTTCTGGTTTGAGGTCTCGGTGGTATATGTTATGGCTGTGGCAGTAAAGAACGGCTTCACACATCTATGTGATGTTGACTGGTTGGATTTCTTTTTTGCGATGAGACTTAATAGCTTGTAATATGTACCTGTCCAAAAATCCGTTTGGTGGTAGCGATGGATACGTTTGCACCACTTTCAATGTACTATACAGAGGAGATGACTTGTTACTATCAAAAGTTCTGTCTCTCTTTCTTTCAACGGTTGCTTCACATTGCAAGGAAATGCATGAAAAAATCGTTTCAATCAACACTCACATCAAACAAATCCCTCTCATACAACTCGAGCACAACAAAAATAAACTGACTAGTCTCCCTCGACGAGAACACCACAGCTACATTATCTGAATCGCTCAACTCCCTCATCATGAGCACTTCAGCTCTCTGCGCGAGTATCTGCGACCGGTTCAGGTTGGGCTTGAAGACTGCCTTCACTGCATACTAACAGTCAAAATGCGTTAAATCACGATTTTTTTCAGATCAAGACCAAAAAAAACCGTTTCAAGAGTCAAAATTCAGCAAGCGTGGGTTGTTTGATTGACTCCACACGCAACACGTACATGTTCACCATCAGCGTCCAAAGCAGCGAATACAGCAGCATACGAGCCCTGCCAAGCGAAACAAGCGTTATTTTCAATTAAAACAAAACATGGTTGAACGACATCATCAAACACGGCAAACATCAAAAATCAAACGGAAGCACCGAACTCACAGTCCCGATTATTTCAGCAAGCGCCAGACTCCGTCCCGTTATACTGATTACTTGCCCGACCAGCTTGGTATAGATGCCGTTCACCTGTTTCAAAAACTCAAATGTTAGCCAAGTTGTCGACATTGCGACGGTATAACACTGCGAATCGGGAGATGCCAACTAACCGTCATATCGTCACGGTCATATACGAGTACACATCAATCAATCGCACTGATTTTTACAATCGATTTGATTGGATAAACTCAGTGGTAAGATTGGGCAGCCTGTGTTCACCACAAAAAAATTCAGAATCAGTGACCTGTCCGATGGATTCAGACACCAGTTGAAAATCAAAAACGAGATGCGGGATGTGAGATGTAGATGTATAATAGTCGCGTTTATCTATTTCTCAAAAGTACGGATTTTATCTTACAGTAGAGAGAGTTTCAAAAAAACTGGGCTTTTTTCTTCATATGACTTTTTTAAAGAGCAAAAACAACAAAAATGGTTGACAGTTGGTATGGTGACGAGGTCTTGAGGGCGTTATAATAATCACAAAGTGGGGAATGGTTTAAGAATGGGTAGGCATCGGTGTTTGGGGTGTCGGTGTGGTAGAATAGCGAGAAATCAGAAAATCGTACATCCAGACTTTTTCTTGTGAGCGACTTTGGCTGGTTTGTTGGTAGTTCTGCCATCCACTTTACGGCATTCTCGAACGAGTTCAAAGAAGGCTTCTGTTACATTAATTGCTTCCTACAAGGAACGAAACATTGTCGAGTTTAGCTTGCGCTTTTTTTCATCCCATCGTCAACCCCAAAACACAACAACAAAGCATACCTTTGCAGAACTCTCAATATACGGTATCTTATTACTCGCACACCACCCAGCAGCAACCTTCTCATCCACCTCCCGCATCTCAGCTGGCAAATCACACTTATTTCCAATCATAACCAGCGGTACCCGTTTCGTATCCTTCAACCGAATAATCTGCTCCCTCAGCTGCTTGACTTCCTCAAAAGTCGACTTGTCGTTAATAGCGAAAACCAGCAAAAACCCCTTGCCATCCTTCAAGTGCTGATCACGGAGCGCCGTATATTCGTGCTGGCCGGCTGTATCGATAATGTTTACAGTGCACGGGTGATCGTCGACTGTTATTGCTTTGCGGTAGTTTTCTTCTATGGTTGGGTCATAGTCGTTGGTGAATTCGTCCTTGAGGAAACGGACTGTGAGACAGGATTTCCCGACACCTCCTGATCCTACTACCACCTAATGGGAATTGAGTATAGGTGTGAGATGGGGGGTATTCAGACGCGTCCTTTTTAATCAAAAAGACACGAGGGGTTTGATGTTTGTTGGGTTGTTACCAATTGTTGCATATCGCCTCCTGTTGGATCACTTGCGACCTTGGCCATTTCGACAATATTAATGATGATAGAAATTTAAAATCCAATATTGGCCCGTTGTTGTTGGTTTCTTCCTCTCTTCCTTTATCGACACAATTCAAAAATGTCCCTAAATAAAAATGCGGATTAGCTACGAAAAGGAGGATGGAGAGAGAGCTGATACGATCACCGACTCACGACTAATTAATATTCTAGTGTCCCTTTTGTTGTCTTGAAACAAAGTAACACGTCCAATTCGGGATGGGACAAACTTGCGAAAATTAAAGTGACAGTTTTTTGGCCTTGATTCAAGGAGCTTGTTTGCCAGATGTGATTGGTTTAAAAATGAGGGTCAAGCGCTAAATGGTTTGTTTGAGTTCTGTCTCGCCACCGGCTGCATTTTATGGGTGCATGGTTTGCTGCCGCCCCTGCTGAACGTTCAATGCTGGATGAGATATGAGAATTAATGAATTAATGTGGCAACCTTTTTGAACAAGAAGTTCACGTATACCTGATCACGTAAATAAAAATGCGAATTAATCCGCCATCATGTCTCTCAAACCTATTACGCCAATAATCCTCGTCCAACAACTACTTATGTTTGTATTTTCTTACACGGCCATCCATATATAGATATAATTCACCCTGCATCAGCATACCCTCGTCTCCGGGTATAAACCACTCTCTACCTAGCATACGTCTTTCGTGAACTCCACCACTCACTTTCACTCCTTCTTTTCTCGATTTTGACCCCTCTTCCTCAACATTTCCTTATTAGCCCTCTGAGTGCCTCTAAGCTTCTCAATCCGCTTCTCTAGCTTGTGCTTGTTCATCTTCTTCCTCCGTCTCTTAATTAGGGAGATGCTATAGTGTTGCCCGAGTTAGGAGACCATAAAACTGAAGTACAAGGGCTGCATCCAGATAATGCTCCTCCCATGGGATTCATTGCACTTACGCATACATTCCAGTCCTGCTAGTGGTGGATGTACCTGGCACTCTGCGACCAGTGTTTCTTCGGGATTCGATTTTGCGGAGAGCTTCCCGGGCCATGGAGGATACCTGGGCCTGGATTCTGGCAGTCATTACGTGTTCCTGGACTAGATGGCGCGTCACAGTGTCCCAGCCTGTGAGTGTGTAACAAGATAGTGTGAGCCAAAAAAGATAGATTCCACAATCATCATATCGCATCGATACCTGAAGAAGGAGTTCCCGATAACAGTATATCCACCAATTGATCAGGCGACAAGTGATCACTGGGAGAATTGGGAGATAACAGTTGCATGGTTGGGCCTCCTGCTGATGGTCGATAACTCGTCCGGTTCCTGCTAGGACTAGTAGATGTTGGCGACGATAGGGCTATACGCGAAGGCTTGAAATATTGTCCGCCAGTTAGAGCTTGGAAGCCTTCGAATGGAGCTTTGGCTCTACCGTCTACGAATACGTCTAGTTAGTCATACACTTTCACCTATGATGAAGTATAGTGGTGAAACATTTACCATCAGCAGTAGGACTCCTTGGCGATTGAGAGGAAGCATCGGTACGTGATGAGATGGATGCATCTTCTCTCAGCTGTCTTTCTATACACAATCCCTTTATCGAGGATTGTGTTGATGATGACGACCCAGTATTAACACTACTAGAAACAGCTAATGGTCGATGTTGGAGGAATAAGGATGCGAGACTGAGTTCAATTGGGGCAGGTAGTAATTCATCTTCTATAAAAGAGTCCACGTCTTGAGCAGCCTTGTTTCGTCTGTGCCGTTGTCTATTTGGCGTCGCTTGATAGAGGGAGGAGAAGAAGCGATTAGTTGAAGATGCCGTGCATGAGACTATGCGACTGCGGTGGATGGCTCTTTGGATGTTCATTCTATCTATAGCCTGATGTTTGATGGTGGTGTTTTTTGAATGATGAAAAGATAGTGCAGCTTTACGGTTGTATGGAGATGTAGAAGGACTATATAACGTGTATGATGGATTACATACGTGCTGGATGCAATTTTCAGTAATGAAGTAGCAGGAATCACGTCACGGAACCACACAAAAGTCAAGCAAAGTGAGAGTATGTGATGAACGTTATCAATAATCGACCAAAGAGCGCGATTCCATGAATTATGCAAGAAGATATTAGGATGTAGGATAAACAGTCCCCATCCCAACTTGATTGACGACTGAAGTATTCGTTAGATCATCAGAAAGACACACGTAGCCAACAACAGTCAATTTACAATCGAGACAAGCACAACAGTGTCTTGGATTGCCAGTTGGATTGCAGAAAATCTTCTTTTGTGTCAAGTGCTTCGCAGCTCTCCTCTTCCAAAATTTTAATTTCCGTGGTGTCGATAGACGCAGAAACCCCTTGACATTTACACTGCTAAAAGATTCATTCGACTCAAATACTATCTGTTGCTGACGCTGAAATCCCATCCACTAGGTGAGACCCATCATCACATTCATACTATACTCCCCCCTTCATTCTTTTTGTTGCATCACGTTCAACCTTGGGCGGGACATGAAGCTAACACGCGCCCACTCTCATAGGACCCAAGACATTCAATACCAACACTGTCAATTATTTATTTAGATTTTTAAACCACTCCAAATCCCTCATATAATACATAAATAATGGGTTGTTGTGCTAGTGCTGAAGAACAGGACAAGAAGAAGAGGAACGATGAAATCGACAATGCCCTGAAAAAGGAACAGGCTAAACTCAGAAATGAAGTCAAAATGCTGCTTCTGGGTAAGATATCGAGTCATAGACCGTATATGGGAGTGTCATATGTCACACGTGTGATCAATGTGATTGTGTGTGATCGAATGGGATTATCATGGATGAAGAAGGATGTTCTGGATGGAGTCGTGATGGTGATATGTACCATAAGTAGCTACCAAGCTCTTGATTCATGTCGTTAAGACGCGTCAATTCTCAACCTATTATGCAACCATATGACACCACTGCCATATCATCACCATCACCTTATCACACACACATTTGCATCTGTTTTGTCGAAATCTCCACGCCAGAACCGCCCCTTCAAACACTCATGTTCCCACTAACACTCATCTTCTCCCACACAATTAGGTGCCGGAGAATCAGGCAAATCAACAATCTTAAAACAAATGAAGCTGATTCACGACTCTGGCTACTCGGCCGAAGAACGTGAAGCATTCAAAGAAATCATCTTTTCAAACACGGCTCAATCGATGCGTGTCATCTTGGAAGCAATGTCCTCGATGGGTATCGCACTCGGAAACGACGATAACGAAAAACACAAGGCTGTCATCTTGGAATTGCCAAACCAGATCGAGGCTGAAGTGTTTCCTCCTGAAGTCGCTGCTGCTGTTAAGGCTCTTTGGATTGATGAGGGTGTCAAGGTTGCTTTTGGTCGTAGTCGTGAATACCAGCTTAACGATTCTGCTAGATAGTAAGTATGAGATTGTTTATGATAATTGTCGGCTGTTGCGGTGGTGGAAGAAAGGGTGGTGTTTCATGGCCTTGTTGCGTGTCAAGTTTTTATTCTCGCATATTTGACCATCAATCAAACAACTTACATCGTTCTTTCTCGCTAGCTACTTTGACGCTGTAGACCGTATCGCTGCTGGTGATTACGTCCCAACTGACCAAGATGTCTTGCGTTCTCGTGTCAAGACAACGGGTATTGCTGAATCTACCTTCCACATTGGTGAATTGACATACAGAATATTCGATGTCGGAGGACAACGTTCTGAACGAAAGAAGTGGAGTGAGTACTTGAATTTAGATGATTTCAATCATTCGAACGTTTGGGTTGTATTTTTTGCTCTACTTGCTTTTGACATGTCCGTGTATGCACACAACTAATCATTCAATTTTTCCAAATAGTCCACTGTTTCGAAAACGTCACTGCTATTGTATTCTTGGTTGCCATCTCTGAATACGATCAAGTGTTGGTTGAGGATGAGACTGTGGTAAGTACCAATAGCCAATTTAGAACATTGCTGTTCTTGTCTTGTTTCTTGACACATCCAATCAACCCAAGCAAAAGTCACATTCAATAACTCCTCAATCTTCTCAACTAGAACCGTATGCAAGAAGCACTCACCCTCTTTGACTCCATCTGTAACTCTCGATGGTTTGTAAAAACCTCCATCATCCTCTTCTTGAACAAGATTGACTTGTTCAAGGACAAGTTGCCCAAGTCTCCAATGGTTAAATACTTCCCTGATTTCACTGGTGGTGAATCTTATGATGGTGCTTGCGAGGTACGTTTATGAAGAGAGCGCAAAAAAACTGGAAAGATATCAGTGTATATCTCTGTAACTGATTTCTAACTTGATGCTTTACATTTACCAGTACATTCTCAACCGCTTCGTCTCATTAAACCAATCGGATCAAAAACAAATCTACACTCACTTCACTTGTGCAACGGATACGACACAAATCAAGTTTGTTATGGCTGCTGTTAATGATATCATCATTCAGACAAACTTGAGGTACGCGCGGTGGGGTGGTTGTATTCAAAGGAATTAGAAAGATATTGTGGATTGAAAAGGACCAACATTGAAAATGAAAATGTCATTTTTCCATTTTGGTGATTCTGACTTTTTTTCTCCTCATTTTCCACAGGGACTGTGGTCTCATGTAAACAGGGGAAAAGGATACACTCCAAATATGAAAACAAAAGCAACCAACAAGACACCAAAAACCCATTACACGAAAAAAAACTCACCCCAAGTCAAACAAACACCCCCAAGATTCCAACAACAACACACACAATATTATTGTACACTTTTTACCTCATCACCATACTCTCCTTCTTACCTCTTGTTGCATCTGCTATTGGAATCACATTGTTTTCTCAAAACTTGGGAGGAGCTTTCTCTGTAATCTCTTTTACACTTCTTGTTGCTGTTTAAACATTCATATTTGTTGCTTCTTCTTTCTTTCTCATTTTGCTTCGACAAACTTCAAAAAGAATGGTGGTGTGGTCTTTTGTATGTATAATTTTATCAACTTAAATTCTCTCTCACAATGGAAAACAACAAAATATGAAATTACATTTAAACTCATAGTTGAAAGCTCGTGGATCTTGTGTCTCTGTGTAATTGTGAAGCGATAAGTGACATTCCCATCGTTGGAGAGGTGGAGAGGATAATAATTTTTTGACCCGATTTGGAATTCATCAACGCCGAAAAGGGAACGTGCACGACTGCTACAATCAATGAGATTTTCCAATCAGTCTAATGGTGTGGCTTGAACCAAGAAACACTCGACAGTTGCTTTGTCTTGTCATATTCGACGTTTTTGCTGACGCAGATGCGTCATTCGCAAAAACGAAACCATAAACAAGAGATTAGAATTTCATGGGAAGAATATGGAAGACAGTTTGAGGTCTGGTCCTTTAAATTGTGAGATGCGGTATACACTCATCGCACATATTATTACAGAATGCCTTGCCACAAAAACTCTTGACCAAAATTGGTATATGACCCTGTTTGTTGAAAGTCTCTCAACCGTAGTCCAACATTCTCCCAATAATACCTCATCCTGCATATAAATTACCACGCCTAGGTCCTCCTGCCAACGAAACAATCATATCTCAGCCAACTAGGATGTCCTAAATACCACGCCTCAATGGTCGGTCCAAACAAAAAAAAAGATCGTTGATTCAGTATGGAGACTCGTACTGTATCGTTTGAGATTAGGCTGGACTGAGTATATCAGAGCATGAAAACATGCTTGGTTGTTTTCCATGATGGGGTTTTTGAGTGGTGAGAATCTCGAGTTTGAGGTTGGGACACCGGATGTACCTTACAAGATTACGTCGAGTCCTTTGGAGTTTGCTCGAAAGTCGGTACGGACTGTGAAGACGTATGTGGATGCCAGTTTCTATTTGAAAAAGGAAGAGAGTAAGGATGAACTTGAGACAAGAAAGTATAGGTTATGTTGTTATTATTGGTGGTGCAAAGTCAAGCCTGAATTGTATGCTTCAAATGCTTCTATTTTTTTTGGCCACAAACAAGATCTTATCAATCTCGCGAGCCCAGTTTGCACGATCGATATCCCCTTCACGGTTTCCAATGGTGATGTTGAACAGTTCTTCTAAGACCTGTTCTTCCTCAAATGGCAGGAGGCTTCCGAGAATGTGGGATAGCTTCTTTGGTCTTGTACAGTTGCGATAAACAGTGCATCTTTGACGACATTGTGTGGAAGCGCGGACGTAAAATATCACTCAAACGTGTAAATGTGCTGTAGATTCGAGCCAAATCATGGGGGTTCCTCTGCTTGAGCTTTCCAACTTTCATTTCCAAATGTTGAATTTGACGGCAATCCCAATTCTAACGCGTCGGTAGCCACCTCCTGCCAGCGTAGCTGCTGAGCTCGCCAAATCGTCTTTCCGGTACGTTCGGTCCATAATCAGATTTGTTGACAAACTTTTCGTCTTGTTGTTAAAAAGTGAAGCTTTATACACTGACGGTTCACAACATGTACTTGCAGGTTTATACAATTTGGTAAAATGAGAGTCCACGACAACAATACACACACTCTTGAAACTTGACTAGCTTGTTGATATATATGAGACCTTGCTTCTTGAACTCTTCCATCTCCACACTTTTAAATCCGAATAGTAGGCTTTGACAAATCATCCTGCAACGAAATAACAATAGCCCACATGCTAGCCTGTCCCAACCCATTCTTCAACGGTGTAGCAAACAAGAACCCAGCTGCTCGTCCGGTATCGAATGATGCACTGACTGGTTTGGCAACTGCTTGTGTAAATGCTCGATCAAGACGTCCTGAGGATGGGGAATCACCGTTGGGGAAGAAGACTTCCTTGATTGTTTTGCCGTATATGGTCGTTGAGAGTGTCGGAATCAGCTTGTTTAGGTGCGGGATACCGGCTGTGCCGTAGTAGATTACACCGAGTTCTTCGGGGTTTGCTTTAAAGTCGATTAGGATGGTGAAGGCGTAGACTGAGGCGAGTTTCTATTGTTGGAGGGAAGGAGTGAGCTTGAGCGTGAGTTTGAGAGAGGATACGTGTTTTGTGGTGGGTCAACCCGCAGCTTGGGTTGAATTTCTTATAATTCAGCTAGGCTTTCTTCCTTCTTTTGTTCGTGTGTTTACCACAGCAACAACAAACGCAACATCAAATAACATTGCATTACCTTGGCAGTAGCAGTCAAATCCGACGTAGCACCTTCAGCCACAAGATCAGCAGCAGAATCAGGCACCGAATTGCTTCCACTCTCCGTTCCAGGGAATGGACGCGACTTGTCATCCTTCTGATGCCCATTCTTGCCAGAGAATCTCCTGAATATCCTCTTGATTTGATCACTAACTGTTGCATTGGCAACTTGTCCTGCTGCTAGTGCAGCTGATGCAGCCACGACGGTGCCATTGGGTGTTGATCCTTCTTTGGTGTGTGATACGAAAGCGTCGGCGGTGATTACGAGACGGAAGTTGCTCATGTCAAGGGTTTCTGATACGTCTACTTGACCGCCCAGGAAGAATTTGAAGTGGTCGGAGGAGTCGTATACGGGTTCCATGTGTAGGAGGTTCCAGAAGGGTTCGCCCGATTTACGGTAGTTTAGCAACAGCTAATGTAAAGTGATTGATAGAGATTTTTAGTTGATGACTTTGGATTTGGAGGAGCGACAAAAGCGTCAGAGGAACGTCTTCATAAATTGTTCTTATGACTCTCACTTTCTCTCGCTCGTTCGCTCTACTCTGTGCACTGAAACATCTCTTACCTGAGTACATCTCTTCTGTCGAATAACAGCATCCCGAATAACCTGCACATGGGCAGGATTGGTCTGTTCACCTTGCAAGAATCGACAATTATGTCCCACAATATCCTGTCGTTCATATCCAGTCAGCATTAAAAATCCATCAGAAACCAACGTAATGGGACAGTCCTTCAATCCTGGGTCCGATAAACAGAATGTATCACCCAGTCCATCAAATCCTCGCGATAATTCCGGCTGGACTGCAGGTGTGTCGGGAGATAAGGTCTGGTTTGCGATTGTTGCCAATTGGTTCTGGACGAATTTTTGGAATGTGTCTTCAAAGATAAACTATGGCAGGGGTGAGATGAGTGTGAGTGGAGCAAACATAGATCTTTCATTTGAAAGTAACAATGTTTCTTTGTATACCTCAAATGCTTCAGTAGAAGCTTTTGCAAAAGGATTCTTCGCAAGTATCCCTTGCAACATGTCGTTGTAATCTGTTATGTCTGTTCCGTAAACAGTTACAGGCACCTCTTTAACGAATATCGGGGCTGCTGCTTTTGGTTGAAAATGTGACAGCCAAATGTGATCAATGTCTTTTCGTAACAGCGTATACGTCCTTTCCATCTTTTGTAATGCAAGATAAAACTCTAATGAGTTCTTGGCATTGTAATCTGAGCCTAGTGAGCTGTTTGAGGAGCGAGAATGTGTTAGTTTCACATCAATGGATGGAACCGAACCAATTTTTGCTGGTTTTGAAATGAAGTCTTACTCTGAGAATCTGGAAGAGGAAAGAGAAAGTTAGTCACGCCAAATAACATAACACAAAAGGTCAATGAGCTACAAACATACTTTTTCACAGCTATAGGATTCTCCAGCACTTGTTTAAATAAGTCTCTTGAGAATATATTTGGATTAACACCATGTTCTCCTTCACCGCCCTTTGACTCGAATAACGATACAAGTTGCTTTGTTGGGTTTGCAGCGAGCATATGATTTTTGGACGAACAGCCTTTCGATCCATCCGCGAAAACGTCTGTGGCTTGCGACCAATATCCTTCCCAATCGAATGATGGATCGTCTATAGGTAGCGATATAGTGTGAGAATTCATGTGTTATGTGCAGACGTGAATCCTGTGTGGTCAATAGGTGGTTTGGGGTGATCTGAGAAAGATGTATCTTCTTTTCCTTTCGAAAGTTCACAAATCCAATCTGCGGTTTACCTTCTAGATATCCTCGACTCTTTTCAGAAATCTCTGCTCCACTCATATTGTTGGGATCGGACATGTTTCTGGTCGTTTATTCACCGATCGAGAGCGGAAGTGTGTCGTTGAGCTTGTCCCCACGAAGCGGATGTGATAGTCAAATCTCTTGACGTGACTTTGGAGACTTGCAACACGTCTAACTTCTCCCTTGACGCCTCGTTCCGTGGTAGTTCGACGAAAATATAATCCAACTGGTAGATGTAAGGCATGTCAGCACATTGGATCCGTAATAAAAAGTGGATAATTTGGGGGTTGGGAGCTCTGCGCACTGAGTGAGTGAGACCTTATGCAATTGATTTGGCCCACAAGGATTTCCCGACGTTCAGAATTGGGACCCCTCCAATCTGAAGAATGCGACCATCCATCACGCGTAGTCTGAAGTGCAGCCGCCTGCAACTAGCAACTAGGATGCATCTCTCTTGCGCGCGAAACACGGAGTCGGGTGTGATTTGGTAGGCGTTTTTAAAACGGTTAATTGTTGGTGGTGATGTTGGTGACTAGCTTAATGTAGGGAGAAGTTGAGACGAGAATATATGAAAATACATCTAATTCCATCTGTTAAATGTGCATCCAGTTCACGCCTTGTTAAGTCTTAACTACATGCTTATATGCTTCGCAATAGGATTTTGAAAGACATTGAAACCCTTGAAGAGAGAGGGGGCGAAGGTGATCTTACTAGACGTTACCGTCTTTTGATATAGTGCTTAGAGACATGAGTGGAATTCCGGATAGGCAGCTACTTCAACTGGATCTGTTAAAGGAACGACCAAGATACGAGTTCAGCTGCTATGGACCAGACAAGGGCGCTTTCAGTGTCTTGCATGGCGACATGTCTCCTGAGGAATTGCATCTGGAATTCGTGGCCTCTGGAAGTAATCATTCGCAGTTTGTATGTATTGACATCTCATCAACATTTCCAGCATCTTGAGGCGTCATCCAAGCGAGAGCTAACATCTCAATTCTCTAGCTACCTTTGATTGAACAACGTAGGCAACAGTACAATGCTCAAATAAAGAGCTACTTGGACAATCCCACTGCTGCTATTCCGAATAGTAAGTATTCTACCGTAGCAAGTCTCGCTTTTTTTTGGCATGACGCTAACTCAAACACTCCATACGCAGATTCATTCGCTCAATCAACGCAACAACAACCATTTGGTCTCGTCTCACCACCACCAGCACCACCACAACAACAACCACAACAACAAAGTGCATTCGGACAACCGTCTGCTTTTGGAGCAAAACAGCAATCATCCGTATTCGGCGCTACATCATCAACAGCAACACCTCACAATACATCATCCATATTCGGAAACGTCAGTAATCCTCAATCTGCTTTCGGTGGTAATAAGCAGGTATCGGCATTTGGTGGTCAACCACAAGGTGCAACTCCTTCAACATCTTCGGGATTCTCGTTTATAAAAGGGAATACTGCTGCTGCTCCATCTATAATACCACAACAACAGCAAGCAGGTAGTGCTTTTGGACAGACATCACAACCAGTCGTCAGTGCTTTTGGGCAAACGTCACAGCCTGTAGGGGCTTTTGGTCAAAAATCACAGCCAGTCAGTGCGTTTGGTCAAACGTCACAGCCTGTAAGTGCATTTGGTCAGGCATCTCAACCAGTCAGCGCTTTTGGACGAACTGGATTTGGAAGTACAGCTGCTCCTGCTGGTGGTGGATTCTCGTTTTTAGCTAGTGGTAGTAATGCAGGCACTGCTCAACCTAGTGGATTCGGTCAACAATCTCAACCACAGCAAAGTGCATTCGGCCAACCTCAACAACAACCAAGTGCATTCGGCCAACAACCTCAACCTCAGCAGAGTGCATTCGGCCAACAACCTCAACCTCAGCAAAGTGCATTCGGAGCTCCAGTTGCTACAGGCTTTTCATTTGTAAAAGGTGCACCTCCAGCAACATCTGCATTTGGTCAACCACAACAACCGCCAGGAATGATTAGACCACCGAATATCCCATCTAGTAACAATCCACCAACAGCAGGAGCACCAGCCGTAGCAGAACCCATAGTAGTATTAAGTGACGAGGAAGAAGCACAGTTTAAAGCTGCTAGGTTTACGTATGGCCAGGTCCCTGAAATGGCACCTCCTGTCCATTTACGAAATATTAGAGTATAGTAAGTCTGAGGAGGATATGGTAAAAATCATTTGTAAGAAATTAATTCATGTGTATGATATCTGCACCATAAAAATATAAGCTCTAGTATTCGCATACAGGAGAAGACACCGCAGGGCGATGGCAAAAAACGCAAGCCGCTCAGGGAGGAATTGTAACGATGAGCATCACTTGGTCTCACAAACAACATAAGTGATCATGCAATGATCTATTTCTTCGTTATTGAACAAGCGCAGAGGTAGAAAATACGTGTTTTGTCCATTTACAGAAAGTTTGCAAGTAGAAAGAAAAAACTCTGACAGATGGAAGACGGGTTCACTGGAGACTTACCATGGCAGCGTCAACGTAATCCCCACCGGTAACCAATAATTTGACAAACTTGAAGAAGGCCTCGTTCTAGATACTCGACTTCTGATACCAAACTGATAATTGCTGTGCGTGGTGGTTGTCCCTGACTTCTACCAAGGGAGAAGGAAACATTGAGATCAGCGCGATGATTAAGATGAACCAAATTAACTCCTCTCTTGTTCAAGGCATGACATGGACACGAGAACCAAAAAAGCACTCGAATGGCACAGTATGATAGCTACATCCACTCATGTCGACTTTCGAAATCTTTAGATCACAAGAAACTTGAATAGACATTCTTCCGGCAGTACTGGCGCCGCATCAGAGATCCTTCCAGCTGAGCTCGTATATACTCATAGTCCAACATTTTCCTCGTACACGGACGTGACGATAGAGTAAACGGGGCTACTGTGCCACTTTCTCACACTTGTGAGGATGATAATAGTGATACAGTTACATAACTGTGGGTGCGTGGAGGAGTTGAAGTCTAAACAACTATGAACCAGGTCACATCTTTTTTTTGGCATCGCATCCAACACAACAAACAATCCACGTCACTACACCCCAACAAAAACAGTGCGTTACAGTCAGTTTCGTGGTCGTAGAGTGGTAGAGACAGCATCTTTTCGTTTCTCGTCCAATAAATAACCATTCCAGTCCATTCCACATAGCTGAAACTGTGTACTGCTATGGCCAAAAAAGGCCATCAAATCTCGGAAACAGTTGACGTAACTCTCGACCTAGCGTCCACAAACCCCACACAAATTTCAATCATGCAAAAATCTATTTCCGTACTCTCTCCTGTCACAATGTTTAGAAAACAGAATGAGAAAAGAAGTGCTTGTTTCGTATATCTACAGTAGATTCTGCAGCCTTTCAGCAATAGCAAGTTGTGATTTGGTCAAATTGGCGAGGTAGATGACCATGAGCAAGTCCTAGAAAGAAAGAATCAGACATTGATGTCAATTGTAACGATACAAGACAGCTTTATTTAACATAAGAAATGATGGCGCACCTGTAGATGATTGTTAAACAATCTCTCGAATTCCGTTGCATCTACTTTAGGAATGGAGGATACAGTATCCATCAAGTATCTGCCAATGACTCTGTTTGGTTTGATTTGGCCGGCCTAATATATTTGGAGATTGATGAGCGCCATGACTGCGACAAAAAAAATTTCTACTGTAACAAAGATGGCTTTCTGATGGAGGCTTACAATGACAGCATCAACGTAATCTCCCACGGTATCCAGCATTTGACGAACTTGAATGATGCTTCGTTCTAGATTATCCATGTCTGACAATAAGCCTGATGATTGCTGTGCGTGGTTTTTGGCCATGGAGATGATTTCCACTATGTATAAGAACCGAGTGATGGTGAGATCAGAGTCATGTGACGAGTCAGAGTCCTTTTTGCCGTCGTGAGAGATACAAACGACAGATATGAAAATGCACTATGGATTATCTTACATCCACTCTTTTCGGCATCATAATTCTTCAAATCACAAGGCACCTGTATAAACATTCTTCCTGCAGTAGTGGTAGCACCGACATCAGGGATTCCGACAGGTGAGCTAGTGTATGCTCGTAGTCCCAGCATTGCTTCCTTCATGGCCGTGTCGACGACGAGGTGGATTGGTTGATGAGGAGCGATTTCGGCAGCAAAGAATTCTTGTAGCCAGACTGATTTTTCCGATACTTGAGATGATGATGATCCAGTTGCGTACCTGTAACGAGGGTGTGTGTTAGTGTTTGACTTTTAGGGAGAGAGATTTGTGACTTTTTTACCATCCAACAAGGATTTCCTTTGAGTTTACGGTTTGATGCAGATTGTACATTTGGCTGAAATAATCCATGTCTACCACAACCTGTTGGCATGTGTTTGTTAGCTGTGGTTATTTCGTTTACAATACATTCCACTGTTTTTTTTTTGTTGACTTAAATGTCGCGAATACAGCACCCACTATACACTATACCTACATCTTCATCATCGCCATTTTCCGTGACGGGTAGAGGGAAGCAGTTGCGTATTTCGACCTGGTTGCCATCGTCGCTTCTGACACCGAGCAGAGCTCCAATGACTCGTTGTTGGGAATCGGTTCTGCGCAGGTAGTGGTCGATTATAGAAAAGAAGACGACCGGATGCACCGTGGCAGCGAACGTCGTTGGGAACTGGAGATGCAGGAATCCGTCTTCCATCGTTCGTTATAGGTTATGTGGAGGGTTTCGTGTGTATGAGAGTAAAGCAATATGAGCTGCATATACAAATTACAATCAAATACAATTTATTTACGTTTACACTATGCATGGGATTGCAGTACATGCTCAAACTTGCGTCTGATCTTGACAGCCTGATCATACAGCGCGACATCAACGCCATCCATGACTCGCACTATACGTGCCTTGAGAACCACCTATGATGAATGGTAATTGTAGAAATGCTGTAATCCTAATCCAATATCCCTTGTAGCTTACCTGTCGCTGATCGCCCTCTTCCAATTCACCAAGAAACTCATACAATGACTTGATCCTCAACCCAACATCCCCCAGCAACGACACGTTCACTAGCAGCTGGCTTTCATTGTACTCGATCGTATAGTTGTTGGTAGAAGAGTCGCGTGATATCAGCCTATCAATACAACTGTTGAATGTTTGCAATGTAGAATGGTCAAAGGCTTCATGTCGAGCTTACTTTCCAAGAACTCGTACTGATGCACCCGATAGCTCGGCGGCCTTGGAATTGATTTCCTGGATGAACAGGATCTGCCCGTGTTTCCTCGGTAGGTTCATGCTGCTGATTGTGGTTTGGTGAAATAGTTGGGATGGAGTAGAGCTTGAGCTTGACAAGATGCACCTGTTGCCCAGCAACTAAAGTTCTCTTAAAACTGCAATATTAATAGATTTAACGTGATTTTTTATATCACTGTTACGACCGCTCGTGACTTGAAACGTGCTTCATCGCCCACACACTCTTAATATTTTGCGAGTTCTTGTGGGGAGCATTCCGTCATATCCACACTTTCAACCAATTATACTCTATGCTGGAACGTACCTTGCAAGAACGTGCATTCTACGAAGTAAACTATAGTCTACATCCACACACCACGTCCTTCCTCCAAACTCACACTGGTGGCAAGGCGGTGGCATCGAAACCTCCCGAGTGTAGACATTTTGTTTTCGCACTCGCACGGGCTACGTCTTTAGCAATGGTCTACCATACTTGATCTTGAACGTTGCCAACAAAGATGGCACGTTAGCCCGTTAGTGGTCAGCCACCTCCTACCTTCTTGTTTCCACAATTGATGCTAGAACCTGGTAGTGATCAATTGAGGACCAAGGAAACGCTGGCTCATATGGTGTTTTCACGATTGGCAATGACGGGAGAGAATCATCCGTTAGCGCTGTGATATCGTGCAAGCTAGCCCAGGTCGTTTTTGGCTTGGGCTGGAGCATGATATCTTCAATCAACAGTTCTAAAGGGAATGGTTGAAGCATGTCACATCAAAACTTTACTCGCAAACACCAATCTCTCGTCGTCAAATCCTTTGAAATGTTGTAGCGGCTCGGCATGTCTAAATTCTTTGATACCAACGTCTCTCGAAATCGTGTCTCGCGAGCTAAATCGAATACACATCACCTGCTTGCTAGTATTGTAGAAGTTAGTGCCGAGGCTGCGGAACCTCATAGGCAGATGGTTGTTGATGGGGACGACATGCACGAATTTATTGAGTTGAAGAGCCGATGGGGTTTGGCAGCGCGTCATCTCAGTATATAGCTCCAGAAGTGTTTGTGGATGTTGAGAAAAAGGGATTAGATGAATCGCTGTGTTTGATTTTCATTCGTTGTACAAGGCAAGATTAAACCTTGTTAGGTCTTGTACGATTCAACACACCTTGATACTTGGTTGATGAGAAGAAATGAGCCGGATTTGGTGTTTGTAATTGAAATATCAGCCTGAGACCGTTTCATAAGACTGGCTGCCATCTTTTTGATTTAGAAAAACGATACTATTGTGATGTATCTTTTGAAAGTTTTGGTGGACTGACGCAGCACGGCTTTCTGCATAATTCACGGTCGAGAACCAGTCAGTTTTAGTACCGACGGGACTGCACGCATCGAGGGCGTCCGTTGCTGTGCTTACGGTTCTATGCTGAGCGCCACGCCTTGTCAAACTGCACTTATTGAGCGCTACAAAACAGACACCACCAATTTCCTTTTGTGGAGAGCTTCCTAGCAGTATAAAATTCCTACCATTCCTTTGCTCCCCAACCAAAAGCGATACATCAGGGGCATGTAGCTCAGTTGGAAGAGCGTACGCTAAAATCTTCAAAGGAATATGACGCTTTACCAGGTCCCGACCGAGTAAAACACATACAGCGTAAAGTCGGAGGATCGAAACCTCCCATGTCCAAAAAATTCTTTTTTGCTTCCTTTCTTATACATAAAGGTTTTGTTGTGCTTCTGCATTTAGATTTTGGACTGATCTTTCAGCGCTTTCTTCGCGCTTTTGGTATGAGTTTGTAAAATATTACAAAACTGATTGACGCTAATGTTTCAACCTTTCAATTTCAACTATTCAGGTGCTTTCTGATTGGAAAATCTAAAATTATCACCTCTTACGAAATATCGAAAACTGCCACCTATTTTCCAAGGACTGGTACAGATGCACCGGATACGATCGTCTGCCACAGCGTTTAAGGTATTGGGTGACGAGGATTCGGCCGTGGTTGCTCTGGTAGAGTTTTTTTGAAAGGGTACTTTGGTAAAAGCTTGGGACTAGTCAAGGTTGTTGCTAAGCTTGACAGAAGTTTTCTTGCAAGAGTATTGATGGAAAATTGGAAAAATCTCAACGTGATACATGTTACGTTGATCGCCACTTTGACGATTGTAAATGGCACAATGGACTTGGAGAATTTCCCCAGTTGGGGAGCCATCCCGCCAGACTCATACTCCTAAAATCCGTTCCTCTGACACCAACACTCGGAAGGGCATGTAGCTCAATTGGAAGAGCATGCAAAATATATCCTTTACTACAGCACCATCATCATAAAAGGGTTTGCTGCTCCCACACAACGTAAGGCTGCAGGCTTTTATTTTTGGCCCCATTCATTTGGTGGTTATAATCTTTGGTAAGTTTTCAACCGTTTAGCATCAGTTGTTTAGGAGTAACCCAAATCTTTTGTGTAGGCTAAACACTATAGCAGACTTCTTCCAGCCTTGTTTCTTAGCTGTTCGAGATTCCTCAACACGATCGACGAATGCAAAGCTGCTTGTGTGTATCAATGTCTGATTACAGTAACGAGCAAGTGCATTCAAATGCTAGCACCAGCCGCTACGGAGGGCAATTTTTCCAATAGACTCTCCTTGTTGATTCCGAAAAGTGTCACGAATTTCTTGTACAGTGACGAGTTGGTATAAAGAAGCAGTACGCCTAAGGTCGTGCTCGGGTGTTGAAAAATACTACTCGCTATCTGCTGGCTAAGAGATAATTTAATATCTTACCATTGACACAAGGATGAGTAGACGCACAGAATATGGCGAAAATTTCATATTCTGGAATCATGGGAATTCCTGTAATCATGTCGTGTATGACTACAACTACGAATGGATTCCTGAACGAAAACATTTGAGTCATTTGAGAGTGCAAAAGAGCAAGAAATGCACAGATGGTCTTTCCCTCCAGAGCGGTTTTATGACAACACTTACCAACATATGAAGAGCGCTGCGGTAATCATCGCGAACTAACGATAATAATGATAAACCAGCTGTAATGAAAGCAGTGCAAACGAATAATGGAAGACGTGCCAAACTCATACCTTCTTAAAGAGGATGATTTCGTCAGACGAGTGTGAGGATATAGAAAGAAGCTGATTTTCAATGCCCTTGGAAGCGTTGGATGGCAGGTTCTTGCCATTTACGGCCTTTATTCCCAGTTTTGACATTGCTGATGACGATGCCCAGATCTTTCGGACCACTGCAATATTAAACGCCGTCCAGACATTCTAGATTGAGATTGAAAAAGGGTTGAACTTGTAGGTTATTCTAAGTTGTAAATCGACCTGGTTTGCTCGATGGTAATTTCAATATTGTTTGAAAGACGGTCTGACGAAATTTGTTTTATACCAGTGCAGCAATGGCCGAGACGAAAATAATCAACAGTAAAGCCAGCGTTGGGGGGTATCTCGAAGTCCATTGAGGGCCACAGTAAGTATTGAGAGCTCGCAATTCCAGCGTGTCTGAGACTCCAACATAGAGCAACATGCCAAACATGAAGAAAGAATAGCTGAAGAAGAGCCCAACCATCCCATACACGGCCATATCAGATAGCTGCTGACCTCTGATTATTGCGTAGTATCGATCGATTGCAAGTCCCATGATGCAGTTTAGACCAATCGACATTGCCTGCATTTGAACAAACGTCTGAAGCATACAATCACCAAATCCGGGGAAATGGCCAAAGTACGCTGCACGAAGCGATGTAATTCCTTCACCAATTCCTAGAGCTGCATCAGCAAATGCGATACAAGCCAGCAGCTTTCCATGACGTCGTATGAGATTCTTGTCTGTAATAATGATCACGAATATTATTAGATGGAGCAGCCCACCGACACCGGCTACAAAGCCATTCAAGGTTACTGCTGTGCGTGGTAAGGCGCCGTAAGGTATCAAAGTCAGTTCTTGAAACGTTGCCATTTTGCGTACACTTGAAAACTGGTTGAAGAAAATTGTCAGTTACACTTCAAAGTGCCAAATTGGCACGCGTATAGCACGACAGGCTATCCAGAGATAGATCGAGAACCCTTGAAAACCCGAACGTTGGAAACCTGAGGAATTGCTCAATCCTGAATGTGGATCATCGGATAAACCAGTGCGTAAAAGCCAGCAGAGAAGGAGGACTGGCAGAACCACAAATCGAAATCTTCAAAAGTGATTTCAAAAGTGTTCTGTGGTAGGCATGAGAAATCGTAGCAGTGATTGCCATGGTTTACCTACTAGGTTGTACGAGGCGCGGCTTGTGGGCTTCGCTGATTGCCTTTTCAATTATGATTTTGAGTTAAGGTATCAATTTTGAATCTGAGGTCACGAATATATCCATTTAGATCAAACTCATCGTTAGTCATTTGAACGGCCTGTAATCAGAAAACTTAATTGAAACTCAACTTCATACGCAATGAGACAGGTAAGGCCGAAGAAATCATTCAGAGATATATACTCTTCCCAGCGGGAAGATCGGGGGTCTTTCTGAACAACTAGCACTTGGACGTCAAGCACTTGTATTTCAGACAGTGACGCAGTAAAGCTTTTGGCCACGATTCCTCCATCAACGATTAGCTAGTGTGGAGATCAAATCAATCGAAGACACTTACTATAACTATTTCTTAGCTCAAATCTTCGTGTAGATGCTATCACAAGCACCCATGCAACTGTTCTTGACAATACAAAGCTATTCCTGTGAGGAGAATCCTGCCACAATATCACTGGTATGAAATTCCACGTACTCAAGGGCACATAGATCAGTTGCAGGAGCGTCCGCTAAAATCTCAAATCTGAATTATGTGGCTTGTAAGGTACTGACCGAGTAAAACACATATAGCGGAACGCAGGAGGATCGAAAGCTCCTGTGTCCAATTGTTCTTCTTTTGGTGGTATCATATGTCATCTTTTGTGGCATACATGCCTGTAGGTACTAGATATACCAACTTTATTTTTGAGATCCTTGAAACATCTCCGCAGTGACAAGTGGCGATAATCCGAAAACTACACCCTGGCAGTTGTAAACTTTGAGGTTAATATAATCAAATCGAGTCAAACCAACAGTGGGTTCGTGAAAGAAATGACGTTCAGATCCTCTTGCCAATTTGAAGTTTCTTAAACTAGTGAGGCAAACAACCACCTGTCCACAGCTTTCCATTCAAGTTACAGGCGTCTTCTCTGCGTGCAAGTCTTCTCTCGGCGTAGAGACAAATGTTCTCACAAAGCTAAAACATGTGTTGTGCTTGCCTCGACTTGACAAACACATAGGTATATCGGCAATGAGACATTTTCCACGTTGAGTCTCCAACTACCAGATGTATATAGCCGGTAAGGCACCGCCCCGAAACTCAAGAAGTCCAGGTTTCACCAAGCAAACTTTTGTCACGGACGCCAACACCAAGAAATGATAAATCAAACACCAATTTAGTAATTAAATACTTGCTTTACTGCTTTTCAGAGTGTGGAATATTTCTATAAAGTATGCGGTCTAACTACAAGTGAGAAACATGTCTATGTCTACTGTCTATGTTTCTGACTTTTTGGCAATAGTAGCATCACAAACTTGTTCCCATTCAGCCTCTTTGGCAATCAAGCCAGATTCCTTCAATGTGGCACTACAAGACTTTATCACAGCTGGGTCTACGTGTCGTGCATCAACAGGGTATTCTACTGTTTTAATCCACTTTTCTACATCTACCACCTCCTGATGGAATCGTTTCGAGATATATTCCACGGCGGCAGATTCATCACTCATGAATTGACTTGTAGCAGCTGTAATACCATCTAACAGATCGACGAGCTCCGATGATCGAGATTCAATCATATGGTTTGAAGCTGCAATACTAAAAGCCGGCCATGGCGGAGTGACGTTTGAGAGATGGTGAAGTTTCCCTGAATCAAAGTATCCCTTAGTCATTGTCTTTTCCCAGAGAAAGGCGTCACAAGAGTCTTCCGTCACTCCTTGCACCAGACCATGAATGTCCTTCAGCGGTACAAAGGTAAAGTCTTCTTGCCATCCCTTCATCCTTTTCATAACAAACGGTATTATGTGTGATCCACTTCCAAGACGTGAGACTCCAATACGGCTTCCTTTCAAGGGGTCCCAAGGACCTTCTTCACGAGTAAAGGCAGAGAAGGTAGGTGACGACGGGTTGGTTGCTATAGCCCATGTCAGGGGACTCTTGACATATGTTCCAACTAGACCTATAACGATATGATGTCAGCACGCAAGTATGTGAGTTGCTAAAATAGTTGGCATACGATAGTCGGCAGGTCCTCCTTTCAACGATTGAGCCAGTAGAGCTTCCGTCAATGCGATAACAACATCGACTTTGCCACTGTTGATTAGCGAAATCATCTAAGATTGAGCGAAAAACTTGAGTTGTCTCGTACTGGGATCAAATGTCTCGAAATATTGGCCATTACCTCACCACTACCGCCTGGAAATGAGGACGACTGTAAGTACGTTGCTTGCAGGAAAGTAGTGTCTCCTCAACTAACACTCCTTTACCTGGGCAGTTTACAAGCTCAATCTTTATTCCATCTTCAGTTTTAAGTTTCTGTTCCAGTTGGTACATGGGAGAGCTGAAGTGTTCGGGAACTAGCCCTACAGTTATTGCGGTTTCTGACACAGTCATGTCTTCTTAAGCTTAAAAGTCTTCTGCTTTAAATCGATTTGGTTTTGTTATTTTCAACACCTGATTGGTAATGCGAAATTCAAACCAAAATGTCAAACCGTGGATTTCGCATCTCAGGCGTAATTTGCTAGTTCTGGAGCTATCAAAAATCAAAATTGGTTCTTACACGTTGACTGGAGGTGGGTCAATCGTTACGTCACAGCAGCACAATAATCAATTACCTTCAATCTCTTTTTTTCCCGGCAAACTGTCAATAGCACATGAACGATCCAAGCTGTGATCCGCGACGCGCCTAAATGGCGTTGTACTTTTGCCGTCTTTACTATTTGCAACTCAGGCTAACTGAACCAAGTACGACAAATCATGAGATGTCAAGCTTACTCGAGCTCGTTGACGCGGAGCTAAGATGCCTGCTGTCCTGGATCAGGCAGCAATTTGGTTTGGAAAGTGCTGACGCTGATGCTTCTACTGTTTTTCACTGCGTTGCTGTGGCAACATTCTATTCTCTGGTTTGCCTCAGGTGAATCACCACAAGATACAGTTGCAACCCGTGAAGTCTTGAATAACAAGACTCGAGAGACTGCCTTCGACCTCGACATTGAAGTAAAGGAATGACTGGCAAACCAGAATATTTTGTGATGATGTTTGTATGATCATGTCCATTAAAAGAGTAACGTGGACGACTAGAACGAGGATAACGTGTGATTTGTATTTCGTTCTTCGCTATCTATGACCTTTCCCTTTGACACGTCCTCAACGGAAAACCATCTTCAAAAGTCAGTGTCAAGAGGTGCTGAGGCAACGAAAGTCAAAACTCCGTGTTGCCGACGATGACCTCATGACCTCAGAAGACAATCGGACGTATGGCGAATGACTCAATATCCAGCTCATGTCAAGCGATACCTGTTTCGGCTTTCGACGAGGCAGTACTGGCATTGAAACACAAATAGTCTTCCCAGACTCCACGCTACTGACGCAAACACTTAAATTTCGTGGGGTAGCATCGCAACGAAGATAGCAATAGGCTTGATATACGCGGTTTATCATTTATAGCATGCCGAGGGTCCTTGCCAGCAGAAAATGAACGCCGAAACGAGATTGAAACCGAAATTATTAGAGGGTTCAACTATGTAATATTATTTGAAATGGCGAGAATATACAATGAGCAAGAGGGCGAGCTTAACCACCAAAACCGTAGAGAGTTCTTCCTTGACGTTTGAGGGCATAGACGACATCCAATGATGTGACGGTTTTACGTTTGGCGTGTTCAGTGTAGGTGACTGCGTCTCGAATGACGTTTTCTAAGAAGACTTTGAGGACACCGCGAGTTCTAATTATAGAGGAATGTAAGAATGTGCTTCTGGTAGTTAGGTCAAGACCAAACATTGTAGGCAATAACTCACTCTTCGTAGATCAAACCAGAGATACGTTTGACACCACCACGACGGGCCAATCGACGAATAGCAGGCTTTGTAATTCCTTGAATGTTGTCTCGTAGAATCTTTCGATGACCTACGATGACATGAATGGGTGTGTGGTGGGTTAGACGACTGGCTTGATATGTTGATGGATGTTGATCTAACGTGATAAATGACCATATGAAGGGAGTAACTTACGTTTGGCACCGCCCTTTCCTAGACCTTTACCACCTTTTCCTCGTCCAGACATGTTTTATAGTTTGTGGTTGTTTGTGAATGGAGTTGCTTTGATTGATGTTGTGACAGGGGGAATTGCGTTTTTTTTATAGTCCCATCAGATTTTGTTTTGATTTCATAGTGCACATTAGACCCTTGGACTGTGCATTGGATCTGACCAATAACAATGATTTGTTGTTTTCGAGATTTGGTCAACCAACACTCCACCATGTGCCCACCGCATTCTCATTGGCTTGTAGAATGGTGGACCCTGTCGTCACTTCTCAAAGTAAACAAATCGCAGGCGGGTATAAAATGAAACGATTCCCTCTAACAAAATCCTCATCC